TCGTGCGGAAGCTCGCTTGAGGCGGGCGCGCTTCGAGGCGTTTGTAGCTTGATCCTCTCTTCTCTCTCGCATAGCTTCCTGTTGATGTGCCCATTCCCTCGCGCTCTCGTCTCGCTGTAATCGCTTGTTCTGACCCGCTAGCTTTTTGCGACGATACACATCTCTCCGGACCTGCTCGCGCTCGGCGGGCTGGCAAAGCTTCTGCGAGCTCCACACAGAGACGCTCTCGAGCTCAGAGCGGAGCATGAGGGTATATCATTGCGTGCGAGACGTTCGAGTTCGTGGACTCGAATCTCGACGATGAGGGGAATGAACAGAACCGCTTGTACGGGAGTCAAGAGGGCGAGCAAATGAGGAGTTATACATAGTGTAGAGACGCAATACTAGGTACCTTGAGTTTTCCTGCGGATTCCAACCCAAGAACCGCTCCAACGCTCCTGATCCACCTCGTCTCGTTCGCCTGAACGCCATCCTTCCCAGCTTGCACCTCAGCGAACACACCGCACCTACTGCTTCTTGGCCATCTGCATCGCATACCGCTCCTCCTGGTCCGCCTCGGTGAGCGCTTTCGCCGCCTTCCAGAACTGCACGACGTTGATGATCTGCTTGCCGACCATGATGGGAGCGGTGAGAATGGCGACGACGTGAGGCCACGAAGTCTTGAGGACCATCTTTAGGACGGGTGCGGGGAGGGCGAGGAGCGAAGGAGGGAGGGCGTGGAGCGAGGTGAGGAGGGGCTTGTGGTAGTTGGAAAGGACGTAGAGGGCGACGAAGAAGAGCTCGTTGGCCGCGCAGAAGATGAAGAGGGTGCGCTGCGAGAGTGCGAGCGTGAGCGAGGAGCCGACGGAAGCGTTCGTAGCGAGATCGGTCGGAACGCACGCTGTTGTTGTAGTACGACCAGAGGATCCAGCTCTGCTCCTTCGTCACCGTCTTGTGGCTGCGCGAGCCGCTCGAGATGGAGCTGCGAGAGACGAGATGATCAGCCCGTGCGCGTTCAGCTGGAGTTCCACGAGGCCCCGACGCCACATCTCCCGCGAACGCGACTGAACTGAACCGCCGACTCACGCATACATGTGGATGTAGTGGGAGGAGAAGTCGAGCGAGATGAGAAACTGGAAAAGGAGCGCTGCCCGAGGGTAGGCGGACGCGAGGAAGCAGAGCAGGCAGGAGGTCATGCATCTGCATTCGATACGTCAGCCAACAAGCTCAAGAGCTTCGACCCTCGCCATCTCGCCAACAGTGGAAAGCTAAGGAACGTCTCGTGGCGAAGCTGAACGCACCGGTCTGTCACCATGTCCAGGATGGCGCCAAACTTGCTCGTCTGCCCCAAAGCCCGTGCGACCTGCCCATCCACCGCATCGAGCAGTGCAGAGACGCAGTATGCGACCGTGCAGAACTTGGGATGCGTCGGCATGTATGTCAACGCTGCCGCGCCAAGGATGACGCGAGTGTAGCCTGTTTAGCAGAGGGAGGGAAGCGGTGTCAGTCCAACAGTTCGATAGATTGTTGGAAGAGGTCTGAATTGCTTTGAAGGCGAACGGGGCGCGACCCGGTCTGTGGACGACTTCGCCGAAGGAACGTTGATGCCGCATGCAAGTCCCGAGCCCGTCGATGGAAGACCGGCGGTTACCCTCCATGACCTCTATATTCCCGCAACGATCCCCATCATTCCACAAGACAGCTCGGCCTGGCCTGTGTGAAGCGAGCCGCGAGCAGAGAGGAAGCCGGTCATGGTTTCCGACCAGATGCCGCTGTCCTTCGCGTTCGGTGCTTGATGAGTATGCCGCTTGTCCTCCAACCATACATCTCAGGCGGGCCTCATTCATCCCAGCGCTGCTCGTAGACGGAGGACGCGCATGACGCTCGGCAACTCTTGTCGGCGCCAGCTCGTCTCTTCGCATCCCGATAACCGTTGCGAGCCTTCCACAGCCTTCAAAAGACGCCCAGAAAGCGCCCAGATGGAGTTGAAAGTACGCACCGATGAGGTTTGGCGCGAAGAGGAACACATTCTCATCGGTGCGAGGGCGGGGTGCCGCAGGACTGGGTGATCGCGACATGCTGGGGTCGAGTCGGGTTCCAAGAGGTCGTAGCGACAGTGCAGCGCCGGTCTGAGCGACTCTTGCGCTGTGAGAGCGACTTGGAGTGATGAGGAGGAGAGCGAGATGTGGGTTGGCCGGTTCCTCGACCGCTGTCTCTGCTGGAAGGGCTGTTGCTGAGTTGAGCGTGCTGCTACGAGCCTTCAGATATGGCTACAGCCGCGCCGCCCTCCACCCAGGTCCTCGGCTCACTTGCACCGTCCATCTCCGCCGCACCCTCTCCCTGGCAACCTTCGACACTCGACGAACCGCCTGCGCCGCCGCCTCCTGACACACGAGAGGAGCAGCTTGCACAGCTCGCCGCGCAGGAGAAACTCGGACACGACGGGAAGCGGCAGCGCGTGAGGGCGAGGCGGACAGTCGACCCGTACGGAGGTATCGAGCGGTGGAAGATCGTGAGTGCCGTTCGAGTGCTCGCCCGAGACGAGAACCTGTAGCTGACCCACCGTTGCGCAGTACAAAAGCGTCCGAGCATCCCAGCACGACCAGCTTTTCATCCGCACCCAACCCAGCTACCTGATTGACGTGAGCTGCCGGATCCAGTCGCACAGGAGCAACGTTGGACAGCGAGGATGTATCACTGATTCCCTCGCGTCCACAGCTCCTCCCGCCCCAAGCATACCCGAACTTCTCCACCTCCTTCTGCACTCGCTATGCCCACACCTCGACGAACAAGCTTCGCTGCCCAGTGAATATCGTCACAGTCAGTCGCGTCTCCTATGCTACGGCTCTCGTCCGCGGAGGTGGTGGAAGTTGATTGGAGGTGGTCAGAACTGACGCTTCGTGCTGCCAGTTTACGCCTGATGCGCGACGCATTCTCACTGGCTCGACGAGCGGCGAGTTCACGCTGTGGAATGGCTTGACATTCAACTTCGAGACGATTCTGCAGGTGCGTCGCGGAGTGTCCGCTTTCCGCTCGGGTCAACTCGCTGACGTTCCGCTTCCGCAGGCCCACGACTCTGCCGTCCGCGCCCTCTCCTGGTCGCATTCCGGTCAATGGCTCCTCTCCGCCGACAACGCAGGCGTGATCAAGTACTTCCAGCAGAACATGAACAACCTCCAGATCTTCCAGGGTCACAACGAGGCGATTCGAGATGCGAGTTGGGCGCCGAACGACGAGCGCTTCGTCACGGGCGCGGATGACGGCGTTATCAAGGTATGGAACTTTGAGCGGATGAAGGAAGAGCGGGTCTTGACGGGTACGTAGCGAGCATTCCTCCTCCCCCTCGTCCGTCCGCTGACTCGCTGAGCCTCGCAGGTCACGGCTGGGACGTCAAGTGTGTCAAATGGCATCCGACGAAGGGTCTACTCGCTTCCGGCTCGAAGGACAACCTCGTCAAGTTCTGGGATCCGCGAACCGCGACCGTCTTGACAACGCTGTTTGTTCCTCCTTCCTTCCCTTCTTTGTCTCGTCGCTGACTTCGCCGATCTCTTCAGCCACGGCCACAAGAACACGATCCAAGCTCTGGCATGGAGCCCGAACGGCAACATGGTCGCGACGGCGTCGAGGGACCAGCTCGTCAAGGTGTACGACATCCGAGCGATGAAGGAGTTTGCGACGCTGCGGGGCCACAAGAAGGAGGTTTGCTGTGAGTTTGAGCTTCGATGTCTTGCGCACTCGGCTGCGACCTGCAGCGAACGCTTGTGCAAAAGGAGTCGAAGCTTACTAGGTTTTCCCCTCGCAGCCGTCGCCTGGCACCCGATCCACCACGACCTCCTCGTCTCGGGCGGCTCGGAAGGCTCGATCATCCATTGGTCCCTCCCCGACCCCGCGCCCAAAGAATCCCTCGAATTCGCTCACGACTCGAACGTCTGGTCGCTCGCCTACCACCCTCTCGGCCACCTCCTCGTCAGCGCCTCAAACGACCACACGACACGGTTCTGGAGTCGCTCGAGGCCGGGGATGCGGACTAAGGGCGATAGGTTTCATGTTGGGAAGGAGAGGGCCGAGATGGGCGATGAGGATGAGGATGACCGAAGGGGAGGAGGAGGGATGGGCGGTCAGGGGTTCTTGCCGGGGTTGCAGCACCAGCAGCGTGGGTTTGCGGGCGCGATGCCGAATTTTGGGCGAGGAGGGGGAGGGGGAGCAGAAGGCGAGCGACCGCCGTTGCCGGGGATGGGGATGGGCGGTCCGCCTCCTGGCATGGGAGGTCCTCCACCCGGTATGGGCGGCGGCGGAGGAGGAGGTGGGTTGCCTGGCATGGGCATGGGTCGACCACCGCTCCCTCCTCCGCCTGGGATGGGCGTGGGCGGCGCACCGGGCTCAGCGATTCCCGGTTTCGGTCGCGCACCTCAGCATGGACAGGGACCGCCGCAAGGATACGGAGGGTACGACGGCCAGCAGCAGCAGCAAGGAGGACGGGCGCCGCTTCCGCCTGGGTACGGCGACTTTGGCGGTAGCGGAGGAGGAGGCGGAGGCGGAGGAGGCGGGATGCGAAGGAACGGACCGCTGCCGAGTCAGCAGGAGAGTCTTGATCGGTACTCGAGCGGTGGTGGCGGCGGGCAGGGTCGGTGGGGAGGAGGAGGCGGCGGCCGGTATTGAGCCCTCCTGCGACTTGCGAATCGACTTCCGATTCCTCGCAGACTGAGGTCAGAGGGAGAATGAAAGAGCGATGCGAGCCGATGTCTACTGGAGCGAGTGATTATGAACGAGAGCGATAGGCGAAAGTGCGAAGGAGACGAGAGCGGATGTCCGCCTTATGCGATATGAACCTTGTCCATCAGACCCGCCAGCTCGTCCTCCTCCTTCTTCTCCTCCTTCGTCTCCTCCTTCACTTCGGGCTTCTCTGCCTCCTCAGCCTCAGCCGCCTCCTCCGACTCCTCCTCTTCTTCTTCCTCCTCCTCTTCAGGCTCCTCCAGCTCATCCAACTCGTCCAACGCATCCTCATGATCCCACTTCCCCAGCGCCTCCCTAACCTTCTCATACTCCTCCTCCGTCCCATCAACTCCGTAATTTCCATTCAACTCGAGGTCAGTCAGGTGTTCGCCATGCAGGGCGATGGCGGCTGCGAGTTGGGTGATTGCGCGGGTGTCGAGTTCGTTGGATTGGAGCTTGAGAGAGGTCAAAAGGGGGTTCGAGCCGGAGAGGAGGGTGGTGAATATTGAGAGGCCGCCGCGAGGTCTGAGGAGGCAGTCGGAGAGGTTGAGGATGCGCAACTTGGGCCAGCTGTGCGTTGCCACCGAGCCGAACCACGGTTCGTCAGTATCCTCGGACACCTTGCGAGCTGAGAGACGACGAGTGAACGCACAAAGGCAAGCTCTCAGCAATCGCCTTGGATCCCTTCTCCGTCGCCGTGTTATCCTGCAAGTCGAGCCACTGCAAGTTCGGGTTCTTCTGTAAGCCCTTGACGATCGCCTCGATGCCTTCCATTCGGATCCCGTTCTGCGGCATCCGGACTTCTTCGAGAGTCGTGAGGGCTGAAAAGGCGGCGGCGAAGTCGGGTGCTGAGCCGTTCTCGAGGCGATTGCGACCTGTGCGCACAGAGCATGCTTGCTGCATCAGCCTCTTCCTACTGAACAAACGGAAGAAACCGAGAGAGAGATGCGATAACGCACCGCACACCAAAACCCTCAACTTGCTCTTCCTGCCCTCCTTCTCCGCCTTCTTGGCGTTCTCGAGCAACGCGCCGGCGATCATCGCGCCTCCTTGTGGTCCCATGCCGTTGTTGTTCAGGCGGAGGATCTCGAGTGAGGGGGCGGAGGAGATGAAGTCGAGCCTGCGAGGAGGACGTGGGATAAGTGGTGAGCAATACTACGACTGCCTATAGCGAAGATAGTAGGCTCGAGGGCGCTCCTCTGCCGCATCAGGTAGCATAGCCGCTCACGTACATAGGCTCCGCGCTCCTCCCACCGAACGCATTATCGCTCAAGTCGAGTTCCGTCAACAACGGAAGCGTGAGGAGCGACGTGCACAGCGCGCGCAGGGACTGGGGGATTTCGGTGATGAGCCGGCCGGTGAAGATGTCGGAAAAGTCGGCGATCTGTGAGCGGGAGAGGGAGAGTGGGTGGGTCAGTGCGAGGAGGGGAAGACGGGAGTTTACTGCAAACAGGCCGTTCTTTGCGCACACTGCACGCCACCAGAAACCAGATCAAAGCCTCCGCTTGACCCTCGCGAGTCCCAATGCCAGTCCCGTCAGGTTGAGGGATCGCTCAACCCCCTCCTCCGCCCAAAGGGACGGTCCGTGGAACTCACCCTCAACTCGCGCTTGTCCTCGAGCTCCTTTGCGACACCCTCGCACGCCTCGATGCCGAGCGTGTTGCCTCCAAAGCGGACCTCCTCGACGTTGGGCCCGAGCTGGCGGAGGCGGTCGAGGTGAGGCTGGGTGTGCTCGAGCGAGTCGAGCTTGAGCTGGTGGCCGAGCGTGAAGGTGGTCATGTTCGACGGAGTGTCTGTAGCAGTCTCTGTAGCCCAGCGAGCCCCAGCAAGCGAGTTGAAAGCGACTCGAGGGTGTCCTGGCCAGAGAGAGCGAGGGTTGGCTCAGACGAACGACGACGATGCAGTCACTCGCAGCGAGCTTCAAGCTGCTCACGCTCAATCCAAACACGCTCACACGACGACTCGCACGCACCCTCGCAACCGCCGCTTCCACTCTCGCCTCCTCGCCTGATCCCGCACAGGCAGCAGCACAACCGCCGCGCGTCTTCACGCCAGACTCGAAGCGGACGGGCGTGCTCGCGAGGAAACATGGCATGACTGCACTGTGGGCCACAGACGGGACCCGCATCCCCGTCACCGTCCTCGAGGTGCGCTTCCTACCTCCTCCTTCTCTCTCTCATCAGCTCGACTCGCTCACTTCGCTCTCGTCGGGGACGCAGCTCGACGCAGTACAAGTCATCTCCTCCCAGTCCTACCCCGCACCAACTCCCAAGCACCGCGTCCGCCACACCGTCATCGTCGGTTGCTCGCCTCGCAAGGCAAAGACGACGCACAACGCCCTCCTCGGGCAGTTCAAGAAGGCCGGTGTCGAGCCAAAGATGCGCTTGGCCGAGTTTGAGGTCACGGAGGATGCGTTGGTGCCGGCAGGTGAGTTGGCCTGGACGGCGTTGTTGCCTGGGGTTGGCTTTCGTCTCGGCGGAAGGCGGCGGGCTAACTTGATGGGTGGGCCCTCACAGGCACGGTCATTTCGGCAGCGCACTTTGTTCCCGGCCAGCACGTCGACGTGCAAGCGCCTTCGTGCGTCCCCTCCTCTTTCTCTCCCAGAACCTCGCCTGATCCTCGTCTTCGCCCGCAGAATCGGCAAGGGTTTCCAAGGCCCGATGAAGCGACACGGTTTCCGTGGTCTCCGAGCAAGTCACGGTGTCTCGATCAGTCACCGTTCGCACGGTTCGACGGGTCAGCACCAGGTTCGTCCACCAGCCTCTTCCTCTCCCTGCTCTCGCTGATACGGTGCGTGCGCAGGACCCGGGTCGCGTGTGGCCAGGAAAGAAGATGGCCGGCCGGATGGGCGGCAAGAACGTCACGACGCAGAACCTGATGGTTGAGCGAGTCGACCTCGCCCGCAACGTCGTCTACGTGCGCGGACACGTCCCCGGTGCGCCGGGGGGCTTCGTGCGCGTGACGGATGCGATCAAGAAGGTTGGGTGGAAGGCGAGGGAGAGGGCGAGGAGGGGACTGGATTTGGTTAGTGAGGAGACGGGCGAGAGGGAGGTCGTGAGGGGTGTCAAGACGCTGCCGTTCCCGACGGCGAGTGTCGAGCAGGCCAAGGCGTGGCCGCAGGAGATCCAGCGCGTCGGTGGGTTCAGGTAGACGTGCGGACGCTGTAACCAGTTCGCCCTTCACTCCGCAGCAGGAGATATACGATGCTCGCGCCCCTTCCGCGAGTTCTTGGCTGTGCTACTGTACTCTCTGCTTGTGTCCCCTGCAGTGTACGCTGGTCCGCCCTCAGCCCGTCCTTGCCAGTGAGGTCGCCTTCTGGTTCCCCCTTGCTTTCGCTCGCTCGCTCTCCTCGCGCAACTCAGCATTCAGCCCGACGTCGCGCACCTGCTATACTGTTGGACTCGCGCAGCGTCGAATCTTCACCTAGACGCTAGCATCCACCGCCGCTCCGCTTTCCCTCTTCCTCCCGCTCGTTCTCGCCTTCTCCCCCGCTTGACGCCCCTCGACACCGCCGACTCTCGCACCACCACGCGCGACTGAGCGCACACCGCCTCAGAGATGGTGCGTACCCTCTCTTTCACGTGGTCCACCAGCGGCGCGCTCGGTCAGCGAGTCGGCGTTGCTCCTCCCCCAGCTCTCGTCATCTCCTCCCTGACCCCCTCCGCTGCCCCTTCACGCGCTGACCGGCCCATCTCGTACCACACAGCAACCCCTCTTTGACGGTCCGATTCCCCCAGCACATCAACCAGGCGCCGACGACGTCCCCGTGCACAACATCTCGCCTCCCCCGCCCGACACCGAAGAGCTCGACGTGAACGGGGCTGGCGTGGCGCAGGGAAGCGGGCCCCAAACGCCGGGCGGTGCGATGGACGTCGACTATGCGAATCAGATCGTCTCGGTCGAGGATCGTGAGTCCCCTCCTCTCCCTCCTCCCTCTCTCCCTCGCTCAAGCTGATGAGGGTCATCCGCAGGCGATGCGTTTGCGGCGAAGCATTTGACGGATATGGGAGAGCCGGTGGAGGACTTTCAGGTATTTAGCTGGAAGCTGAGCGACTACCGGAGGCTGGACAAGAGAGTCACCAGCCCCGAGTTTGCGTGCGGCGGGCACAAGTGGTGCGTTGCGCTCATTCCTCGTCTTCGTGATGCCTCTCGTCGCGCGAGTAGCCCGGAATTCGTGCTCGAGTAGTCACTAGCTATGTGGAGACTGATACTCTCGCTCGTCCTTCGTCCCGCAGGAACATCCTCCTCTTCCCGATGGGCAACTCGAACGGCCAAGCAAACGACATGGTCTCGGTCTACCTCAACTACGGCGACCAGAAAGCCTCGGAGGGGTGGCACGTCTGCGCCCAGTTTGCGCTCGCCATCTCGAACCCGGGAGATCCGACCGTTTACATCCAGTCGCGTACGTCCCGTTTCCCTTCCCACTAGAGTTCAGAAGGCAAGCTGATGGATTTGTTGTGCGGGATGAACAGAGGCCCACCACCGCTTCACGCCTGAAGAGCAAGACTGGGGTTTCACGCGCTTCGTCGAGTTGCGCAAGTTGTTCTCCGTCTGCGAGGGAAGGACGAAGCCGATCATCGAGAATGACGAGACGGTCATCACGGCTTTCGTGAGGGTGTTGAAGGACGAGACGGGCGTTTTGTGGCACAACTTCCACAAGTGAGTTTCGGCGCGCTTCCCTTCGCCTTCTTTGCATCGCGCGCGGGATTGGGGAGATGCTGATGGAGCATGCCCACGTGTTTCACAGCTACGACTCGAAGAAGGAGACGGGCCACGTCGGGCTCAAGAACCAAGGCGCCACCTGCTACATGAACTCGCTCCTCCAGTCTCTTTTCCTCACCAACGAGTTCCGAGAAGTGTGTATCCGTCCGTACTCTTTTTCGGGCGAGGAGCTGACGCGGTTGGACGAGCGCAGGCGGTCTACCAGATCCCGACGCAGGATGACACGACGGACACGGTGCCGCTCGCGTTGCAGCGCGTGTTCTACAACTTGCAGACGTCAGATCAGTCGGTCGGTGCGTCTTTGGCACCTCCCACGTCTTCCAGCTTGTGAGCGCAAGTGCTGACGCCTCACTCTCCCGCACGCAGGCACGACCGAGTTGACCAAGTCGTTCGGCTGGAAAGGCTTCGACTCGTTCCTCCAACACGACGTGCAAGAGTTCAACCGCGTCCTGTGCGACAAGCTCGAGACCAAGATGAAGGGTACCCAGGCCGACGGCGCCATCAACCGCCTGTTCTGCGGAAAGATGAAGAGCTATATCAAGTGCATCAATATCGACTATGAGTCGGCGAGGAGCGAGGACTTTTACGGTGCGTGGGAGCCTGTCGCTTGTCAGGACGGAGAAGGCCTTTGTCACGGTTACTGACTGGGCAAGATCCTTGTTGTACAGACATCCAGCTGAACGTCAAGAACTTGCGAAACCTCGAAGAGTCGTTCAGGGACTACATCCAGGTCGAGACGCTCGAGGGCGAGAACCGGTACAACGCCGAAGGGTTCGGCCTGCAGGACGCCAAGAAGGGCGTCATCTTCGAGGAGTTCCCGCCCGTCCTCCATCTCCAGCTCAAGCGCTTCGAGTACGACATGCAGCGCGATCAGAACGTCAAGATCAACGACCGCCACGAATTTCCGCTCGAGATCGACCTCGAGCCGTACCTCGACGAGAAGGCCGACCGGTCCGAGTCGCACGTGTACAAGCTCCACGGCGTCCTCGTTCACTCGGGAGACGTCCACGGCGGCCACTACTTCGTCCTGATCAAGCCCTCGCCCGACGGTCGCTGGCTCCGCTTCGACGACGACCGCGTTGTTCCCGTGCGCGACCGCGAAGTCCTCGAGGACAACTTCGGCGGCGAGGCGCCGATGGCCAATGGTCAGCCTATGCCGCCGCCCAACTTCCAGCAGCCGCAGCAGCAGGGCGTCAACAAGCCGCCCGTCAAGGGCGCTATGAAGCGCTTCACGAACGCCTACATGCTCGTCTACATCCGTGAGTCGAGGGTCAAGCAGGTCCTCAAGACTATCACGGTTGAGGATGTGCCGGAGCACTTGAGGAACCGGCTCGAGCAGGAGAGGAGGGAGGCCGAGCAGAAGAAGCGCGAGAGGGACGAACAGCACCTCTACCTGACGGCGAAGGTGCGTCCGTCTGTCTCCCCAGCTTCAAGCTTCCCACTTAACGTTCCGCACACGCAGGTCATCACCGAGGAGACGTTCCGGCAACACCAAGGGTTCGACCTCGCGACGTTTGACGACCGCACGATGCCGTCGACACCGCTGCCGTCGTACCGCGTCGCGAAGCAGCAGCCGTACCTCGACTTCCGCGCGCAGGTCGCCAAGGACCACGGCTACGACCCGAACGGCGTCCGCCTCTGGGTGCTCGTCAACCGCCAGAACAAGACGATCCGACCCGACACGCCCATCAGCGACCAAGACCCGACGCTCACGATGGAGACGGTGCGCGACAAGATGGCGTCGAGGCAGCACGACCTCAAGCTGTACCTCGAGTACATCGACCCCCAGACCAAGCACGACTGGCAGGTCCTCCACGGCACCGAGCCGCCCATCATGGTCTTTGTCAAGCACTTTGACCCGAACAAGCAGACGCTCGCCGGCGTCGGGCACTTCTACGTGCACCGCAACATGCGCGTCATGGACCTCGCGAGCAAGATCAACGAGCGGATGGGCTACCTCCCGACGACGCCGCTCAAGATCTACGAGGAGATCAAGCCCAACATGATCGAGCAGATGAAGATGAAGGCGACCTTCCTGCAGTCCGAGATCCAGGACGGCGACGTCGTCTGCTTCCAGGTCGACATCAACGACCAGGCCGTTTCGGCGTCGCAGGACGGCGCGCCCGACCGCCAGCACGGCTTCCAGAACCCGCTCCAGATGTACGACTACTTCCTCAACCGCGTCGTCGTCCACTTCAAGCCCAAGTACGACGACCCCGAGCTGCCCGAGTTCGCCCTCACGCTCTCGAAGAAGCACTCGTACGACCAGCTCGCGCAGCTCGCCGGCGAGTACCTCAAGCGCGACTGGCTCAAGCTGCGGTTCACGCAGGCGAACGGTGCGAACGGCGCGCCCAAGTCGATCGTCCGCCGCCAGTCGAATCACACCGTCGCGGAGATGATTCAGCCCGGCTACATGACGCCGACGAGCAACCTCCTCTACTACGAGACGCTCGACGTGTCGATCATCGAGCTCGAGACGAAGAAGAGCCTCCGGATCACCTGGGTCGGCCCGACGAACAAGGAGGAGAACTCGTACCCGTTCCTGCTGCCGAAGAACACGACCATGCTCGAGGTCGCGAGCGACCACCTGCGCAAGGAGGTCAAGCTCGCCGCGCCAGACACAGTCGGGTCCGGCCAGATCCGCATCTTCGAGCTTTCGAACCAGGGCAGGACGCAGCGCGTGTACAGCGGGCAGGAGGTTGTGCGCGACATCCCCGAGTCGACAGAGCTGTATGCGGAGGAGATCTTGCTCGAGGAGGCGAACGCCGAGGACGACGAGCGGGTCGTCCAGGTCTACCACTTCAACCGCGACCCTCAACGCGCGCACGGCATTCCCTTCCGCTTCGTCCTGCGACCGGTGCGTTCCACTCGGTCCTTTCCTTTGTGCGTGCTCGCTGACGAGAGGTTCATTGCGCAGGGCGAGCCGTTCTCGGAGACGAAGCTGCGGCTGCAAAAGCGAACAGGGTCGTCGGAGAAGGACCTGGCCAAGATGAAGTTTGCGATCATTCAGCCGGCTGTTTTCAAGCAACCCGCGCCGATACAGGATGGTACGTCTCGTCTCTGAATCTGCGAGACGAGCCGCTTCGCTGATGTGCGCTTCTGCCGGACAGACGACATCCTGGCAGACCACCGATGGGCCGACGACGACTTGCTCGGCATGGACCACCCCGACAGGCGGAAAGTGGTCAGCGAACGAGGCGTCTTCATCCGTGCGTGCTGTCCGCTGGATGTGTTGAGGGCGAGTCGCTGACTTCTGCCGCATTCGCGCAAACAGGATGATCGCCTGCCGCCTCCACCTCTCCTTCGTCGTCGCTTCCTCGTCTCGCTCTCGTCCCGTCTCGCCGTCATCTGTACAAACGCTTCCCGCAAACCGCTGCGATCGCCTCGCGGCGTCCTTCGCCTCTCGTCCCCTGCACCTTCCCTCCTCTGCCCTCGTGTCTGCGTCTCCCGTGTAGTTGCAATTTCCACTGTTTCGAAAGGCTACACTATGCGGCTACAAGGGAGCCGTCGCAGCTGTTCCGAACCTGTGCCCGCCTTGCCCTCCCTTCTCCTCCTCTCAAGCTCCTCCCCTTGTCTCGTGCACTGCTTCGCGCTCGTAGCTATCAGCGCCTCCATCTGCTGCTCCTTGGTCAGGCATGGGTCACTGCTCGCCCGCGCACCTTTCCGCCCCTCCTTCCCGCTCGTTCTTCCCGATGACGAACCCGCCCTCCCTTGCGACAACGGAATCTCCGCCGCTCGCGCCTCGAGGAGGATGCGCGGCATGCTCATTCAGCTGGCCGAGTCTCATGCTTCGGCAACGCTTCGCACGGTCCGCGCGCTTGCTGAGCGAGCGCTGACTCCCTCGTCCCTTTGTTCTCTCCGCTGATCTGCTCGGGGTTTCGCTCTGCCGCTCACTCATCGCTTCACCTTGAAGCGCAATCAAGAAGCGGGGCCCGACTAATTCGGCGTTCGCAGTCCCTCCGTCCCTCTCTCTTCTCCCTCAACACCCATCTCTCCGCCTCAAGAAACGCCATGCTTTCCACCGCTCCCGCCATCGACGCTGCGATCGCCAAAGCGACTTCGGACCCTTACCACAACCTCCCGCGAGCCGTCTTCCTCGCGGCGACTTCGAACGACGCCAGCCTGTACGAAGGCAAGGGTGGATGGGCCCGTCTCCCAGCTGAGCCCGTCTCGAACGACGTGCTCGAGAAAGAGGGCGAACCTATCACGGCAGACTCGATCTTCGAGCTGTACTCGGCGACGAAGCTCGTCGCCGCCATTGCGGTTCTCCAGCTGGTCGAGCAGGGCAAGATGCGACTTGAGGACGACGCCAGCAAGTACGTGCCGGAGCTCAAAGACGCGAAGCTGTTCAAGGGCTTCGACGAGGACGACAACCTGATCCTCGAGGACAACGCGACGCCCATCACGATCGAGATGCTCCTCACGCACACGGCTGGTTCGTCTCTCGCTCGCACTCGTCGTGGCAGCTTTGCTGACTGTCGCACCTCAGGCTTCCAGTACTTCATGTTCAACCCGGATGTTGTGAAGATCGCGCAAAAACTGGGTGTTCACCCTCTGCCGAACGCTGAGGGAGCAGTTCGGGTGCGCTTCCGCGTCTGACTCTGTCTCCTGCCCTCTCTTACACATCTCATGTGTTGCGCACGCACAGGAGTGGGTCACAAAGATGCCGCTGATGTTGTGCGTCGTTGCTTCGACCCTTCTTGCCGTTCCAAGCTGACCTTCTACGCCGAACGGCTGACAGCAAGCCCGGCGAGCACATGGTCTACGGTCCGAACATTGACTGGGTGACGTTGGCTGTCGAAGCCGTCAGCGGCAAGCCATTGGAGCTGTACTTTAAGGAGCACATCTTTGAGTGCGTTCCGTCGCTCACTCGACTTCTCTTGCTTTCCGCTTGACTCGCTCTCGACGCAGACCCCTTGGCATCCACGACATGTCCTTCATGCCCGACTCGTCGCAAATCTTCATGGCTTTCATCGACGAGGAGGATCCGTCCAAGCCGCTCGCTATCCGCCCGAACACTCCGCTCTCGTCGACGCAGCACTTTGGCGGCGCCGGCCTCAAGGGCTCGCCACGCTCGTACCTCAAGATCCTCCGCATGCTCCTACGAGGCGGTGAGCTCGACGGCGTCCGCCTTCTCAAGAAGGAGACGGTCGACCTCATGTTCGAGGATCACCTCACAACGGACCAGCAGCGGCAGGAGCTTCGCGTCTTCGGCAAGGACCTTTTCGACCCTGCAACTCGGCGCGCGACTGAGCCTTCTCGCGACCTTACGTACGGCATCGGCGGCGCGCTCACGGGCAAGGACCTTGCGACCGGGCGAGGTGCTGGCGCTTTGACTTGGAGTGGCATGGCGGTACGTACACGCCTTTGTCTCTTGCTCCTGCTGGATTCCCCCGATTGACTGTGTCTGTCTGTGCAGAACACCTACTGGGTGGTCGACCGCGAAAAGGATGTTGCGTTCGTCGTCTGGACCAACGTCATCCCGTTTGCCTGCCAGCCCATCCACGACCTCTGGTTCGACATCGAGACCGAGCTATACAAGGGTCTTGCGTAGGAGAGGAGCGGGCGGGCGCACCAGCGTTCCCTCAGCTTTCGATCCTCTGCAACGTCGTCCTCTCATTCGTCTCCCTCTTCAACGCTCGTGCGCGATACAAACACCCGCTTTCGCCGCCCTCGACGAGAGAGCGACGGAGCAGCCGGCCTTTCCGCGACACTCTGCCGCTCAATTCTCCTTCCTCCGTCTCCAGCCACTTCCTTAGTTCTCCACCGCTTTCTCGTTCCGTCCATCGTCCGCACATTATGCATATGGCCCTTCGCGCTGGGTCGATCGTTCCGCCGCCCCCACTTCTTCGGCGAGCGGATCTCGCTTGTCTTCCTCCTCATCCTGCGCTTCGTACAGCTCGAATGCTCTCGACAGCAGCTTCCATCGACGCGCTTTTGGCTGCCGCCACGTCGGACCCGTACCACGGCCTTCCACGCGCTGTCGTCCTCGCCGCTTCTTCAACCGATCCCGATGTGTACAGCAGAAAAGCCGGTTACGCTCGCCTTCCGCCAGGGCCAGGTTCGCGAGACGCGCTCGACAAGGAGGGCGTGCCAGTGACGGACGAGTCGGTCTTCGAGATCTTCAGCTGCACGAAGCTGGTCTCCGTCATTGCCTGCCTTCAGCTGGTCGAGCAGGGCAAGCTGCGGCTGGAGGACGATGCGCGGGTGTATGTGCCGGAGCTGAAGGAGGCGAAGCTGTTCATCGGATTCGACGAGATTGGCGACCTCGTCTTCGAGGAGAACTCGTCGCCTATCACAATCAAGGCGCTGCTCATCCACACGGCGGGTGCGTTCCATCAGCTCGTCCTCAAAAGTGGATAGCGCTGACGGTACCTAACATTGTGCAGGCTTCAAGTACGACTTCGTCGACACCCGCTTCCCCAAAATCGCCGAAAAGCTCGGGATTCCCTCCGCGCCATACTACAAGGGTGCTGTACGGGTGCGTTTGGCCGTAGTTAGATCGCTATGAGCGCTGCTGACCTCGTCGGAACGCAGGAATGGCTCACGAAGACGCCGCTGTTGGCGTGAGTCGCTTGCGTCGCTTCGCTTTTCTCGAGTCTCACGCTTCTCACGCTTCTCCACTCTATAGCAAGCCCGGCGAGCACTGGAGCTACGGTCCGAACATCGATTGGACGAGCCTCATCGTCGAGTTGATGAGCGGCCTTCCTCTCAACGAGTACTTCCAGAAGCACATCTTCGCGTACGTTGACCGCTCCCTCGAGTGCCCAAGTCCGCCGCTGACGTCGCTCTCCGACAGTCCACTCGGCATTCACGACATGTCCTTCATGCCGAACCCTCAGCAGATCACCATGGCCTACGCCGACCCCTCTGACTCTTCGAAACCGCACACCATCGGTCCCAACCCGCCTCTCTCCGAAACTCAGCACTTTGGTGGCGCCGGTCTCAAGGGCTCGCCTCGCTCGTACCTCAAGATCCTCCGCTTGCTCTTGCGTGGCGGCGAGCTCGACGGCGTCCGCCTTCTCAAGAAGGAGACGGTCGACCTCATGTTCCAAGACCAGCTCGAGACCGACCAGCAGCGTCGAGACCTTCGTACGTGGTGCAAGGAGAACGTTTGTCCGTCGACGCGACGAGCGGCGGAGGTGTCGAAGGACATGACCCATGGTCTCGCGGGCGTCTTGACCGGCAAGGACCTTCCGACGGGTCGTGGAGCCGGCGCTATGGCGTGGAGCGGACTCGCCAACACCCACTGGTGCATCGACCGAGAGAAGGACGTCGCCTTCGTCGTCTGGACGAACTTGTTGCCCTGGGGCGACCAGCGGTTTTTCGACTTGTACTACGATGTCGAGACGGAGCTGTACAAGGGGCTCAAGCAGTAGACGGTTGTGATCGACACATTGGCTGGCTCTCTCGTTCCTCTTGCGTTCCAGAACCTGGTTGAACTCGTCGAAGAATCCGTCAGTACGAAATGCCTCTCCTCCTCAAGGGGCGGACTTCGCCTCGCTTGTTCGCGCTGAATCCGCCGCCAGCGGTCGAGCATGTCTGCTCACTCGCAGAAGGAGCACGAAAGAGAAGGGCAAGGAGAGGGAGAAAAGGGCGAGCGAACGTTGACCTTCCCACACGACCCGCACGTGCGGGCGCACACGACCCGTCGCTGTCGTCTCCTCTCTCCTCTCCTGCCGTCTTGCGCTCTCCAGACAGCAGCACACGACACATGACCACGTACGCGAACAAGCAGAAGCAGCACGAGCAGGCTTGGGAGCCGCCAACACCCCGCTCCAACTTCGTTCCCCTCCCTGCGACCACACTCCCCGTCGACCACCTCGTACTCCTTCCGCCGCCCCTCATCCCACACGACGACGTCAATACAACGTCGACTGGGACTGCAGCCGGCCTCTCACGGCCAACACTCCCTTCTCTGCGCGCGACCTTCGACTCTCCTCCTCCCGCCTCGACCGACGCCTCGGCAGTTCGCCAAATCGACGACGATGACTGGCTTCCAGAATCATCCAATGCAAAACGTCCCCGCCGGTCTGCTGCAATTGCTGCCGCTCGCAACCTCCCTCGCCAACCCTCCCCCTTCGACCTCGAAGAGGACGACCCAAGCGTCAAAGAGCCCAGTCCTTCGACTTCGCCCCCTCCGACCGCTTCGGCGTCTCGAGGAGCGGGCGTAGCAGGATCGTCGAAGCGCAAAGTCTCTCACTCGCTGATCGAGCGAAGGAGGCGCGAGAAGATCAACCAGTGTCTTCAGGTGCTGAGGGAGACTGTACCGAGTCTCAAGGAGGAGGGCGAGCGCAAGATGGCGCGAGCGAGGGCGCGCGGGCGGAAGAGGGGACGCGGAGATGAGGCAGGCGAGCGCGGAGGACTGCACAAGCTGGAGATACTCGAGGTGAGAGTCTCGGTTTCGAAGCAGGAGGTCTAGAGGCTGATCGCCTGTTTTGCAGGGTACGATCGCGTACATTGAGGACTTGCGAAGCCGGATCGAGCTACTCGAGAACGGATCAAGGGACTCGTCGACAACTGCCGAGCCGTCGACGTCGTCGCAACATCCCGCCGTCCAGCCTCCCTCACGAACGACCGCCCTTAAACCCGCGCAAGTTATGCCTCTCCCCTCCCCACTCCTGACGGCGACAAGCTCCGGCTCGAGCGGTTCTGGCGAAGTGGACATTGTCGACGACCACGAGGCGAGCATGCTCCTCCTCGACTTTGCGACCTCGCCCGAGCTCCGTCCCGTCATGTAGACAATCCTCTTTGCCTGTAGATGTCTGGCTGTCGTTTCTCGATGTGCATTGTTGACGGACCCGCTGTTCTCCCTCGACGAGTGGCAGGACACTGGCGTTGGAGCGGGTCGAAGGCTGTTCAGTCGGCGGCTGAGAGCGTATTGCGAGCAGTCACGAGCTACTCAGCGAGTCCTGCTGATAGCGAGTGAGCGGTTCGTGGTCAAGAGGATCCGGTCCGCAAGTTCGCCGCTTCCACCTCTTCTCCCACGCCCGCTCCCGTTCAGAAGGCTTGCTAGACTCGCTCAGACGGCTTGAACGGCTGATACCCGGCTTGGATGCTCGCATACCCCTTCTCAGCGGCGCGAACCGCTTCATCGCGATTCGGCCCCGCTCTCGGTAGATGGAGTGGATGTGGACGAGGACTCGCTACGGTGTCTAGAGACGATGGGCAGGACGGAAAGAAGATGAGGATGATCCTGCTTGGCGCACCTGTGCGTACTGTAGCTTCTCGTCATACTGAACCCGCTCATTCCTCTTCGGCTCGTTGCGTACAGGGTGCAGGGAAGGGAACGCTGAGTGACTGGCTACTCGAGCGGTACGAGATCGATACGATCGTTGTTGGACAGCTCTTGCGGAACGAGATCACGCGGGGGACACGGTTGGGACAGGTTGCTGAGCGGACGATGAAGCAGGGTGGTGCGTTAGCGCCTCGTGCGGTTGCTTTCGACTCATTCATTGACCCTAACTTCCATGTGCAGCGCTGCTGCAAGACGAGCTCGTCCTCGAGGTCGTGCAGCCGGCGATTGAGGCAAAGAAGGACAAGGTCTGTCGACTCTTCGCCCCATTCCGCTTCCTTGCGCTGACACTGTCTACTCGCAGGACTGGATCCTGGACGGTTTCCCTCGGAAGAAGTCGCAAGCGGTACTGCTAGATGAGATGCTCGGCAAGACGGGCGACGAACTCAACTTGGTCGCCTCGCTCAAGGTCCCGGATCAGGTCATCATTGAGCGGATAGAGGGTGCGCACCACCCACGCTTTGCGCTCCACCGGACGCTGACACTCCATCCGTTCGACAGACCGGTTCATTCACCTTCCGTCGGGAAGGACGTACAATGTCCGTTTGCCTCCTGCTCGTCTCAGCTACTTCCGCTGACACAAATCTCGCCTACAGCTCAAGTTTAACCCGCCAAAGATTGCTGGAAAGGACGACGTGACAGGCGAACCTCTCAGCCAGCGACCAGACGACGACCCCGTTTGTTCCATTTCTCTACCTCTTCCGCTTGCCGCTGACAGTACCATGCACAGGCCATCGTCCGCAAGCGACTCGAGTCGTTCCATCACGAGAACGACCCGCTACTGGCGCACTACGACGGCGCGCTCGTCTCGTTTAGAGGCAAGACGAGCAAGGAGATCTGGCCGCATCTCAGCAAGGCGGTGGAGGAACGGGTGCGTCTGACGAGCTCGATATCCGCTGCGTGTGCTGACGATGCCGCCCGCAGTTCCCGAACCTGCCTCGACGGACATCACCTCGCTCTCCTTGAACCCCCTAAGCCGATTCTCGCCGTCTCCGTCCCTTGTTGTTGCCGTGTCGCTGTGCAACGCGCTCTGTACAGTCAACTGTCGACGCGAAAGCGCGAGATGTTAGGGAAGCAGTGAGGCCGCAACGAATCTGGCTGCGCCGGGGCAGCCACTCCACTTCTCTCGAGACCGCGAAGTGAGGGGACGAAAGATTGCAGCCGAACGACGTATACACGTAGCGATGGCGATGCGTTTAGTCGAAGAGACCGAAGCCCTGCAGATCCAGGAAGAGGTCAGCTCGGAGACGACGATCCAGCTCGCCAAGTTGTCACGAACCATGTCGTCGTCCGACTCCTCCTTCTCCTCCTCCTTGGCCTTCTCCTCAGCGGGAGCGGCGTCACCGCCAGCGGCAGCACCAGCGCCGGGGGCAGCGGCAGCGGGAGCCCCAGCGCCGGAGCCGACGTTGCTGCGAGCGCGACCAGACCGGGTCAGCTCGAGCATGGCTAGAAGTGACCAGGGTGAGCACGCACGTAAGGAGCTCCTTGACGTCCTTGCCCTCGAGAGCCTTGGCGAGGAGCGAGGCCCAGATGGGCTCGACCTCAACACCGGCAGCCGAGGTGAGAGCGGTGATCTTCTCGGCCTGTTGTCCAATACGCGAAGAATGCACCACCGTGTCAATAAGCGCGTTCTTCCGATTGCGAGCGAGCTGGAGAGCGGGATGAGGGAGGGAGACTGACGGTAATCTCGAGGCCCTCGTCGGCGAGGATGAGGGCGGCGTAGGTCGAGGCGAGTTCCGAGGCCATCTTCTGGTGGAGCACGCGGGCAGGGAGGGTGACGCGAAGGTGAAAGAGGAGAGGGAAAGGGCGAGGCGAGAGACGACGGCAAAAGTCAGCGAACGTCCCGCTCGCAAAGTGGTGCTCACCGCCCTCGACCGGCCTGCCTGCCCTGCCCAGTACCATCTGCACCTGTACTGCGTCCCACTGAGCCGCCCATTCACCCTCCAGGTGCCCGCGGTGACTGTCCAGTCCGCCCGGAAAACTGCCCGTCCTCCTCGGTCCCTCGGTCGTTGCAGGCGGCGCGCAAGCTGGCAGGCCCGTCGAGGGTGATCGTGCGGTGCAGCAGCAGAGTGTAGCTCACTGTACACAGGCTCCTTTGCGGTTTAAGCGAGAACGCGGCGAGTGTCGTGGAGCTGAGGGCCGCCCTCGAGCTCGGCGCGCTCTCGTCCAAGTCAGCGTCCCCCTGACATCGCTCCTTTCCTCTTCTCTCGCTCGCTTGCTTGGTACGGATGAGGGCACGCGTAGGTATGGTATACACAAGGGGAGAGAGCGGCGAGGGAAGTGAGGAGGAGAAGGTACCAGCTCCGAGGGGGGGGAAACAACTGTCGACGGCGGACGGACGGGGGCTAACTACGGTGATTGACGAACGACGAGTCGCGGAAGAAAGAGAGGGGAACCGCATGCAGAGACTGCTCGCAGGGGTATAAGGGCGGCGAGGGAGCGAGGCGGATGCGAGGATAACAGCCGGGGTGGGAGAGGGTAGAGTGCGTCGAGCTGGATCACCTCTGACCCTGGGGCGGAACACCGCGACCTGCAGAGCCGGGGCGAGGCGGGTTGATGAGAGGCGCATCATCGAGGCTGCGAGAAAACGTCGAGTCAGTCGAGCGTTTGGGGCAGAGGAAGCGCCGACGGTCCGCACGACTTGTGCCCTTGCAGTTCCTTGAGGATAGACGGGTCGATGGGGATGACACTCTTCCGTCGGACGTGCGGCTGCTGCATGGTGCCGACCGCTCGTCGCGACGTCTCGGGGAAGTGGCCCTCCGGTGGCTGCGCATCACGAGCGAGTGTCAGCCGCGATGCTCGTCAGCCGTGGTCGAGAGCAGACGCACCAGGTCTCCATGTCCGTCGTCGTGCTCGAAGCTGCCTTCGGACCCAGGACCGCCTCGCAAGTCGGAAGGACCAGCCATCCCGACCTCGTTCCCGAGCATGCCCATTCCCTGGCCGATCGCGCTACCCTGCGCCGCACCAGCCCCGTAGCCTCCTCCTCCACCTCCGACGCCCATGCCGACACCCATTTCCTCGTCCATCTCGTCGAAGCGGGCGTCGTCGAGGTCCTGCGCGTCTTGGAGCGGATTGTACGCGCCGCGTGGGACGGGGTCGTCGTCGAGCAGCGACTGCGGGATCGACGCGCCCGATGCCCGTCGGTTGTGCAGCGCCGTAGACCGCATCGACCGCCACTTCTCCTCGCGCTGCTTCTCGCGCTCCTTGTCCCTGCGAGGTGCATCCAGGTCAGCTCGGCGCGACGGCGGGAGCAGACTCGCGCAAACGTACGCCAGACGTTGCCGCTTGTACTCCGCTGAGCAGTGCTCGAAGACATCCGCGTTCAAGTCCATCAGCAGCTTGAGGGCGTTGTAGGCGAGGTTATGGATTTGTCTGCGGGAACCAAGCCTGTCAGCCTCCCCCGCGCGCATGCAATGGCAGGAAAGGGATACGCACCGGTTCCAGTGTCCGTTCGAGATGGTGTGGAGGGAAGGGTAGACGATGGGCAGGACGTCCTGGATGTTTTCGCCGATGAGGTTGACGATGTACTCGTTGTTCCAGTAGTACAGCGCTCGTTCAGCGACCTGGCAACGCACAGCTGATCAGCGACCGAGTCACGACGAGTTCGATGCCGGAAACGCACCTGGAAGTGCTGCGAGCTAACGCAGCGCGACAGTTGCGAGAAGAGCTTGACCATGATCTTCTGGAACTCGGCGGGCTCGATGACGTCGAGTATCTCCTCGACCTCGTTGAGGAACATGACCTCCTTGGGCGAGTTGACCTTGGGCCAGTACTTGAGGAGGCCCTCGACGACCTGGCACGTCAAGCTCGCGTCCTTCTCGAGGAACTGGACGACGCAGTACGCGAGCTGCGGGTGGTACAGGGCGAGACCGCGCGCCTTGTGCAGGGGGATGAGAACGCGCGTGAGGAAGACCTTGTGCTCCTCCTTGAGCGGGAGGGCGAAGCCGTTGATGATCGAGCCGAGGATCTCGAGCAGCTCGGCGATGCCGTTGTGTCGCTCGGTCTCGTAGATGAACTGGTAGAACACGTTGTTGATCGAGCGGCGGATGAAAGCGCGGAGGTTGAGGAATTTGCCGTAGATTCGGTGCAGGGTGGTCTTGAGGAAGTCGCGCTCGCGCGGGTCCTCGCTGTCGAAGAGCTCGAGGAGCTGTGCGCAAGACAAAGAATGAGATCAGTCTTCTGCCTTGAGGCAAATGACCTGATCACTTCGGCGCTCAGCACGCACCTGGAGGACAAACTGCTGGTCGATGTACCGCTTGGCGATGTTGGTGTTGAAGTCGGGGCTCTCGACGAAGCGGAGGAAGAACTCGTAGACGATCTGGAGGTGCGGCCATGCGAGTTCGAGGACCGGCTCGTCCTCCTCTGGGTCGAAGGCATCGCCCACGGGGTTGACGGGCGGAGGAATTGAGCGGAACAGGTTGGCGGCGAACTGTACGAGAGCAGGACAACGAAGTAGGTCAGTCAATATGCTCGCGAGCTCATGGCGGCCTTATGAAGTCGTGTCCGCGCACCATGTGGACGACCTCGGGGTAGACGCTCTCGGTGATGACGCCCCTCTGCGTCGTGATCCAGTCGAGCATCTCTGCGAGCGTCTGGCTCTTGATCTGCTTACTCCCAACATCGGCGCTCGCATCGTTGAAGTCGAAAACGTGCGAGCACTGGTGGAGCTTTTGGAGGAAGAGCTCGTGGCGCTCGACGACGGGGACCTCTGCGTGGGTTCAAGAGCGTCAGCGATACCTATAAGCGCCGGGAGAGAGCGTCTAGCGCACCGAGGAAACCGGGTAACCGCTGCAGCTCGACCTTCTCGTCAACATGCACCCTCGAACTCCGCTGCTTCCTCGGTGTCCTCGCCATCGGGATCGTGTCCTTGGGCGTGCCCTGTGCGAGTCCACCTCCGACAGCCTTGAGCTTGTTAGCCGCCGCCAATCCGCCGCCGAGGCCTCCGCCAGCCATCACGCCTGGTCCGCCGCCGAGCGCGGCTTTCGCGTCGCCTGTCACCGAGGCGAGGTTGGCAGTCGCGACGGTTGAGGATGCGCCGGGAGGGGGAGAGACCGAGGTTGCGATGGGTGCAGACGAGGTGGGGAACGGAACGGCAGAGGTGCGCTGGGGACCGCCCGGGATGTGGTGATGAGGGGACGAAGAGGGGTGCGGGAGCGGGTCGGGCGGCATGACGGCCTGCGCAGCATGACGAGTGTAAATGCAATCGTTCAGCAACGCAGAGGCGATCCCGCTCGGCGCTGCACGCCTCGCTGAGAAGCCCTGGCGAGCGGAGAGGAAACGAGGGTCCAACGCACATTGTCGCCGCTGACGACGATAGACGGAGCCTGCTGCATCCCCTTGCCCTGCTCGCGCTGTCCCCCGAAGCCTGTGCCAGTCCTCGCGCCGCCTGCGTAGCCCGACGAGCCCGGATTGCCCTGCTGCTGAGGAGCGGGGTGGTGGGGAGCCTGTTGCGGCGGGAGGTACTGCTGGGGCTGGTACTGCTGGGACTGCTGCTGAGACTGCTGAGACTGGTACTGCTGCTGCTGGGCGGACAGGTTTGACTGCTGGCTCGACTTGGAACCGGAACTCGCAGACGACGCCGCGGGGTGGAGCGACGAGCCCTGCTGAGACGCGGGCTGCGGCTGCGACTGGCCCTGCTGGGTGGGCGCCTTGCCGTTCGCCTGCTGGCCCGACGGACTCGCGTCCCTGCCTGTGCGGTTGAGCTGGGAGAGGATCGCGATGGATCGGGGAGGGTGTTGGTCGACGAGCGAGGACGAGTGGACGCGAGAGAGGGCGACTGGGTCAGCACGCGTGTTCCTGCTGCAGTCTGAGAGTGTCTGTGGCGACGTACGAGGCTCTTCTTGAGCGACTTCATCGCCGTGAGAGGTGCGTCGCGAGGGACGAGGGTGTGGGAGACGGGGTGTTCGGCGACTCGGGGCGGGACACGTTCAGGTGGACAGAGGGTGGCTTTGTGGTGCTGTGAGCGTCAAAGTGAGCTTGTCAGCTTCGCGAACGGCGCAGCTTGGCGAGGTTGGCGAGGACCGACCGCGACTTCGCCGCGCCTCGCTCTCGCCTCGACCGCTCGCTCAGAATGGCTTCGACCGCGACTTCCGGCTCGCCAGGCGGCTTGCAGGAATTAGTCACTAGTGACTCTCACTCATCCCTTGAAGCGCTACACGAGCTGCCCGGTCCCGACCAGAGCGACGGCCGCGGAAGCGACCTCTTACCTCGACGACAACTTCCTTCCGGCCATCGCGAAGGACTTGAACCTCGACAAGAAGGATCTCTTGATCGACGCCGCCCGCCGCAACCCGAAAGCGGTCTGGGAGGTCGACGCCTGGACGGTCACGGGCCAGTTCGAACCGACCGCTTCTCGTCATTCCCGCTCTCAAGCCCCGGGTGCGTTCCAGTGCTTGTCTGTGAGCGGACGATGCACGCTGACTCATTCTTATTCGTGGCGGAAGGACGTGCCTCAGGCGACGACTATCGAAGCGACCGCCAAGGAGTACTACGCTTCTGTCGCAGGGGACCCCGCGAGGAGTACAGCGAACGAGACTTTCATGCACCAACAATTGACCGAGAGTCAGGTCAAGTTGACGCGGTTGACGAACGAGACGAAGCAGGCTAGGCTGCTCGAGGCGAACAAGTTGGCGATCAAGGGTGCGTTGTCATTCTCCAATCCCGCTGCTCACAGCGGTCTCAGCTGATCATTGCGAGGGTCTCGTAGGCTTCGGACTCGCCGCGTTGCAGAAAGCCGGGAACTTGACTGACGCCGAGGTCAAGATGATCGCTTCGGTCTGGTGGCTTCTGGAGACTGGTACGTCCCGGCCGGTTTCGCGCGTGCTCAAGCTCGTTTTAACAGAATCAATATCGTTACAGGCGAAGGTGGATGGCGTCTCAGCTTCAACACTCTCGCCACCGACAACCCGCAGTCGACTCGCTTCCTCCAGCGCTTCAAGGTCCCTCTTAGGTTGCGCATCCAGAAGGCAATCACGATCCTCGACAAGCCTGACGTGCCGTCCACGCCCTTCATCGAGGCAATGGAGAAGATGGTGAATGATCCCGAGCTGCTCAAGCTGCGCGACGACCGTAACGAGGCGGCGCACGAGGGACGAGACGATGACGAGCAGGTGAAGGACATCATGCGCCGCTACTTCCCCGCAGAAATGTCGGAGAAGGAGCAGACGGTCGGGCGGATGCTCGACTTCGCCAAGGGTGCGTGGAGACTGGAGAGCGGTTATGTTGCGGACCTGTGCGAGGCTAACTCTCTTGATACCCGCGACAGTGACCAAGCCTGTGGAGGAGAAGCAGCTGAATGCGGTGACGTTCATCACGAGGAAGGCCCAGTAGAAAGGTACGCTCCGACATCCACACTCTCTAAAGGATGGTGTGTTCGAGACCAATGCTGTTGCGATGTGATGGGGTCCCACTGACTGAAGCTTGCTCTTCTTGTGCAGCTCTCCACCAATAGCCCGTTCGCATCAACACGCCATCAGCCCCCGCTCGAACTTCCGACCCCGACCTCGCTCGAACCGCAGCCTACTGTACACCCCAAACACAACCTTTGTCCCTACATTCGCATGACGTCTCGCCACCCCGTACATCTGTGTTGTCCCGTTCCCCCTCCGCAATCCCAGGCCTCGCACATTTTGCCCAGTCTCCTTCGCTTCACTGGGCCCTGCACACGTCGTCACGGCTCTCGCAAGGACAGCGAAGTGAGGAACGGAATGCAGGTATCAAATGCAAGAATGCGGAGAAAGGGGTATCAAAGAAGAGGGGTATCTTCCTCTCGGCATCGACAGGTCAGGCGTAGTCGAGCTGCCGGTGCTTCTCCTTCTCCAGCTTGGTGACCGTGTCCTCCATCTCAGACATGATGTCGTTCCACGAGACAAAGAGCTCGGACAGCGTCGAGATCTGCGCGCGCAACCCCGTCAGATTCCGCAAAGAAGAGGATCACGACGAGGTCCGACGAACGTAGTTGTTATAGCGCTGCAGCAGTGTCGTCGTACGTTGATCGAACGAGGAGTAGGACGCAGAGACGGGCGTAGCAGCCTTGCGAGTCTCGGCAAGCAGAGGCTTGAGCTTCTCGTGTTCTGGAGAACACGAAGGGTTAGCAATGAAGCCAATTCGGCGAGGCAGTCTCGCACGCACCTCCCAGCTTGCCCGTCTCGACGACCCCTCGCTCGTCCAGGACGCCAATCTCCCTCAGTTCCCGCTCGAGCGTCCGGATCTCCTGCTCCGCCTCGAGGATGAGGGCGACCTTCGCCTGCGGGAGGACCTCGGTCGAGTCGGGCGCCGTTGACACGGGTGCGATAGTCAAGAGAGGCGAGTTGGCGTCGTCTGCGAGCCGCTCTGCGAGTGTAAGCGACGAAGTGGGGAGGTGAAGTAAGGAAAGGGACGCACAGTTCTGCACAAACCGCTTGAGCGCCTCTGTTCCTCTGCCCGACTGCTCGAGAGCCTGTCTCAGTTGCGCTTCGACCTGCGAGACGCGCCTGGCGAGCGGGACTGTCGAAGCAGCGGGTCGAGGAGATGAGGACGAGGAAGGGGAGAAGAGCGACTCGAGGAAGCGCAGGCGGAGCTCGAGGGCGAGCTGGGGCGTGATCGTGAGTGGTCTAGCGTGGTCTGGCAGTCGGTCTAGCTCAGCTTGTGCCATGACACGAGGTAGTTCTTTCCAACCTGGCTCTCCACGACGCACACCACAGCAGACACCCGCGACACGCCCAGGCAGGATGTGAGCGCCCCAGGTCCATCCAGACAGCGTGCTGGAACTGACACGGACTCGTCCACACTCGCAGGGCCCTCTCCATCCTCGCCCCGCTCTCCTACATCGGATTCCTCGTCTCGTCGCTGTGGCTCTTTTCAAAGATTTACCGCAGGCGGCAGGCCAGTGCGTGCAGAATCCCGCTCGTCGCCGCCAAGGCCCTCCGAGCTGACCAAGTCCCGCCTCGTTTCCACACTTCCCTCCAAACGCGTCCCGCCCGCTCCACTCTCCACGACGCGACTTCGCCCTCGCAGACAAACCCGCCGTAGAGCCATGGTTCCCGCACCACAAGTCCCGCGACATCTACGTCTCGCTCCTCTCGCTCGACCCGCCTCCTCCGCGCCCTATCCTCGTCGCAGCCCTCCTCCGCCGCGCCATGGACGACGTCAAGCTGATCTGGTCCATTCGCGACGCCAAAACCTCCCTCACGACTCTCCTCCAGCGCGGCCAGATTGGCGACGACCTTTGGGAGCGCTTCCTGCTTGCGGAGAAGGAGCTCGAGGCGGAGATTGTCGAGGTTGTCGGCGAGGCCAACACGTTTGAGCCTGGATACGGGCAGAAGATCTTCAATATCGCGAGTGACATGGTCAGCCACGAGCGCTGGAAGGAGGTCTACAAGGACATCAACAAGAAGCGCGAGGAGGAGAGTGAGTTGGGCCCGTTCCTCTGGCCTGGATATGCTTGATCCGTCTTTGCGAGCATGTGCTCATAGTTGGTCGGCTCTGCTCACAGACGCCAAGCTCGCCTCGGGACTTCCACCCTCCGCCGTCCTCGCCCCGAACTCCTACCTCACCCCTTCATCCCTGACACTCGCTCCCTCGAACCCCCTTCTCGCTGCCGGCACCACTCCCGCCCCTTCCGCCGCCTCGACGCTCGTCGCCACTTCTTCCCCCGCACCTTCATCTCCCGCACAAGCGCCGATCGAGAAGACGGACGTGACTTCCGCACCGCCCTGTCGAGACGCAACGCCTGCGTCTGCGCCCGTCATCGCCGACGCCGGAGAGGCTGGCGCCCTCGCTGGTAAGGGTACGCCGGCGAAGTCGAAGCAGCCGGTCAACGGAAGCGAAGAAGCAGAGGATGAGCAGGTCAACGGTGCGGCGTCTCCCGCTGATACGCCCGCCGTAGCAGCAGGGGCGCCGAAGACAACGCCGAAGCCTGCGCCTAACAAGAAGAAGGGAAGGAGGAAGCCGCCCGTCAAGGGTGGGCGGTAGTAGCGTGTCGTTGGGTGAAAAGGTCGCTTTCCTCGCATTGCATTCCGCTTTGTTCGTTTTCCTCCGGGCGGGGCCCGCTTCTAGGATCGGACCGTGTCTTCGGAGCGTACAGCAGACCTGAGAGCCTGGCTATCGTGAGGTTCACGTTGGACCCGCCTCCTCCTCCCTCAATTTCCTCCGTACATGCTACGTCTCTCGCTTCTTGGGCCTCTGCTTGCGATCATCTCTGCCCTTCTCTACGCTCGCTATCACGCTAGTCCACCCTCGCACCACGCAATGACCCAGCTCGACCCAGAGAAGCTAGTGGGGCCGGGCGACAAAGCGTCTTCAGCGGACCACAGCATCCTGATGGACCAGATCATCATGTTCGGAGGTGCATTCAATCTCTCAAGCAATGTGTGATGCGGACTGACCCAGGCGAAGCGTGCGCGGGACAGACTCGATTACCCAGGGGGCTTGGGTGCCGGGCGGGACGGGCGCGACTATCTCGCATGCGTACCAGAGGAAGCTGTGCGTCCAGTGCTGCCCTGAAGGTGCGCCTAGGCGGATCGTCTGACCTCGCATGCGTGCAGGGATGTCATCAACCGAGGATTCTCAGGTTCGTCCCCTCCTACCTTCCTTGAAGGGTTCGTACTGACGCTCTTCGCCCGCTATAGGGTACAACAGTGCGTCAAGCTGCCTTGAGCGAGCGCGCCGGACATGGAGCTGATCCGCCGTCTCGTCACAGCCGTCTGGGGCCTCGACGTCCTCAAGCAGGTTCGTCGCTTTCCTTCAGCTGCATCATGTCGTCCTGAAGAAAGTGCTCACGTACTGCTGTACAGTGGCTGCCCCGCAAGGACGAGAGGCTGCCGAAGATCCGCATCTTCTTCGTCTGGTTCGGAGCGAACGATGCGTGCCTTCCACCGTCCCCTCAGGCTGTTTGTCCCCGTGCTTCGAATATCTGCCAGACTCCTTGCTCATACTCTGACAAGCGCAGGTCACGCTCGAGGATTTCAAGAAGAACCTGAACACGATCATGGACCTCCTTCGCTCGCCTTCCTCGCCTCACTGTTCGCCCTCGACTCAGATTGTTCTCATCACCCCTCCTCCCGTCGATGCCGACATCCGCAATGCCGAGCTTGCCTCGCGGGACCCTCCCCGCGTGCCCGACCGCGACCGCAAGCACACGCAGGCGTTCGCTGAGGCAGTCAAGGAGGTCGCAAGGAATGCAAAGGTTCCGAGCGTGGACGTGTGGACGAAGATTACGGCGACGGCAGAGCAGCAGGATGGCGGGAAGCTGGATCGGTATCTGAGCGACGGACTGCACTTGACGGCCGAGGGATACAGGCTGGTCACCGAAGGTGCGCTGACCTTGCACGTCTTCCAGGACAGTACTGACGTCGTCTCGCATGTCAGAGCTCGCCGAGGTCATCATCAGGCAGCTGCCGCACCTGCACTGGGACCGACTCGAGCAGAGGTTCCCGCACTGGGCAGACTTCCTTACGCCAGAGCAGCGATTCTGATCGTCCGTTCGCGGCGCAATCGTCAGCAGTGCCTTAGTAATGTCAGCGTCGCTTCACTGGGATTCAGGAGAGCTGCTGTTACAGATCTCGCAGGGTCTTGCACTTCTCGTCCTCCGACAACTCGCTCATGTCACACTACTCCGCTTCCTGGGCTTCTCCGCTCGGCGGTCTGCACCCAACGCTCCAACTACACATCGACGCCGTTCCTACACCCTCCTGTGCCCTCTACACCCACATCTCTCTCCCTCCCCACTTCATCGCCGACAAGTTTCAGCTCGTCCAGCTGCATCGCGAGGGCAAGCTAGGGGCGTACGATGCGTCAATCGGAGGTAGAGATAGCTTCGGGCATGCCGGCGAGGCGGGCCTTGAGGCACCGGTGTGGAAGGCGGGCGAGGGAAGCTTGTTGATCAGGGTGCGAGAAGCGGAAGTCGGGGCAGGGCCGCCAAAGCGGATACACTTCGAGGTGCCGTTGCATCTGCGCTATCAAGCCCCGGTGAAGGAGCGACACACGGACGGCTTGCGGCAGGACGTCGTCGAGGTCGAGTTTCCGTATCCTCGTGTGTTCTGGGCATGTCCCGACGGTGCGTCCTCCTTCGGGCTCCCAACAGCGGCAGAACTGACGGCTTACCACAGGCGTATCGGTACCCAACTCACAAGCATGCCCGCCAGCATCCCTCGACCCGGCTTTCCCTCACCTCCCTGCTTCAACTCTCCACTTTCTGCCAGCCAACGCTTCGATAGCGGGTCAACCGGGCTGTCCTCCACCCTCACCACCTTCCCTCAGCCTCACAGCGCCTACCGGTGTCCAAGCAGATCTTCCCGCCGTCGAAACGACTACGGCGGCGACAATCTGGCTCTGCTTCGCTTTCCTGGTGTGGACTGCGGTTTCGACGTGGCGAAGGAGTCGGAGAGAAGCAGTAGACGAGCAGAAGAAACGGCAATAAGACACGACGATGCGAAGTTGCAGAGGTTTGCGAAAAGAACGAGGCGGTACCAGCCCGACAACAAGCGAACAAGCGAGGAGAGAAGCGAGAGTGTCTATGCACGGGGGAAAGAACGGGATCAGGTCACAAGACTGTGCACTTGGCTTTGCGGCGCTTGATGCTGCGCCCGATCAGGCTCGTCCCCTTCATCGCCTCCCGCAGCGCCAGGTCAAAGACCTCCTCGACGCCCCTTCCCGTCATCGCGCTCACCTCCGCGTACTTGGCGCCTATCCGCTTGGCGACTGCAGCGCCTTCCTCGGGCGTGACCGGATGCCGCCCTTGCGCCTTGAGGAGCGAGACGGCGGTCGAATCGGCGCGCAGGTCCGTCTTGGTCGCGACGAGGATAATTGGGACGTCCTCGCAAAAGTGCGCGACTTCGGGGTACCACTGCGCGCGCGGATGGACTGTTAATCAGGCGAAGAGGAACCGGTGGGCTGAAGAAACGCACCTTGTCTTCAACGTTCTCCAGGCTCACGGGGTAGTCGACGGCGAAGCAGACGAAGAGAACGTGCGTCTCGGGGTAGGACAAGGGTCGCAGGCGGTCGTATTCTTCCTGGCCAGCCGTATCCCACAGCGCGAACTCGACGATCTTGCCCTCGTACGGCTTGTTGAGCACGCTGGACAAGACGGGTGTCAGCGAGTGCAAAACAGAGAACGTCGAAACGCCGAGCGTACTAGTTCTCGAAGACGGTTGGGATGTAGTCCTGCGAGAAGACCAAGGTCAGCTCGAGAAGCGGGAGAGCGAGTCCGAGGTCGACGCACCGTCGGGAACCGCTTCTGAGAGTACACGATGAGCAGGCAGGTCTGTAGGATGCAGTGCACAAGTCAGCAACTCCCTCTGAGCATGCTGAATGTCCCTCGTCGCTGTGTTCGGCGATGGAACAGGAGTGAGAGACTGAACGCACCTTGCCCACGCCGCCATCTCCAACGCACGTGAGCTTGACCTTGGCATCCGGCCGTGCGACTGGCAGTGGCTGCGACGCCTGCGAAGCGGTGCTGCCGTGGGTGTAGGACGTCGAAGGTGTCCCGTAAGAGTGAGCGGGCGAGCCGCGCGACGACTCTGCGTGTGCGTGGTAGTCGAGTTGCCTGTTCATCCTGAGCTGTTCTGCGAGCGTGTCTGCGCCCAGCAAGCGGTCGCTCGAGCTCCAGCGAGGTTGCGAGAGGTCGCCAAACTCGGGTCGCGTCGTCGTCGCGTGCAGACCTCGCCGTTTGACATCTCGCTCGCTCGCCGTGTGCGCGGCTGGACATGCTACTGTAGACGCTCGCGATGGCTACACACGGCGCAGAGGCGCAGCCCGACTTCGCGGCCATCCTGCGCACCGCTCACGACTCGCTCGCCGCCAGCCTCGAAGCCGACGTCAACGGTGCGTTCGCTGGCTCCTGGTGGCCTGGGGGAAAGTGTGCGAGCTGACAGAGGATGTCTCTGCAGACCGTGAAGCCCGCCTGACGTCTGTCGTCAACGTTCTCGGCTTCTCCACCCTCGACGACCTCGAGGACTTCGTCTACTTGCACGGCGGCGGCAAGGTTGTCCCGGCAGCCCAGCGCGACACTCTCCCTCTCGACGAGACGCAGACTCAGCTGTCTGAGACTCGCCGGACGAAGCGCAACGAGGAGAGGCGCGCAGAGAATGCGACTCTCAAGCGGGACTTGGCGACTGTGCGGGCGGAACTGCAGTGGGCACGGTCGGAGGCTGCAAAGGCCAAGGAAGAGAAGGAGGAACTCGTCAAGGACAAGCGCCGACTGCTCAATACGGTCGAGTCGCTGCGGACCGCGACAGGCGGCGATGCGGTTGTACTCGCTCGACCTGCGTCGTCTCTCTCGCAGGCCGGCATGTCGCCTACCAGCGAGCTTCGAGCTTGCTGGGACGAGGTCGAGTCGCTACAGGCGACGGTCGCTCAGCTCGAGGCGGAGCTCGTCTCCGCGCAGACCTTGTGCGACGAACAGGCTGTCGAGTTGCGCGACCTGCGAGAAGAGGTCGTCAACCTGCAGCAGGACAAGTCGCGTGCCGAAACCCTTGAGGCAGAACTCCTTCAATTGCGCGAGCGCATCAGCTCGCTCGTCCCGGCAATCCTGAGTGGCGGGCCGATACCAGCGACACCGGCCTTCTCCGCCGTTACTCCCTCCGGAGCGACAGTGAGGTGCGCATCCTCCGCTACTACGTTCGGACCATGGTGCTGACCTCGTGGAACCGCAGGCCAGCGCCGACGTCCAGCCTGCCGCCTCTCCGCTTGTCGAACGCAGCTGCGGATCCTTCACCTTCTGTTCGCCCCTCCTTGTCCACGACCGGTCCGCCGCAGACGACGCCACGGCCGACGCAGCCTCACGAGGTCCCAAGCGAGACGGACCAAGTCACACCAGACGAGCCGCCTCAGCCATCGACTTCTCGCCAGCCAGCGACTCCCGCTCCTCCGCAGCCCAACGGTGCCGAAGCTGGTCATGACCATGCAGAGCTCCCTTCCGCAACTATTCCGCACCCACGGGTCGCCGCCATCTCGTCTGCACCGTCCACATCCGCCGCCTCTGCCTCTCCAACCGCCAGTCTCTCCTCTCGTTTACAGAACAAGATCCGCCTCTATCCATCCATGTTCGCCTCGTACAACAAGAATCGTTCGCTTCTTCTCGATCAAGTTGCACGCACGAGGGAGCTCGAAGCCACGCTCGCCGACTTTCCCTCCTCCGTCAGCGACCGCTTGCGCGCTCAGGCCGGACCTCCCCCCGTTGTCGACATCGACCACTTCCCCGAACCGGCCGCTCTACCTGCCGATTCAGCGGAGCGGAAGGAGATGGCGATGTCTGGCAGATTGGAGGCCATCTACGAGGACTTGCGCGTGAAGGAGCTGGAGATCTCGAAGATTGCGCCGAACTACAAGATCTGGGTCACGAAGCTGGCGGACTGCATCGACAACTACACTCTCCAGGCTCAGGAGAAGGAGGTGGAGGAAGTTGCGGCCAATGCAAAGGGGAAGAAGCGAGCGGCGCCGACCGAGGCGGGAACGCCAGCTGCGTCTGCGATGGCTGGTCAGCCCGTTAAGAGGCGGCGGAAGGTCATTTCGGGCGCTACGCCCGCTACGTCGGTCGCAGGAACTCCCATTCCTCGTCCTTCTCTCATCAAGCCACGATCGCCGCGACCGTCGCCTCGCAAGTCGCCCCGCAAGTCGCCCCGCCATTCCCCCTACGTCTCGCCGCGTAAGCAGCTCCTCGTCGGCGGCGCGACCACTACGCCAGGCATCGCTACCGAAGCATCCCCTTCCACGTCCACCAAGAAGCGGCGATGGAACCTCGTCTCGCCGAAAAAGAAGGACCTCTCCGGCGTCAAGAAGCAACTCTGGACGCGCCGAGACGATGCGGACGGCGCTACTGCCGCTGATCCTCCTACGGCGACGAGCGGGACGCAACCGCCTCCGCTCCCGTCGTCGCCGGCAGTCAAGCGCATCAACAGCGAAGGGGATCGCGAGGCGTCGACGTATGAACCGGAACCGGACACGCTGCGTACCGATCTGTCGTCTCAAACTGGCCGCCGAAGCAGCATCACAGCCGGTCGCTCGTCCTCACCGCGCAAACCGACTCCGCGCCGCTCGATCTCTGTTGCATCCAGCTCGGCTCTTCAAGTCGCGCGGCGCAATCCTCCTGTCGCAGCGGTGGACGAGAACGACCCGTTCGTCGACCGAGGTCCCGCGAAAGCTCCGCGACCTCCTTCTCCGGCCGGAGCTCTGCCTCTCCAGCCTTCGCCTCGAAGTCGCCTCCCGCAGACCTCGCCACGCAAAGGGAAGAGCCGCACGCTCGTACCTACGTCGCCTGCCTCACGCGCCGCTACTCCATCGCCTGTTCCTTCGCCGTCCCAGTCTCCCTCCAAAGGGTTGAGTATGCCCCCTTCAGCTCAGATTTCGTCGCGCCGACTGCCGATGCAGGGCTCACCGCCACTCCGTGGCCCCTCCGCCGTCCAGACGAGCGATGCGGCAAAGCGGGCGCTCATTCCCGACAGCGACGGCGAAGACGAGGTGTGCGCGTACGAACTTCGCTTCTTCGACAACTTGGGGACGCCGCCGCTTCCAAGAGCGCCCACGAGACGACAGAACGCGTCGCAGAAAACGGCGGATGTGGCGAGCGGGTCCCGCGGGACTGTCGCGCGATCGCAGCGCGTGAAGGCGGAAAGTCAGGTCGTCCCGTTATCGCCGTCGCCGAAGAAGCGCAAGCAGCGCAAGGCAGCGAGCAAGACGGAGGCGGTCAAGACGGAGCGTGGAGCCCAGCCCGCTACACCCAAGAAGGAGGTCTTCGGTCGCGAGCGCTGGCTTGACCTCGACCAATCGACTCCCGACTACCCCGAAGACCCCGATGACGAGCAGTCTCGCAAGTTCTGGATCGAACGAACTCGCCTTAAGCGTCGCGTCAAGCTGCAGAAGGACAAGCAGGACTCGGCGAAGAAGGCCGGGTGAGCGACTCCCCCTCGCAATCGCGCTAGCCGTCGTGCTTACTCCCTTTCGTTCGCAGCTCCAGCATGCGCGTTCTCGAAATCAACCCGAAGCGGAACAAGGGCGAGAAGCAGTTCTTCAAGGAGGTCGTCCGCAACAAGGAGGAGCGCAGCAAGATGCTCGCCGAAGCATGCGCCGAATGCACTGCCGTATGTCCGTCGCCATCCTGCACAGGGATGCTCGTTGACGCTGCTACTTCATGACAGTACTTCGACCGATCCGGCACGGAGAATACGTGCAACCACAGACGACAGCCTGCCGCCGCCACCTACCTCGAGGAGCGTGCCGCCGCAAGCGAGAGGCGCTTGCAAGCAATCGGTCGCCATCGTGTGCAGCAGCCCAGTGCGTACTCTGTCGTGACCTTTGCGTGCGATACGAGAGCTGACCTCTGCTGACTTGCGCAGCTGTCGAGGATCCGCCGCAATATTGGGAATTTGGTATGATATCTCCGTCCTTGAGCGCAAGCCTTGAGCTGACCGTCGGTTTGCAGGCATTCCCACGACGCAAGACGCCGAGAAGCTGAACCAGGAGGCAAGGAGGAAGAAGGAGCGCGCGCGAGCTTTGCAAGAAGCAGAAGCGGAGTGAGCCTTACCTTCGTGCTCGTGTGTTACCAACGGATGCTCACCGCTCTCCACGCAGTACTCCAAACGGTCTCTATCGCTGGCGAGACACCTGAAGCGACCTCCTCCTCTCCCCGCCCTTTTCTGTCGTTGTTCTCTGTGTACAGTTTCGCTTTACGTTTGTTCACCTGCTTGTTGCATCTCTCTATCGCTCTTCCGCAGTCCCGCAATGTCATTCGTCGTTGTCTGAAGCTAGTTCGCGATTCTCTCGCTCGCGGGATCGCCGAAAGCAAGCGCTGGACTGGGAGTCGTCTATAGATGCATGTGAGAGAGAGTCCCAAGATGCTGATCAAAGGTCAAATCACGAGGACAAGGAGGACGGAGGGTCTACCACTCTCCTCCGCGCCTTTCTTCTACGCTCACTGTCGCCGCTCAAGCCTGGGTCGTCGCCTTGCCGTCGTACGCCGCCTCGTGGATCTGGACGGCACGCCCGGACGGGTCGCTTGCGCAGCCCCAGTCTGCGCGGGGGATCCAGCGAACGGCGGTCTTGGCGGCGGCCTCGGACGGGAAGTGCGACTCGAAGATCTGGCGGATGAAGTACGCCTCCTTGGTCTCGGGCGTGTCGAGCGACCACCGCTGCGCGGCAGAAGCCATCTGCTCGTCCGTGACGACCTGTGCGGCGTGCTCCTTCAAGCCGTCGATCCACGAGTAGCCGACGCCGTCCGAGAACTGCTCCTTCTGGCGCCAGAGGATCTCGTCGGGAAGGTACGGGCGCTCGCCCTTGGGTCCGACGTCGAAGGCCTTGCGGATGATGTACTTCTCCATGATGGGACGGCCGTCGGCGTCGCGCTCCTGGAGCGAGCCCTTCGAGAACATCTTCTGCTGCGGGTCGATGTTGAGCGCCGTCTCGAGGAACTCCTTGTCGAGGAAGGGCACGCGGGCCTCGAGACCCCACGCCATGGTCGACTTGTTGGCGCGGAGGCAGTCGGCGGTGTGGAGGTTCTTGACGCGGCGAATGCACTCCTGGTGGAAGTCGGCGGCGGTCGGTGCGGCGTAGAAGTAGAGGTATCCGCCAAAGATCTCGTCCGAACCCTCGCCCGAGAGAACCATCTTGACGCCCATCGCCTTGATCTTGCGAGACAAGAGGTACATCGGGGTCGAGGCGCGGACGGTCGTGACATCGTACGTCTCGAGGTGGTAGATGACCTCCTCGACGGCGTCGAGACCCTCCTGAACGGTGAAAGTGTACTCGTGGTGGACGGTGCCGAGGTACTCTGCCGCGACGCGAGCGGCGAGCAAGTCGGGCGAGCCCTCGAGGCCGATCGAGAACGAGTGCAACCGCGGCCACGACGTCAACGTGCCGACCTCGTCTGCCGCCGCCTCGTCGTCAAAGCCCACCAAACCCGACGCATCGCCAGCGCTGCCCTGCTTGCCCTGGTGCTGGTGCGCCTGCTGCGCCGCCGCGACCTTTTCCGTTTCCCGCGCCGCGATCGCCGCAATCAGGGACGAGTCGAGGCCGCCAGAGAGCAAGACACCGTAAGGGACCTCGGACATGAGGCGCTTCTTGACGGCCTTCTCGAGCTTCGTGCGGAGCTCGTCGAGGTCTGCGGGCTTGGTCGGGACCGCCTTGGGGTCGACGTCGCCATCCCACCAGGACGGCTGGAAGTAGCGAGTCGTCTCCTGCGTCGCCGAGTCGTAGACGTGTCCGGGCGGGAACGAGATGACCTTGTCGCACTCGTCGTGGAGCGCCTTGAGCTCCGATGCGAAGTAGACGGTGCCCGGGCGCTGCGAGTTCCAGCCTTGGTACAGCGTCGTGATGCCGATCGGGTCGCGGGCGGCGATGAGGCGAGAGGGGGTGACGGAGGTGTCGACGAGAACAAAGGAGAACATGCCGTCGAGCATGGCGCAGAGGTCCTTGTCGTGCTCCTTGTACTGCGGGACGGGCAGAAGAAGTATTTCGTCAGCTTGCAATCGTTGTGGCGAGCCAGCGAACGCCTCGGAACGCACAAGATGGAGGATGACCTCGCAGTCCGAGTGGGTCTTAAATGTCCCGGGGTTCTTGAGCTGCTTCCGGAGTGCGCGGTGGTTGTAGATCTCGCCGTTGACGGCGAGGACGAGCTTGTCGTCATCCGAGGTGATGGGCTGGGCGCCAGTGTCTGCGAGTCGGGGATTAGGAGGGAGTCAGTATCCGGCTCGCGAGGTGACCCTCCCGAGGGCTTCGGCTGGCCGTAGAAAGTCCTTGCGAGCGTGCGACTCACCGACGCCGACGATGGCGAGTCGCTCGTGGACGAGGATGGCGTCTTGGGTCATCTTGCACCCGGACCAGTCGGGTCCGCGGTGCCTCAGGCGCTTTGAGAGCGCGACGGCGCGTGCGCGGAAGGAGGGGAGGTCCTTGGGGTCATAGGCGTGGGCTGCAAAGATGCCGCACCTGCGTTGTGTCGAGCGAGACGAGGGATCAGCCAGAGTCAGCGGAAGGTGCGAGACTTGGCGGCGAGTGCGGCGTACATGGTTGCGGGTGGCTGTGGTTCGAGCTGGTGTGCGAGTGAGAGCGTGTGAGACTGGTGCCAAGCAGTTCCAAGCAGTCTCTGAGCGTGAGAGAGCGAGACGAAGGGCGTCGGGGCTGTGGTCGCGCGAGATTGACTCCCGAGCTGGGCGCGAAACTCGGTCAAGCCACGTCAGCCCAGTTTCAGCCAGTCTTTCTGCCCTCCCTCACTCAACTCATCCCTCTCTCACACCGCTGAACCTGCGCTCGCTGGGTGCCATGGCTGCGCGGAGACAGGCAGCGCAGCAGCTGCAGCAGCAGCAACCACTCCAGCCGCCCGCCGCACTCGCGCACAAGTCGGCCATCCTCCGCCAACTCGCAACCGACGCACTCGCCTACTCGCCCCAGACAGCGCTCTTCTACGCAGAGCGGCTGCACGCACTCGACGCCACAGCAGAGCCAGCCGCCCACCTCCTCGCCCAGACGCAGATCGCCGCCAGACGACACCACGACGCCCTCTGGACCCTCCGACAGCCCGTCTCGTTCGCTCCGGCACTCGCTCCGACACCATCAGACCAGCTCGACGACCCGTTTGGCGCGGCCGGAGGAGCGGGCGCGGCGGCAGCGGCTCGGAGGTGGCCTCAACCCTCGACCTCGGCTGGGAGGCTCACGCGTCCCGCCGTCGAGTGCAGCGTGAGGTGCGCCCGCCTGTACGCCGAGGCGTGCGCCGAGCTCAAGCGCGACAAGGAAGGCCGCGAGGCCCTCGCCTTCGTCCTCCAACCCGGCGTCCCGCTCGCACCTTCTCCTCCGCTCGACAACCCTGACGTCGCGCACAACTCGGAGTCGTCGATCGCCGCCGCCTTCCCGCGCGCAGACGAGTCGACCGTCGTCGAGCTCGAACTGGCGAGGCTTGCGCGCAAGGGAGGAGACTACGAGCGTGCCGTGGTCGGTTTCCGCAAGGTCGTCGCGAAACTCCCGACGTGCTGGGAAGCCGTCGAGGCCCTCTGTCTTCTCGGTCACCCGCCCGACGTCGACGCCTTGTACCCGACCCCGGTCCGCCAGCGCGCGTCGACAGCCACTTCGCCCGTTTCCGCCGGTTCGACCGTCACTCATGCTCCGCAACGTCCGCTCGCGCCCAGCAACTCGAACCCGCCGCCCCTCGGACCCTCGCAGACTGCGGTCGTCAACACGGTCCTGCCGCTGACGGGTGCGCCAGGTCGATTGAGGAATGGAGGCGGGCCAGTCGGCGAAGGAGGACTCTTCACCCCGACCGAGATCCAGGTCAAGCCGGGCGGCCTGTTCGGCGTCAATGGGAAGGGAAAGGGCAAAGAGGTGCAGGCCTTGTTTGGTGCGGCTGCGGCGGGAGCGCCGCCGCCTTTGAGGAGGACTGGGTCGGGCAGGTACGCGGACATCTCGATGGACACGACCGGTGTTGAAGAGTGCGTTCCCTTCCTCCGGTTTTTGTCGGGCTTCGTCTACTGCCGAAGCAACTTCCCGCCTCCGTCCTGGACCGGCACCTCGTCGGATTCGCATCCCGCTTGCTGTTCGCGCGATCGAGATCCGTGTCCCGGCAAAGCTTAGCCTGACATTTTGGCGCCCGCTGCAGCTCCTTCGACGCATCTTTCTACCCCGGCGTCGGCAACCTGCCGTTCTCGACGAACAACCCCGCCGCCCGCTCGAACGGCGCAGCCGGCTCGCTCTTCACCCCTCCTACCGCCACCCTCCCGGCTGCGACAGCTCCCGGCGTCAAGCGTACGCGAGCCGGCAACGTTGCACCTGCCTCCACCGTCGCGACAGCAACCGATGACGACTCTCACAGAACCGCCGCAAACGGTCGGAGGATCTTGCGAGGAGATGGAAAGGTGCGGCGAGGGGATGCGTCGGCAACTGCGACGGCTCCGGCGACGCGTCGCTCATCTCGGCTCTCGAGCAATGCGGCGTCAACGGCCATGGCAGTCTCGAGGTCGCAGTCGAGCGCGAACGGACGCACCGGAGCAACGGCGGCTGGTGCCGGCGACAAGAAACGCAAGAGGGGCGCGACAGGTCCTTCCGTCCTGTCGGACGTCGGCAGCGACGCGGCTTTCTCGCACTCGTCGTCGCCCGCGCCGTCATCACCGGGCGGCAGTACCGCTCACCCTCAGCAGCCGAGCATCGCCTCCGTCCTCGACCCGGCGCGCGAGGAGGCGGAAGACTACGTCCTCGGTACCTTGAGGGCGTTCGCGACCGCTGCTCGTGCCGCGGCGCTTTACGCCCAGAAGGAGGTCGTGCAGGCGCTCGCTGCGCTGCCGAGCGAGCAAGCGAGGACTTGGAGGGCGCTTGTTGCGCTCGCAAAGGCGCACTTTGAGATGCTCAACTACGACAAGGTGCGTTGTCGGAGGATGAGGTGACGGATCGGAGGCTGACCATCTTCTTATGCAGGCAGAGAAGGCTTTCCGACAAGCGCGACACGTCGCGCCGTACCTCGTCGACGGCATGGAGCTGTACTCGACGACGCTGTGGCACCTGCGCCAGTCGACCGAGCTCTCCTTCCTCGCGCAAGAACTCATGGTCGCCGATCCGCGCCACCCGGCCAGCTGGATCGCCTCGGGCAACGTCTTCTCGCACGTCGAGGACCATGCGAGCGCACTGCGGTGCTTCAAGCGCGCTGTGCAGCTCGACGACGGCTGCGTCTACGCCTACACGCTCAGCGGGCACGAATGCGTCATGCTGGAGGAATGGGAGCGCGCGTTGGGCTTCTTCCGAGAGGCGGTCAGGCGGGATGTCCTTCACTACAACGCCTGGTACGTTCGGTTATCTCCCCTGGCGATCTGTCGCCTCGAGCTGACGGGATGATGCGCGACAGGTTCGGCCTCGGCAACGTCTACCTCAAGACAGGCAAGTACAGCCTCGCCGAGTACCACTTCCGCCGCGCGCTCGACATCAACCGAGCGAACACGACGCTCGTCTGCTGCGTCGGCACGGTTCTCGAGAAGCTCCACCGATGGAAGGAGGCTTACGAGATGTACGACCGCGCCGCCGTCCTCGCGCCGGAGAGTCCGCTCGTGCGATTCAAGCGCGTCAGGCTCCTCGTCAAGCTTCAGCACTTTGAGGTGCGCAGCCCTTCCCTGAGCCTTTGCGCTCGTATCTACCGGCATCTCTTGAAACGCTTTCTGACCGGTTCTGCCCCGCACAGGCCGCCAAGAGCGACCTCCTCGCCCTACAGCACCAGGCTCCGATCGAGCCAAATGTGCACTTCTTGTTGGGACAGCTATACAAGGCCGAGGGCAAGCGCGCCGACATGCTCCGTCACTTTGCCCAGGCGCAGGATCTCGAGCCGCGGTTGGCAAGGTGCGTCTCATCCACTTGTCGCTCCTTGGGCTGTGTTGACGCTTGTCCGTGCACTGCAGCCTTATCCGCCAGGTCATTGAGCGCTCGGACGGATCCGGAGGAATGGAGGTGGACGAACGGAGCGACACTACCGGTCTCTCCGCATAGTGTTTGCTGTTTTGCTGTGTATACCTTCACTTGTTGTGTTGTCCTGTTGTTGCACTCTGACTGGCACGCTTGCAACGAACCGCTACCAACACGAGACTGGCAGGACATGGACTCCCGCCCGAAATTCCTATCAAGGTGAGTGGAGCGAGTCTGCGAAATACGCAGTCATCCAGGACTATCCTATGCTCGCGTGGGAGCAGGCCAACGTCGGCCCCGATCAGTCGCCCTTGCCTAGAGGATATGTCTGCTAAACAATCCTTTTCACCAATTAGTCCTCGATGGTCTAGTGGTTATGATTCGGCTCTCTCACAGCCGCGAGCGGGGTTCGATTCCCCGTCGGGGAATTTCTCTTTTGCTGCACTCTCCGGGCTACATTGGCCTGCTCCTCAGCTTTTGGCTCAAGCTGGACCGCCGGCGACAAGACTCTCCAAACACCCTGCAACTGAACAGGAGCGTGCAAGGCATGGCTGCTTTTGGCCTATGCATTATTCGGTGTAAGGCAGCCAACCTCACAGGGTCGACCTCTCCTCTCTCAGTTGATCTGGTTCTCCATTGCTCTTGGTTGATCTGTCTTGTTAGAGCCCCCATTGATCGGCTTCAGACCTTCAGTAAGCGTTGTGTGTCGCTGCACAGGACTACCTCCATAGGGGGATTGTGCTGCGCCTGCTGGCCAGACATCCTTGTGCATTGAGAGCTGAAGAGATGTGGCAGGATGTGGATCAGAAGGCAGAGGTGTTGCAAGAGGTGTCGTGGTGGTAGGTCCCAAAGATTATCTGCGGTGCTCCATGTTACTGCAACGGAGGCAAACCACAAGTGCATGGGAAGGAAGCGAAGATGTGATGCTGTATTCCCAGGCAGTTTCACTGAGAAATGGAGGGCAGCGGCTCGATGGCACAGACAAAGGGGTACCGCGGGATACTGGACTGCACAAAGGATGGCGAGAAGAATGAATCGGTATCGGTAGAGGACCTGCGCGGCCTGTGCCTGCTGCAGGCAGAGAGAGGGAGAGAGACGGAATTGTTTCAAGTCATACCGGGCTAAGCCCATGTAGACCGTTAGGGAGGATGTACAATTGTTGGTAGATGCCACCAGAAAGTTGACATCATGCCGTAGCCTATCCGCCGCAATTCTGGGTATATGAACACAAATTGGCTGTTGTGCCAGGGTAGGACGGCAGGCATCAGCTCTTTTCCTACAGGGCCTCGGTCATCCATGAGGGTGAAGGCAGTGAAAACTCTCTCTTGCATGTGCCACCAGGATGGAAGGATATTTACCCCGTCAGTTTGCAGATGAGCCAGGGTCAAAGACAACCCAAAGTGCAGGATGCACAGTCTTCAAGCAGAGTTGCGAGACCGGCATTGGGCAGTGGCAGGGTTGGAATTGGTTAGCCTTGAATCTCCCAGCCCAGGGAGAGATGAAGGGGGGGATGCCGACTGTGCAGCGAGTGCAATCTCCGAGTGGTCCTTAGCGGCCCAGCAGCAAGAGAGACGCTTGCGGGAGAGACACTCCAGACTTCACCAGCTCGCAAGCTCGCCATTTACCAGCCTCATACTGCACTCGAAAGGCTCTACTTGAGGCTGAGAGAGGGGTTGGCAGTCAGCAGCTGAAGAAGAAGGTGAGCTGGCTTGGGTCAGGAGGAGGAGAAAGAGGAAAGAAAGAGAAGAAAGCGGACCTTCGCTGCCCCAACTTGCTTTCCTGGCACTCGGACCGGTCACAGTGAGCAACTTGAGGGTGTACTCGACGCTCTGAAAGAGGAACGAGATCAATCAGGTCCAGTTTGAAGCGAAGAGTCCACTCCGCTGCTCTCAAAGCCAGTCCACTCCGCTCCTCTCAAAGCCAGTCCTTCTCAGGCTCAGTCCAGGAAAATGTGCTCCAAGTCACTCACTCCCAGCTGAAACACTCTCTTCTGGACACACTTGACCTGCACAAAGTGCACAGAGAGCAATAAGCTTGAGCGAAAGGCTAGGCGAAATGTCTGAGGACTCTGAGCAAGTCGAGGAAAAGCGAGCTGCTCAAGCCCAGCTTCTGATCTGAGTGACTTCGCCTGTTGTCTCCCTCTTCCACAGCACCTTTTAAGACAGCTTTTGACTTCCCAGCTCAGCCCAGCCCCAGCTGAGTGACTTGTACGCACTCTGCCCTCCTCCTCAGCCAGAAAAGCAGAGCCAAGTGCACAAAAACTGGCTCAACTCACCCTCAAACGCCTTGTCCCGATGACTACACTCCCTGCGCTACCAGGAAGCCGAAGAACCGAGTCAGCAGCTTGAAAACTGACAGAGCTGTCCCTGTCCCTCCTCTCCTGCTTCTGTGCCAAGTCTGAGGGAGAGGACTTGGACTCGAAGCTGTGAGAGAGAGCGACAGCACTGCTCTTGACGTACACATCGCGAGTGTGTTGAGCCTGCGTGGAAGTAGAGTCAGCCTGGTATGGAGGGGACAAGGAGGAAAGCGAGTGGTCAGTCTCCAGCTTCGGCCCCCCTCTCTCCCTGCTCCCACTCTCCACCTCTTCGCCTTCTCCGGACTCTGCGAGAGCGACTCAAGCTGTGGGGCGTAGAACAGAGTCAGTTGAAGAGCGAGAGAGAGCGTGAGAAGGTCAGCCTTGCCTGGAAAGCAGGACCTCTACCTCCTCGAACTCGCCCAGCTAACTTCCCAGCACTCTTCCCGGGCGCTTCTGCACCTGCTCCACTGACTTGACCAGTCCCAGCCCAAAAGACGTGAGTTTTCCCTCTGCCTCCTGCTCCCCTCCGGCCAAGTTCCCTACTCCTCTCCCCCAAAACAAGCTCAAACTGACTCCCTCTCCACTCTCCCACACTGTTCTGCACCCAAGTGACCCATCTGCACCTGCAAGAAGCGAGAGTAAGCTTCAGAACAAGGGGAAAGCGAAAGAAAGAGCTTGAGGGAGGCACTCCTCAACTCACCAGCTCGCGAGCTCCCAGCCAGCCAGCTACACACTGCACTCACAACACCCTGCCTGGGGCTGAGAGAGAGTTCGCTAGTCAGTAGCTGAAGATGCGAGCAAGTTGGCCTGGGTCAGGGGAGGGAACGAGGAGATCACGGACCTTCTGTGCCCCAACTCGCTTTCCTGACACTCGGAACAGACACAGTGAGCAGCTTGAGGCTGTACTTGACGCTCTGAGAGAGAAGCGAGGTCAGCCAGGTCGACTTCGAAGGGAAGATTCCCCTCCCCTCCTCTTCAAGCGGCTGCTTCTCGGACTCAGTCAGCGACGACAAGCTCACACTCACCCAGTTCCTGCTCAGTCCTACTCTTCCAGACGTCCTTGACCTGCAGAGAGCGCACAGACAGTGAGTCAGCGCAAGGGAGAGTCAAGGGGAACCACCTGAGCAAGTCGAGGGAAAGCGAGCTGCTTGAGTCCAGCCTGTACTCCAACTGACTTCTCCAGCTCTCTTCCCTCCTCCAAAACGCACTTTGAGACCAATCTTGACTTCCCCGCACAGCCCTGCTTCAACTGCAGGAGCTTGACTCTCCCTCCCCTGCTCCTCACCCTGAAAGCGAGGCCAAGTCCGGGAAAATGTGCTCACTTGCCCTTGAAGCCCTTGCACCAGCTAGTACACTTGATGTGCTACCAGCAAGCGGAAGAATCAAGTCAGCAGCTTGCAAAGCGCGAGAGCTGGCCCAGTCCCTCCTCCCCTGCTTCTGAGCCAAGGTTTGAGACAGAGAACTTGGGCTCACAGCTTTGAGAGAGCGACGATACTGCTCTTGAGATGCACTTCGCAGATGTGTTGAGCCTGTGTGGAAGCAGCGTCAGCCTGCATTCGAAGGGAAGGAAGGAAGGTGTGGGTCAGTCTCCTTGTCCTCCCGCTGCTGTCCCTGCTCCCAATTTGGGCCTCCTTCCTCATTTGACCTCAAAAGAGTGACCGAAGCTGTGGGAAGCAGAGCAGAACCAATTTGAGAGCGAGAGAGAGGGTGGGAAGGTCAGCCTCACCTGGAAAGCGAGACCTCTTCATTGTCAAAGGCACAGCTTACTTACCGGCATTCATTCCCTGCTTGAGCGCACACACTTCACTGGATTCAATCAGCCCCAGCTGGAAAGAAGCGAGTTTGCCCTTGTCCTCCTGCTGCTCTCTGCCAAGTCCCCAGTTGCCGTCCCTAAAACCACCTCAAAGTGCTTCCAATCCCATTCTATTGCTTTCCAGTGCTTCAAGTGACCCCACCAGTCTGCCAGAAGCGAGTGTAAGGTGGAGAACTGGAGAAAGCAAAGGGAGAGGGTGGAGAGGAAGACACAGTCCTCAACTCACCAGCTCCCGAGGTTACCCTTCACCACCTTGACAGCCCACCCTGAACACTCTTCCTGAGCCTGTGGGGTTCAAGCATGCCAAGTTTGAGGCAAACAATGGCATCCCCTCCTCTTGAAGGCACTCCTTCCCGGACTCACTCCAGGAGAAATCAGTTGGACTCATTCACTTCCTGCCAACCCACCCTCCTCTGAACAACCTTCACCTGCAGAGTGTGCATAGAAAGTCAATCAGCGGGAAAGAACAGTCAAGGGAAAGCTTCTGAGCAAGTCCAGGGAAAGCAAGCCGCCAAAGTCCAGCTTGTGCTGCAACACACTGTGCCAGCTCTCCTTCCTCCAGGATCCCTTGTAAACAGCTCTCAACGTTGTAACCCAACCATGCTTCAGGAAAGCGGACTGCACTTACCCTCTCCTCCTGCTGCCCGAGAAAGCAAGCCAGCTTCAGCTCGTTGAGCCTGGACCAGACTTCTTCCACACAGAGAGAGTACTCCCTGCAGACTTCTCTCTGTGTACAGGACACTGAGCACAGGGAAGCGGAAGAGGGCTGAAGCAGCGGAGTTTGGGAAGGCCGGAGAGGTCTACCCCGCAAAAAGGGAGACCCCGTAAGCGATAGACTGTTCTCCGCATCAGTATCTCCAAAAAGAGCGCGTTCCTGTGCCTGCATCCGGGGTAAACCGCCAGCTTGGGAGAATCCCCTACCTCGCAAAGAGCAATTCCTTCGGAGATTGCAATAACAGTGATTCGCATGTTGTATTCCAAGTGAGGGAAGATGTAGTCTGGAAAAAAGAGAAGAAGTGATGAGGGAACAGAGGAACAAGGTGAAGGTACTGTAAAGAGGAGTGGAAGGCTGGGGACACAAACCTGGCACAAAGACAGCCTGTGTCCTGCTCGCTACTCCTGCTGCAATTACAGCCATGCCATATAGCAGCCTCTTGGCAACCCAAGGATTGCTGTAGCTCTCACCTGTCAACGGCACCTGGTCGACCGTGAAGCTCGCCGAGCTGATGCTGATGATGCAGCTGTCAGTAGGGACCTTGTCGCCCACCACAAGTGAAATGACATCACTCAGAACGAGGTCGACGGCGTGGATCTTCTGCACTCGTCCGTCGCGAATGACCTTGGCTTCGTCAGGCGAGTACTCCATCAAGGCCTGGATGTATTCAAGGGATCAGCGGATCCTTCTGCAGCTTCATGCGCGCACACGGGGCGCACCTCGATGGCCTTTTCGGCGTTCGTCTCCTGTACAACACCGACCCATGCATTTGCAATCAAGATGGCGAGGATGACAATCGGTTTGACATAGGCGGGTCGCCTTGTCCTCACCCTCCTCGAGGTACGCCAGGACAAGCAAGATTCCGGCTGAGGCAAGGAGGATCAGGACGAGCTGGTCCTTGAATTGCTTGAGGATGAGCTCCCACAGTGATGGAGAAGGCTCTTCCGGAAGCACTGTAGGCGCGTAAGGAGGGAAGTTGAATCGGCAGTGGGGTCGGGACAGGAATGCGACGGAAAGAGTCGTTGTCAGCTACCGTGAGGATGAGTTTGTACAGTCCGCACGCACCGTTCTTGCCATACTTGCGCTGGTTTTCCTCGACCTGGCTTGCTGTGAGACCTGTGTCGAGCGCGACGTGGAGTTGCTGGGTGAGCGGGTTGGCGGTCTGCATGTGCGCGAGTGCGGCCATCCTGTGGCAGTGCGGCATTTGTCGAGCGCTTTGCAGCCTGTACTAGCACTGTCTAGCCTGTTGACAGAACCATAGCAGCTGGGGAAGCGGAAAGCGAGGGTGTTGCACTCATCAGACCTTCATCAGCAAAGGGTCAGCAACCGTCACTCCCGCCAACTCGCTCAGAAAGGATGTTCGGCGCATTCAGGCCATCACAAACAGCCCTCAGAGGCTTGCTATGGTGCGCACACGCTCTCGCAGAGCCTCATCCCTTGCCGAGCTCACACATCTCTCTGTTGGCAGGAAGATCCCCTACCGCCTGTCGCCGACACGCAAGACCCGCCAGGCTGCGGCTGAAGGCGGTGGACAATGTCATTGCGAAAGTGCAGGCGTCGGGCGTGCAGACGCTCTCCTTGGTCCGTTACCCTCCGTCTCTTCTCGCCCCGGTGCGCTTCGCTGACCTCTCGCTTCTGGAGACGAGGTGCCTTGAGCTTCCGACTGAGCAGGAGATGCCGGCGCGGGACAAGTACACCGTCTTCTCGCGGTACGGCAGGAACTACCGGATGGGCATCCACAAGGTCCCGCATTGGACCAAGGTCACCTCTCGCGTCAACCCCAAGGGATTCTAGGTGGCGAAGAGGAGACGAGGGAGGAGAAGCGGTGTACAGACTTGTACCAGTACGCATCGTTATGTCGCAAGTCGCATTGGTCTCTCGATTCGGTCCAGAGGGAGCGAAAGGGTTGCTAGCAAGCTTGCTTCTACTCAGAACACGACAATCTTCATCTTCCCCTCGCGCAGCCTGTCCATAATCGGCTTGGTGCCGAGCAGCTTGAAGAGGTCGGCGCGCGCTTCGGGCAAGTCGACGAGCGATCGCTTCTTCGAGTCGAGATGCGAGACGTCGAGGATTAGGTGCGAGAGATGGGTGAGGTGGAGAGACTCTGCAGCCAGAGATACTGTCAGCATCTGGCCAAAGGCAGACTGAGCAGGGGAACGGACCTGTCTCGTTGAGCAGCTTTTCGATGCGGTTGGGCGTGCCGACTGCGAGGCCGACGTGCGTCTTCTTGAGATACTCGGCGTGCTCGGCGAGCTTGAAGTGCTGTGGGAAGTCACAGTCAGTAGGCTGGGGCAGCCAGGCGCAAACAACGGACCAACCTTGGCAAACAGCTTCGCGACATCGATCAAGCCGTCCTTCGTCTTCGTCTTGAACTCCTTGACATCGCTGTATGACGAACATCAGTTATCAAGTCTGTCGGACCACAGCGCTTGACGCACCGCACGAGATCGGCAACACGCAGCGCAGCTCCCGCAAGGACAATGATGCGAGGTGAGCCAGCCGCCTTGGGCATCTTGGCGAGGGTGTTGCACGCCGTCGGCAGAGCTGTACGGCAGAACTTAGTGATGCTTGACGGCGAGTGAGAGTGGGCGGAGCGCACCCTCTTTCATGAACGCCCGCAGCGAGTCTCGCGCCGCTACCGACGAAGTGTCGAGAATCATCGACTCTGCGGTGCAATCAGTCAGCTCAAGAACTGAACGGAGAGCTCTGCGAACGCACGGCTGATCCGCATCTCGTCCATTTCGAGAGCCGTGAGATTCGGCAGCGCCCGCTTCTGCTTCTCCGCCAACCTGTCCGCCAACGACTCAACCGGCAAAAGTCCCATGTCCTCCTTGTCCTTCCCGTCAACCTCGAGCTCTGCCAACTTCTTCGTCTTCTTCTCCTTGGCCTTCTTCGCCGCCCGCTTGCTCTTTGGCTGCTTGTCTTCTGTTCCGACGCCCGCATCGTCGGCGGAACGCTTCTTCCCGGCGGATACGGCGGGACCCAGGTCATCTGCTTCGCCGCCTTCCGCCGCAACCGCATCAGCATCGTCCGAGAGATCCGCTAAGCCGTCCGCCTCCTCCCCGTCCGAAACTCCTGCAAACTCGTCTTCGATGAGGAAGTTGTCCTCGAGGTTGTCGCCAGTCAGGACATGGTCAGTCTTGGTCTTCTTGCTGGGCGGAGCCATGGCGAACCAGCGAGCGAGCGTGAATGGAAGCGGTCCAAGAGAAGGCGCGAAGCTCAGGAGGAGGCCGCTCACACCAACTGGCGCGGCGGTAGATGCTGCCAGGCTGGGCTGGACTGCTGCTGTCTGCTGCTGTGACTGCCGCTCTCCTTGCCTGCGCCCGACACCTTGCCATCCCGCTCTCTCACATTGTCCGTCTTCATCAGTCTCCCTCGATCAACACGCACCTAACTGACAGACAACTCGCTTGGCTGGCAGGGTGACGACTCGCAGTACACGCTCTCGGCCAAACAGCACTTTCAGCGGCGCGGCAGCTTCTAGGCGTCGGTCAGCGGTCGGGACGGGGTCGACATGTCGAGGAGGGGCACCGCTTCGCTGTTCGTGCCAGACGATTTGCTGGAGCGTGCGCTTCGAGCGTCCGAGGAGGAGTTGCGGAGGAAGTGCAAGGGGCTGTTCGCTGTGGGGCGGAGGGAGGAAGGCGTGACTGTCGTCGCGGACTTGCTTGAGGCGGAGGACGTCGATACAGCGCAGGCGGAACTTCGGCGTCGAGGCGCTGCAGGGACCCAGCAAGGACTGGAGACCGTGGGAGAGATCGCACACAATAGATGCACGGAGTCGGACGGGGCTCGGCGCACGCCAAATCTTCGCTTGCGCTTGCTCCGTGGCCAGGAATCGCCGGTGGACGACGAAACACTCTCCCCCTCGCCCTTCGTCATCCTCTACGCCCGTCTGCGGCATCTCGAAGCTCTCGCAGTTGGCCCGCTCCCGCTCAACTTCCATCCCGCCAGCTTCGGTCGGCCAGACGTCGAGGGCGACCAAATCTCTTCGACTCACGGAGCAACCTTGAAGCAGGCCAGCCCGACAATTGCGATTGGCATCCACCTCGTGAGATGACCGGATCTGCGTTTCACGATGAGAGCTGACCAGCTTGACGTGCAGATCAACGTTCTCCACCAAGACTCGCATACTTTCCTCGGCAAAACGGACAGCTCACCTACGGTTCCAGCTGCATAACTACTGTACAAGGTGTTCCGACTCGTGACAACGGTGCTTCGGGCGGCCGTACGGATCCTTTCTGTTCGGCTTCCACTCCTTGGTCCGCTCTGCGAGTGCACAGCCTTTGGTGCGTCACTTCTCCATGTCCGAACCTTCGACTAGGCCTGACATCTGCCTTTCAGCTCGCCAGCTGGATACGCGCTTCGCGCAGCCTGCTTCGCTGCTCCCGATGTATCTCTCGCTGCGGCGCGATCTGTACGTGACCGGTTTTGCTGAGGCAAGAGTTCAGGCACACCCGACATATATCCGGTGCGTTCCCTCTTTCTGCGCAAACCAGTGCATTCGAGCGTTGTTGACGGACCTTGCGCAGGTTCTTCAACCTCGTCTGGCTGATCGCGAACGACTTCATTGTTGGAATGGCACTGGCCTCCTATGTCCGCGACAACGCTCCATTCCTCAAGCATCTGGCTGAGAAGCTCGTCAGGGTACATAGCCGTAGCACGAGTCCCAACATCGCTAACCCGCTCACACGCGCTCCTGCTTGCAGGTCTACGTCCTTGCCTACTTGCGCGAACTGCTTGCATGGCTGAGCAGCTGGCCGATGGGCGTAAAGTTGAATGATGAGGTTGCAACAGTCATCTGCGGGGCGTTCCTTTTCCTCTCGCAACTGTGGGAGAACGGTCAATCGTCTCGAGCTGCCGACCAGTCCTTCTCGCGTTGCTCATTAAACTTCTCCGCAGTCTTCCTTGGCCCTGTACTTGCGCACCTCCCGGTCAATCTTATCAGTCTCTGCGGCATCCTCGGCGCCTCCTCCCTTCTCGCTCTCACCGCCGACCTCATCTCCCTACTCACTCTCCCATTCTTCGCCTGCTACGTTGCGGCTACGCTCGTCTATCGCTGAAGCCTGAGTACGCTCAGCGCACTCTTCAACGTCTTCCGAGGTTAGTGAAACGCACACTCCTAGCATGCGGCCGAAACTGACAGGACGAGGTGCAGGGCGCAAGTACGACCCGCTTCGCAGCCGAGTCGAGCCTGCGACGTATGATGTGGACGCCCTGCTCCTCGGAACAATCCTCTTCGTCACGATCAGCTTCCTCTTCCCGACACTCGTGGCGTTCTACCTCGCTTTCGCCTCGGTCAGTCGCGCCTTCCTCTATTTGCTGACGGCGAGCTGACGCGCTCCTTACAGTCTCGTCTGCTCATCTTGAGTGTCCAGGCAGTGCTGCTGATGGGCGTCAGCGCGCTCAACGCCTTCCCACTCTTTGCCCTGCTCCTGCGACTCAAGTCGCCTCGCCGGCTGCCAGGTTTGTCACCTTCATCGTTCCCCTGTACCCAGCTGATGTGATTCCATACAGGAGGAGTCGATTTCGAGGTTTGCGACGACGTGCGGCATTGGCCGGAACGCCATCTGCACCTTCGAGTGCGTTGCTCTCTTGCGTCCTCATCTCTACGCCCGCTGACTTGCGCGTACTCAGTCACGCCCGGTGTCTTACATCGCGATCTTGTCGTCGCTGTACGTTGCCGTGTATCTGCCCGACCATAACCTTCCAAACTGACACGAATGCTTCTCCAGCCTCGTCGTCTTTGACGAGTTCCTCTCGCCTCGAGGGCTCCTCAAGGTGCTCCGATATCTGCTCTCCGGTGCGTACTGCCTCTCGCCTGCGTATGAACATGCAAGAGGCTCACCAATTCGCTTGTCTTGCTGCAGGCCAGGTCGTCTGGTAACGCTCGATAAACGTCCTTCCAGCACCCTCGACGGCCAGCAGAGCGTGTCGGATGGCAACACGGACAAGCTGACGGTGCGGCAGAGCCGTCGGCAGCTCCCCTCCCTCGATCTTCAATTCTTGAGAAGCAACAGGATGCGTCGAAGAAACGGTCGCATTCCGCGTTTCTCTCTCGCGGCGCTTCGGCTCCATCGTTCTCTCCCTCCTACAGTGCGCCTCCCTGCTCTCCTACAGTGCGCCTCCCTGCTCTTCCAGAGGAACCCTTTGCGACAAGCCAGGCCCGCCAACAACGCACAAGGGACGAAACCATGCTCCTTCTCCCTCACAAGACGCTCCTAGTGCTCTGTGTCCTCGCGATCCTCTCGGCCTGCTCGGCACAGGCGACGGAGTGGTACCGCGTTACGGATGACTTGCACCCGGCTGAACGTTGTACGTGTGCACGCGCTTCACGTCCTTGCGCAGCTGAGCAGCGCAGACCTTCGCAAGCCTGGCTCCGCCGGTTCACAGCCATCGAAGCGCGTCTGGCAGACCGCCAAGTACACGACACACTCGCCTCTCGCAGTCCCGCGTCACACCACTTGCACCCCTCCGTCTTCGACTCGAAAGGTTCCTCCCCTCCCGCCGGCCCTCTCTACCCTACCAACCCCAAAGCGCTCGCCCGACCGCCCTCCTTGTCGAGGGAAAAGAACGTCTCGTTCTGTCAGGCGAAGATCAAGGCGGCTGTCGGTGACCCTTTCTCCCGGAACCTGAAGAAGCGGAGTGAGGCGCTTGCTGGAGCGGCGGAGGCGGTCAAGGCGAAGCGGGCTTCCTCTGGGCGTGTGACGATGGGCCAGCTGGAGCGGAGAAGCGAGCGAGCGGGCGCAGGGGAGACGGTCTGGAAGAGGGTGCTCGAGGCGGACGATGTGATCGTTGAGGAGGCGGTTGAGGTTGCGCCTGAGCTGCAGACCGGGGAGGCTCAGCCTGAAGCACGACCTGTGGCGCACCGGTCGAGGCGGAGCAGTGCGGGACTAGCAGGAGAGACAAAGATGTTGCGGCGCGAGGCGGGGTTGAGCCCAGTCAAGCGGATGGAGGTGCGGATGAAGCGGTCCGAACCGTTGCATCACAGGCAGTAGTCATCTGAGGCATTGCGAGAGCGGAACGTAGGAGGACATCTCAGGGCCCATACCTCTCCGACCCTCTCCCGCCCAATCTCCTTTTTGGCTCTCACTCGCCCAAACCGCCTTTGATTCGCCTCGCCCCGAGCTCAACCAGCACCCTAAACCACACTCTACCACACAACTTGCCCACCTCCCATCCCCGCCGTCGTCGTCGTCGTCGTCGCGGTCCAAGAAGGTCAAGATCAAGAATGGCATTATCTCGATGGTTTGGTGATGGTTTGGATTCGTTCTTGATTCCCCAAGCCCTATACACACTCTTCTACCAGCCCGCCACGCCGCGCTGCTCCACTCTCACTCCCCTTCGTTTTATTGCACATCTTTGCTATCGCGTCTACTTTTCCGCTCTACTTCCGCCCACCCTCCCACTGTACTACTTCTATAGCCTCCTCACATCAGTAGATACCCCATCCAACAAGTTATGTGCTGTGGCAGTCAGTCCCTGCCGGTCTACATGGGCTTAGCCCCGATACGACTTGAAACAGGAACTTCTCTCTCTCTCTCTGAGGCATTGTTGAGGCGCTAGAACGTCTCGCTAGATCGCAACTATCGCTGGGCAGCACCCTTGTCAAATGTCGTGGTGATGCTGTGCAGGTTGTAGAGCTGAACAATTCAGCAAGGTTGGGAACGATGCCGGAAACGAGGAGTCACGCCCTTGATGTCGATGACGGCCCCCCTTGGCCAGCTTGACGAGATGCAAGCCAACACTGGTCACCTCTACCCTGTCCTTCCCAGATAACTTCCACAGACCGAGGCGTGCAGGCGCGGAGCAAGATGGGCAGGTGGCTGCCACCGCACAAGCTGCCGGTTGCAGCAATGTCAAGCGCAATCCCGCGCAATGTACGTCTTGTGAGGCAGTGTGCAGGGTCCAGGCTTTCACATTGTCGGTTTGGAGCGGGTTGGCAGGAGCAGCACCTGGTGCCGTACTTGTCACACTTCTGTGGATTTTCACACGCAACCAGTGCATGCTCTGCAGGCAGGTCAGGGCTTATTTGGCGGGGTCGGGTTGTTGCTGTGAGCAAAGAGGAAGGGGACGCTGGTAGACAAGCGAGCTCCCCTTAGCCGGCTTTGTCACGACCGGTACGGTCATACTTGCACTTGAAGCTTCCAGTAGGAGGCAGCAGTTGAAGTTGTGCTGCTCTCCAGTGTTGACAAGTGAAGGGCTGGACATCAAGCAAAAGTTGCTGGGCTTGCGCGTGCACAACTAGAAGGATGGTTCAATGGGACAACCAGCCCTGCCAATGAGTGAAGGAGAAGAGAGTGCACAAGACTGCCTTTGCAGCAACATGCTTAACTGACACATAACTCACTTGACTGGCAAGTGATGATTTGCAGTACACGCTCATAGTAAAACAGCACCTCTCATGGCGCGCCAGCTTTAGGATTCGTTAGGATTCGTTCAGCAACTAGGTGGGTGCCAAAAAATTGAGGAGCGCCACCGCACTTTGTGCGGGACAGTCAGCTGAGCACAAACTCTGAGCATCTGAAGCAACAGGTGTGAAGTCTCACTATGAGAGGCCCAAAGGTGGCTCAGGCCCCTTCTCCTTGAACACTATCGTTGAGCTCCCACAGACGCTTGTAAGGCCGGGCGATGGTTGGGATTGGTCCCAATTGTTTGCACAACCAGCCAGCTCGCTGCACAAGGCGAAAGAAGCGACGAGGTGAGCGGGAGAGCGTCTTTCAGGTCATTGGCGGAGACGCAACTCACGTTGCTGCTTCACCACGACGCCGTGGGGTTCTCTTGCGCCGACTAGCGCTTCCTAGCTATGCAAAGTATCTGTGCAAGTAGGCCGGCACCCCAAGAGGGCGTACTCCCGTCGCTGGATTACAAGGTGGGCTGAGCGACTACAATCACGGCTATTCTCGTCATTCACACCCCTTGACCTGAGGTGTCGCGGAAGAAGAGTGAGAGACTGTGCGCTCTTTGGCCAGGAGAGGAAGGCTGTGGCTGCTGTAGCAGGCTAGCTCGAGGCGGAGGATATTGGTATGGCTTAGGTGGCACTTACACCTCCTCTCGACGTACCTGCTCTATGACAATGCTTGCTACTCGCTCTTCAACCACCTGGAATCCCGCACACTGCGCACCACCAGCCTCCTCCTTGGCAAACCCTCCTACTGCAACATGCTTCTTGACTCCCTCGACCGCACCGGACATTTTTCCAAAGCTGGCCAAGGTGCAGGAGTTTGATGCAGGCGTTATGAAACGCAAATAGGATGCAGGACGCGACAGGACAAATGAATCCATTCTCACCTGCCTCAACCTTCACCCCGCCTCCCTCCTTCTCACATTCCCCTTCTCACCCATTTCTCTTGCAAACCTTGCCCAACCTGCCCCCCATCCTCCTGTCTTATTGCCTATCCCCGCAACACTGCCTTAGCCCGGCCCAACCTTGTCAGAACTTGCTCCCATCAACTGTCCAGCCCAAGACAAAGTTACTTCAGCCCTCGCGCATTTCTCCTGCATTTTGCACTGTTCCGCATAATTCAGCGCGCCACGGCCATTCCATCACTCTACTAACCTTGCCTTTGCTCCTACACCACTCGATGCCTCAGAAATTGTAACTTGGGCTCTTTGACCAACTTTGACCGTCTGATTGAGTCATCGCGGCAACCGCCTTCGAACAGAACTTGCGCAAGAGGAGGGAGACTCATACTCATTCTCCATGGCAAGTCCGGTAGGCAAGTTTGCGATGCTGCCGGTGATATGTTGGGCAAGTCGAGGAAGAGCAGACAAAGGACTGCGGGTGCTGGAGGTCTCGCTCAGATGCTGTCGTCCTCCTTGCTTGCTTGCTTCTTGTGGCCTCTCAAGGTGTTTGACAGGTCTTCCCTGCCTCTGACTGGTCTGGCAAGGAGCAAAAACGAGGTGGTCGAGCAGAAAGGAGGTCTTCCCCAACTTCAAAAGCTCAGTTTCAACTGGCCACAACTCGACCCTTGAGTTCCGTGCTTGCAAACTCTGCTCAAGCCTCTTGCTGATCTGTACCAGAACTCGGCAGCCGTGCCGGCACTTGAGATAGCACTACCGAGCTGAGTTGCAAGTCTCGCACTTTGCGCAAACAGCCTAGTTGCACCTGCACCACATTCTACTACATACAGAACCTGCCTACAAGTTGGTCCCACTGTTCATTTCCTCACCTATTTCACAGCCGTTTTGCTTCATTCTGGTTTCCCCTGACTGAACACACCTCTCTACATGTGCCCAATGGCCTCGCTTGACACTACGTCCACCCACTGCTGCTCTATCACGATTCTTGACCGATTCTTACCCTCTCTCCTTTCCAACTCAGTTCTCACCCTTTTGGACCACTCTCTTGCCTCCCCCACACCAAGAGCATACTCATCTCCCTGTTATATGCTGCAGCAGTCAGTCTCTGTTAGTCACCATGGGCTCAGCCCCGATCTGACTCAAAACAAGAATCTCTCTCTCTCCCGCTGTTCAAGGTCTTCTCTCCTCCTTCTTCCGCCCCTTGCTTCGGTTGATTCTGGCTTCTTACCGCTTCCCACACTTACGCTCCTCACCCACTTGTAGCTCCTCCAGCGTCTGGACAAGCTTCAGAACGGCATTATCTCGTCAACTTCTTGGCAGATCAGCTTTATTCTTCTTTTCCTTAGCCCTACATACCCAGATCTCTCCGCTTGCCATGCCATGTTCCCCCACTACCTTTCCTCTTTTATTGCACCTTTTTCACGCCCACTCTACCTTCCATTTTACCTCTGCTCAACCTTCCACTCTCCAGTACCTATAGCCTATCCACTCCGGTGTAGCAGCATGTTGCAGAGAAGGCAAGATGCCAAGTCAGGGATCTTCTGCCAGGCTTGTGCATAAACCCTGGCAGTGTGTACCGCAAGAGGCCAGCTGGGACTGCCAGTGGCCTAAAGTGTGAGGAGGAGGTGAGGATGGAGGAAAACTCAGCAGATGTGACTACTTGAGTGGTACCAGCAGAGGAACAGAGGACAGTCCAGGGAGCAGAGAGAGCAAAAGAAATGAAGAGGGAGCGGAAGCGAAATGGCCACAAAACCGGCACGCACAGCAGAGCTCGATGCTACGCCCGCTCCCCTCGTCGACACTTTTGGTCTCCTCGATTCCGCCTTCCTCTCGTTCGACTCATCTCCGGCTCGTCTCTCTCGACTTCTCTCAAACGGACACGGGTGTGCAAGTCGCGGTGGATTGATGAGGACGAATGTTGGGTGATCGATCTAGCTCGTAGACCTCCCAGCTCCTCCTCGCTCTTGTCTCTTTCTCTTTAGCGCTCCCCTCTCCTCTCGCTCTTGCTTCTGGAACCAAAGCCCGAATCAGTATCGATCGGCTCTGTTACAGTCGCCCGACTTCAACTTGCGCCAGTTGCCTGTCCTCGCATCGTGCTGAGGACGGTGCGCCTTGCACTCGAGATGGCAAGGTCCTGCCTTGAAGGCTCGCTCTCTGGCTAGACAGACTCCGCTGTACTCCGCTGTACCTGCGCCTTGCTTGTCTGCCATGCTGACAAGGCAACAAAGCTGCTGCTGATCCTGGTCGGCATTGAGCTCTACGTCCTGCCATTGCCTGCAAAGGGTGCAGATCTCCTCCCTCAACGCCTGTACACCTCCCGCTTGTCATTCTCACAACCCAGCAATCTCTAGCATTGCTGTTTGATGTCATGCTCAACCTTCCACACCCTCTCCTAGCCCACCTGCCTTCGTCAAGCCTCTGTAGTTACCCTTCTCAGGAGCACCAGGTACTACCGGAAACTCTCCTGGGCTTCATTGCACTATTGTCTTGCAATACACCTGCTTGTATTGACTTGCAGTTTTGCCTCGCCATGCTAGGCTTGAGGATGCGGCAAGCTTATGAGGTAGCTCCGCTCATCTGCCAGATATTGCAAGGGTAGCGTCCCTGTGCAGCTGCAAAAAAGAGCTGAAACTGGCGTGACTGTGTGAGTATGTGAGTGAATGGAGTGCAGCAAGTGAAGTGCAGAAAAAAGACAAGTTCCCCGACGGGGAATCGAACCCCGCTCGCGGCTGTGAGAGAGCCGAATCATAACCACTAGACCATCGAGGACTGGTTAGAGAGACGCTAGGTTTTGTGAACAATATATGCGTCAGCGCCAGGCTTTCTCACTCGTAATTCCTCGCTTCTAGCCACTACAGCAATTCCGGCGCAACAACAGCCAGTCCTCAGCAAGTAACAGACAGGTGGAAGCTGAAACGTGTGTTGCAAGGGCAAGAGAGCCTACTCTGTCTTGGTGAAAGCGAAACCGAGATACAACACTACCGTCGCAAGGTCAGCACAAGTCAGTCAAGGGGACAGACTCAACGCACTGGCCGCATCAAGCTGGTCCTCATCCATCTCTGCATTCCCCTCTGCGTCCATGACCCGCATCTTCCGCAAGAGCTGCGAGAAGTGCGGATCCTCCTGCTCCTCCGAGAAAATGGTCTGAAAGTCCGCCTGGAACCGCAATTCTAACCCATACTCCGCAGCCAGACTGATGACGCAAAGGGGACAATCAGGTTACTGCGGGAAGAAGCGCAAGACAGGGATGCGTCGAGAGGATGAGGGACACACCTGACAAAGTTGTCCCAGTAAACCACGTATTCCGGCACCTCCTCCACAGCATCTTGCAGGAAGAACGTGTATCGATGACCGTACGGCGAGTCCCATTCGCGCTGGTCAAACTTGACACTGTAGACCGAGTTGCCGAAGACGAGCGGATTTTCGGGATCAGGCGCATTGTCGAGGTGCTCACTGCGATCGCAATGCGGACATCAGCTCCTGCGTTTTGAGCGAGGGATCCTGAACTCACAACAGCTGCTTCTCGTCCGGGATGGTTCCGATGAAGACGCCGCCAGGCTTGAGGTACAGCGAGACGTTCTCGAGCATCCTCCGCACCTTGGCCTCGGTCTCGAAGGCGTAGTGCATGCAGAACTGCATTGAGACGACGTCGAAAGGCCGCGTCACAGTCGACGCAGGGAGGACCTCTTCGATCGAACTCTGCGGACGGGCCTGTCAGCCCAGGTCCCCTCCAAGAGGCTGCAATGGCACGCACTTCGAAACAATCGAGAGCGTAAAAGGAAGCCGGGAAGCGCGTCCGGAGGGACTGCCACCGAGAGCGAGCTTGCTCGACAGAAACCTCGGCGATGTCTAGTGGACGGCGATTGATCAGTCCTGCGAGCAGGTTCGGCGCACACGCATGACGCACCGAGTCCCACGAGCTCGTCTGTACCAGCCTTCGCCCACTTCTGCAAGTCTCCGCCCTTGCCACAGCCCAAGTCGAGGACCTTGACCTTCGGGCCCACGTCGTCCTCTCGCCTGGCAAACTTGGCTATCAGGACCGTCTTGATCCAGTTGTTGAAGCTCTTCAAGCCGATGATGGGCGAGTCTTGCCGAGCAACGCGGTCCGTGTTCGGGCGCGCATTGTCTACCAGGTTCGAAGGAGGTCAGCCCGGTTCAGGTGCAAGCCGATAGTGACCACGCACAGTGCTCCGCTACACTCCTGACGTCATGCGCGGTCCTCCAGCGCTTGGCGGCGTGCTCGTCTGGGCCGCTCTCGCGGTTCGGCCGCTTGTGACCGGTTGGTGGAGGAGGAGGAAGGCCGCCGTTCGTCGCGGCCGCCGGGCGTGCCGGCAGACTCGCCGGTGCTGGAGGAAGCGAAGATGGCCTCGAGTACGACTGCTGCTGTGATGCAGGGCGTGTGCGGAGCGGGTTTAGGGCGGTCTGGCACTGGGCGAGTTCGACGCGGGAGATGGGGACGAGGACAGACGAGGGCGGAGATACGCGCTTGGTCGGCGCGTACGGTCGCTGTGACGGCTTGACGGTCTCGTCCGAGCCCAGCAAGCGTTGCAGCGACATCGTTGATGTAGCGGTTCGAGGCGAAGAGGCGGTGCCCTCATCTCTCGCGTCCACCACCATTCTCACCATGTCTTCGAGTGCAGCCAGCGACGCAGACGAGCCGACATACGTCTCGGAGAAGCAGCGCAAGGCGACACAGCGCAGGGAGGCCCTCGCCCGCCTCAAGGACGCGTCCTCGTCGCGTGCCGCTCGACAACCCCGCTTCCTCGGCGCAGACGACGACGACGGCGACGACACGGCTGGTGGAGACGTAGACTTCGAGCAGTGGGAGCGCAGGGACCTTGCGAAGCGGAAGAGGGCGCCGGGAGGCGACTCGAGTGCACCGTCTCGGAGCGATCCTCTCCTCGCGGGCGCTTTCGACGACCTCTTTGACCTCGGCGAGACTAGCGGTACGGCTGGCGATGGAAAGGTGGATGTCGACGTCGACGGGACGGGCGCAGAAGGAATTGACGTCGAGGGAGGGACAGCCAAGAAGCGCCGCATCGTCGCGAAACTCGACGAGACGAGGTTGCTCGGTCCTTCAGGCTTTCCTAGGCTGCGCGACGACATCAAGAAGGTCAAGATCAAAGGCAAGGGGCACGAGGTATGCTGCAGAGATTCTCCCGACGTCGGGCAGGACTGATTCCCGCTTTGCTTCCGGCAGATGCAAGACCTCAAGCGCGTCTTGACTGTGTACCAGCTCTGGTCGCACCAGATGTACCCGAAGACGAACCTGCGCGATACGCTGCAGGTGGTCGAGAAGCTGTGTCACAAGCGGACAGTGCAGGCGCGTTCAGCAGTCACTAGCCTTGCTCCTACTCTCTGCGAGTCTGACAAGCATCCCCATGCAGCGCGCTTTGAAGCAGTACCGCGACGAGGAGAAGCACGGCAAGGTGCAGGCCGACGAAGCAGGCGAGGACGATGCCTTCGCCGACCTCAACCTCCCAAACACAGGCCGAGATGGCGCAGCGCCAGAGGCCGATACGCCAGCCGACGCACCTGCCCCACCGCCGGATCGCGCGCAGATGATGCACGACGTCGGCTTCGAGGAGGAGGAGGACTTCTTCGCAGACGAGGAGGCTCTGCTGGCGGAACTCGACACTCAGGCGCGAGAAGGGGCATTGCCTGCGGGGGGTCCCAACTCAGGCGCACCAGAGCAAGTGGCTGCTGGCGTGGAAGGCATGGAAGAGGACGACGAAGCGGAAGCAGCGTTGCGCGAGGCTGAGGCTCTCCTGATGTAGTTTCGCCCGTTACTTTACCGTATTGCTACTTGTCGTCTAGACCGCCGACCGTCGTGCACTCCACCCGAGAGGATCGAAGCCGAGCATATCCCGCATGCGCTGCACGTCCACGACACCCTCGACGTCAGGACTTGCCATCGCTTGACACACTGCATCTCCGACTGCGTCGACGTGGATTGGCGGGATCGACATGAGGGACGCGAGAGAGGCGTATGCTGGCGGTATCTCGGTCGTTGGGATCGGCGAGGGCGGAGGTGATGGAACGAGGCGGAGGGCAGGCGGGATGAGCGCATGAAGTTTGGCGGAGGCTTCCAGGAGGGTTGCAGGGAGGGTCGAGGGGGGATTCAAGTGTGGGTGGTACATCAAGCCTGCATGTTGAGGTGGTGAGCGGTGGCCTGCAGCTAAGCGGAGAGAAGTCTCACTTGGTCGCACAAAGATTGGTCGGACTCGCGGCCGCTCAGCGTCTTCGTGCGTCCTGCTCCAGATCTGGTGCTCCGCTTCGCGCTTCGTCTTGATGTATCGCTCGGGTACGAACGGTCGGAAGATGTCCTCGGCAGATATGAAGACGAACGGGGGCAGGGTCGTGTTGACAGACGGCGAGCGCGAATGGCGAAACGCTTCGAACAAGTCAATCGCTGAATCGAGATGACGTTAGATTGTAGCGGACGACGAGTGGCTAGACGCTGACGCACCTGAATCCCGATTCAGTCGCTCATATGACTTCTCCTTGCTCACAGCGAGCGGATTTCCTCTTGAGCCCGTCGCGTTCTCCGCAATCGCCCTCAAAACCGATAACGGCCGCGCAAGCCCCTCATCCTTATAGTCAGACTCGAAAAGCGCGCCTAGAGTTGTTACGAGACCATCGCAAGACGGAAGGATCGAGTCGTATGTTGCGGCGTCGAAAGCAGAGCCCTTCCTCCATTCCACCTGTACGCACGCAGGTCAGCTTGTCCTTCGCACGCACGTCCGACCCTTCTACGCACATCGTTGACCCATGCAGGCGCGTGTCCGGCAGGCGTTGCGAAAGGTGTGCCGCTTCGGCTCACGCTGACGACCTTCCAGCCGCGCGCGACGGCCTTGCGCGCGACTGCGGCGCCAACGAAACCGTTTCCGCCGAAGATGCAAATCTTCATGCCTTGCGAAGCGCTCGTGGGTGCGTTTGGCGCAAGGACTGATGAAGATGGGAGAGTCGGAGGAAGTGACGATCGAGACGCGAGGGGAGCTGAAGCGCGAGTCTATAGGTTGCGAGCGGTTGCAGGACTTGCAACGGGGCGCAGCCAAGCTAAAGCAAGCGGGAGAAGTGGTGGTCGAGGAGCAACACCCTCCTCGGGAATCTCGTCTCACCTGGACCGCAATCTCCTTCACCGCAAGAGCCGCCCGAGATGGCTGTCTTCTACCCACGCGGCGGCGTCGCTGGCGGTGATCCCTCCAAGAACCCGTGCGTCCGCCGCGCTCTTCTTGCGCGCCCGACCTCGTCCTGACTTCGCGGTGCCGTCACCTCGCCCAGCGCCGACTCTACGTACGCCGCCGTGCCGCCCAGCTCGACGTACAAGGGACCAAAAGTGGCTGGGACGTACGGAGGCTTCGTCGGCGTTCTCGTCGGGGTCGGCATCTTGGTCCTCACCGTCCTCGCGGGGTTCATGTTCGTGCGGTACCGGCAGTTGAAGCGCAAGGCGGCGCAGAGCGGCGGGGAAGGGTACGAGCGAGGCGGAGCTTGGGTTGCGGACGACGCGTTCGAGCTGCCGACACACCAAGCCTTGCACTCCCAGTCGACCGTCAACCTCGATTCTCCACCCCTACACCATGCGCCGCCCCTGTACGCCCAGGACGGCATCTCACAAGAGGCGTTCTTTGAGGAGGGAGCCGGCGGACGGTACCGCGATCCGTACGGCGCGCGGGACGGGGAAGACTACGGGAGGGATCGCTCGCCGACGCCCACGCCAGGCGACAGGAAGATTTGATGGCGACAGAGAGGCAGGATCCGTGTGAAATTGTATCGAATTTGCAGACAACACCTGTTTGTACGCCGCGCGGCTCCGCCTAAATCTCCTGCAGCTTGACTGGCGAGGACTGTTGGAGCGAGGGAAACACCCTCGAGCCTTCCACCATTTGCGGCCTCTCCTGCCTCTCCTCCCCAAGCCCAACCTCGATCCGTCCAGTCGGGCCCGTCCACAGCCAGCCGCGCATCTCCTCTCCGTTCTGCTCAACGCTCATGACGCGGACATTGGCGTTGCCCTCAACGACCTTTTCGACACCTTTCCACAAGGCCGCACGGCGGCCCGGCGAGTGCTCGTCTTGGAGAATGAGGTCGCGCAGGTGCGACGGGACAACGTGAGGAAAGGGAATGAGGACGGGGTCGGCGTAGTGGGCGCGTTCCTGTCGTGTGGGAAAAGTGAGCAAGATGCTATTGCTAGAGGGAGACTATACGCGCCTGCTGCTGGAGCTGCCTGAGCGCGACCTGCACGAGCTGGCGGACCTTTTCTGCGTCGGCCCGCCTCGAGCGGAACTTGCTGCGAAGCCACCCAAGAATTGAGAGGAAGCCGAGGAAGCCTGCGAAGGGATGCCGTGAGAAGATGGTCTGTCGAGACGGACGAAGCGCACGTACCTGCGAGAGCGCTCTTGTGGCGCTTGGCAGACTGAATGGCGGCGAGGCGAGCTCGGCAGGAGAGGGACATCTCTGCCGTCTTCGCAGCGTACCAGTAATCGTCACTGAGAAAAAGAAGGGGTTCAGTACGGTCACGGCGTCGGGACCGAGACGGCACTCACGGGCCATCATCGTCTTGCCAGACGACGACCTCGCCATGCGCCTCGAGGTCACGCAGCGCAATGCGGTTCACCTCCTCCAGCACCTGTTCCGCAAACGGTCTCCCGGCACGCTCGTTCTCGCTCCTCAGCGCCGCAAGGACCGCCTCGGCATTGAGTCCGTAGATCCACGCCTCTGCCTGTCGCTGTTTCCGCCTGTGCTTCTCGAGCCCCTTGCAGATGACCTCGCCCCTCCTCTGGCGAAGCAAGCGTGACGCCTTGCTCGCCTGCATCGCGACCATCATGAGCTTCTCGGTGTCGGGAACGCATGCTGGCGAGATGGGAATGAGGCCGCCTAGACGGAGAGGGTGCTGGCGAGGGACATAGTCGATCGTGCAGCCGACGAAGGCACCGTCGGCGCAGTAGCCATGAGCTGGGCAAGGAGTGCAGGAGGGGCGCAGGTGAAGGTGGTCGGCGAAGTGAAGGAGCGACGGCGGAAGGTCGGGCAGCGGGACGGCGAGGGATGTATGGCGAGAGGCGACGAGGCCGTTGGTTGACGAGTTGGTGTCGCAGAAGCCGGCCGCGAGCTTCTCCTCACGCCACCACAGGACGTAGGTCACGAGGAGGGCGGCGAGTGCCCACCTGGCGACCCGGCCCATACCGCTGAAGTCGAAGGTCGGCATCGAGCGTGGGGCTGGCTTGACGGCGATAGCATTCTGGTCGCTGAAACGGCGACCTTTGCCGACAACTTGACGTTGGGCGCGAGGATGGGGGATCTCCTCGACCGGGCTGCTCGATTTCCGCCTCGAGCCGTACGGCGATGGTCCAGCGACCCTCCCGGCAGCCGGAGAAGCAGCGGAGCCCTGCTCGCGCTCGCGCAGAAGAGCAGCCATCTGCGGAGGACTCGTCTTGACCTTGTTGACGGGGACCATGTACTGCACACCGACAGGCGTACCGCGAGCGCTGCCGGGTGCAGAACTCGACGCAGAGGCGAGCGCTCCACCGAGCGAGTGCCGAGCGCGAGCCGGCGAGCGACTCGTCGAAGGAACCGCGGGAGGTTCCGGCTCCGGCATCTCATCGAAAACCTCCTCCTCCTCCTCGCGGCGAGGCGCACCAGCGAAAAAGCCGGCCCCAGAACGACCTGGTGTCGCCCAGTCGCCTGCTGTTCCCGCATCGCGCCTGTGCGCCGAGAGAGCCGGCATGCTCTTGCGCGGCGAGAGGCGGCTGCGCTCCTGCTTCTCCTCCTGCAGGCGAGCGGGTCCGAGCGAGGACTGCGAGACAGCGAAGGATGGGGTCAGTTTCTTCATAGGCGTCCGAAGCAGAGAGGGTGCACACCTTGCGGCGCTTCGTGTCCCGCTGAGGCGTCTCTTCTCCGCCAGACTGGAACGGGTTGAAGTCGCTGAAGTTGCCGTCGCCGCCGCCTGCGCCGAGCGAGAGGCGCGACTTGCGCTTCGATGGGGCGGTCAAATCGCTGAGGCGAGGAGTGGCAGGGCCTTCGTCCTGTGGAAGTCGGGAGTGTTAGCTGGCGAGCACCTTACGTGAATACGTGGATAAGGCGCTCAACGCACCTGAGCTTTGCGCTTCCTAGGTGACACGACGGGCGAGTCGTCGTCATCCGAGCCGCGCAGCGGAGCCTCGTACTCCCTCGGCGCCTCATACTCGACCGTCTCGAGCTGGACGTTCCCCTCCTCATCGACCTCCATCTCGTCCGGCGGACTCGGCAGCCTGACAGACTTGCGACCCTTTGCTGCACGCTTCTTCGGCGGGGGAGCGGCATCCTCCTCCTCTTCCTGCTCGACGGCACCGTCCTCCGTCTCGGTCCCGGTCGTCTCGTCCACCTCCTTCGCCCTTCCCTTCCCCTTTCCGCCTTTCCGCGCCCTCGTGCCCGTACCCGTGCCCGCGCGCGCCTTGCCCTTCTTTCGTGCCGCCAGCCTCACATCCGCCTCCTCGTCTCCCGCGGCATCCTGCTCGTAGTCCGTATCGAGTTCCCTCAACGAGCTGCCTTGGCTCTCGCCATCGAGGACGCCGTCGTCGGATGCGCGGACTGTGCGCATTTGGTCGAGGAGGGCCTTTGCGAATGGCGCAGCGAAGGCGGCGTCCGAAGTCAGCGGGAGGCAAGCGGGCAAGTTGTGGGAGGCGAGCGCACCTCTGCTTGCGGCAAGACATGCTTCTGGAAGAGCCTGACGAGCTCTGGCTTCTTGGCGTTCGACTGGTACGGGACCTGCTCGTTGTTTTTGCGGGCAAGGGGGAGGACCAAGTCAGTCGGCTGATCTCACGCTTCGTGCGGGCGACGGACACGCACGTCGTGAGCGAGGAGGATGCCACGGAGTTCTGCGACCTTGGCTTTGGCGGCGTCGTAGTCCGGCAGGAGGTGGGCGGGCGGGGTCGTCATTTGTTGAGCGATGAGCGAGGGTGGGAAGAGTCGGCGAGAGGAGCGTGTGCCGCGGCGGATGTGTGTCGCAGTCGTGTAGCAGCCTGTACGAGTGCTCCAAGCCTAATCAAGCGAGTCCCAGTTGAGTGTGAGTAAGAAGCTCGAGGATGAGCTGGATGTTGCCAAGTCGACTGAACTTGGCGACGAGGTGTGAGCGAGGAGCGATTTCTCTCTCGTCCAACCCCGTCGTGCGGCACGATGAGCGCAACTGGACACTGCAACTGCGGCAAAGTCACCGTCGAGGTCAACGGCGGACTCCCAGACGCAGCCATCCTCTGCCGTGCGCCCCCTCCCCTTCACCTGTGCACATGCCCTCGTCGCTCACATCGCTCACCGCCTCGCAGACTGCACGAGCTGCCGCAGGACCAGCGGGAGCGTGTGAGTTCACGCCTCAACAACCAGCTTGGCCTACACAACCAGCTGACCGCTCGTCGTCCTCGCCGCAGCTTCTCGACCAACCTCGTCGTCAAGAAGTCAGACCTCGTCATCAAGGGCGAGGAGCACATCAAGGAGTACCGCGACACCAACACCGACTCGGGTTGCGCCATCATCCGCCACTTCTGTGCTAACTGCGGGTCGTGCGTTTTCCCCTCCTCCTTGCGGGACTTTCCGTTTGCTCAGTTGCGCCGAGCTGACTGACCTCGCTTGCAGTCCCATTGCTGGCGTCCCCGAGGCGGACAACAGCACGTACTTCCTCAAGGGCGGTGCGTCCCTTTCTTCGAAGCAACCGTCTCTGGGAAGGTCCCGTTGACTCTCCTCCTTTCTCTCCGCCGGCGCAGGCCTCTTCAACCCGCACACCCTCCCGTCCAAGGTCCAGGCCGAGCTCTTCACCCGCAACCTCGAGTCGTGGCAGAAGGTGCACGAGGGAGCGCACCCCGTCCAGGGTATGTCGTGAGGAGCACTTGCGTTCGTTTGCCTCGAGGCTGGTCAAGGGAATCGTGGAATGGATACATCGATGTGCAGTCACAGCGTGGCGGTTTGGCTGGGTCGACCGGGCGCGAGGGTCTAGGCAGCGGCGCTTGAAGAGCTTCTCTCGCTGTTGTACGAAGATGCTCGTCCAAGGCGATAATTGCAATCTAGCGAGACGTTCCAGCATCTCGACAATGCCTCAGGTAACTACTGCCTGTGATACAACGGTTCGGAACGCTTCATCCGCACCTCCATCCGCTTGACTGGACTCAACCCCGCCTCGCGCCGCAACATCTTCGTCTCGCCTGCCCGTCCCGCACTGCTCTGCCTCGACCAGTGCGCCGCAGGTCGTGCGTCAGGCTGCGCCTCCTCGGTCTGCGACTCAGGCGCAACCTCGACCGCCTCCTCAACGATCACATCGTCCGTCTCGAGCACCCTCTTCCAGACCGTCTCCCTCGCGCCCGCTCGCTCGCTTCTCCGCTCCAGCTGGCCCATCGTCACACGCCCAGGGAAAGCCCGCTTCGCCTTGACCGCCTCCGCCGCTCCGGCGAGCGCCTCACTCCGCTTCTTCAGTTTCCTGGAGAAGGGGTCTCCGACAGCCGCCTTGATCTTGGCCTGACGGAACGAGACGTTCTTCTCCCTCGACGACGAGGGCGGTCGGGCGAGCGCTTTGGGGTTGGTAGGGTAGAGAGGGCCGGCGGGAGGGGAGGAACCTTTCGAGGCGAAGACGGAGGGGTGCGAGTGGTGTGATGCGGGACTGCGCGAGCCGAGTGTGTTGTGTACTTGGCGGCCTGTCAGACGCGCTTCGACGGCTGCAAATTGGCGGAACCAGGCTTGCGAAGGTCAGCGCTGCTCGTCTAGCGTAGGGACGTCAAGGGCGCGTAAACATACATCGTTCGGCTGGGTGCAGGTCATCCGTAACGCGGTACCACTCCGTCGCCTGTGCCGAGCGCGCCGAGAGGATCGCGAGGACGCAGAGTGCGAGGAGCGTCTTGTGAGGAAGAAGGAGGAGCATCGGATCGATCGTGCACGTCGCTGTTGGGGCCTGGCTCGTCGCAAAGCGCGCCTTCGAATGAGCAGAGAAGCGTAGAGGGGAGAGAACGGTGAAGCCGAAGCGCGAGAGAGAAACGCGGAATGCGACCGTTTCTTCGACGCGTCCTGTCGCGTCCCAAAAATTGAAGATCGAGGGAGGGGGGCTGCCGACGGCTCTGCCGCACCGTCATCTCGTCCGTCTTGCCATCCGACACGCTCTGCTGGCCGTCGAGGGGACTGGAAGGACTTCCATCAAGCGTTACCAGATGACCTGGCCTACAGCGAGACGAGCAAGTTGATCAGCCTCTTGCTCGTTCACACGCAGGCAAGAGGCACTAACGCACCAAGGAGCAAGTGTCGGAGCACCTTGAGAAGCCCCCGAGGCGAGAGGAACTCGTCAAAGACGACGAGGCTGGAGAAGCATTCGTGTCAGTTTGGAAGGTTATGGTCGGGCAGATACACGGGGATGTACAGCGACGACAAGATCGCGATGTAAGACACGGGACGTGACTGAGAAAGCGCAAGTCAGTCGGCGACGGAGAAGAGGCGAGAAGCGACGCACCCGAAGATGCAGATGGCGCTCCGGCCAATGCCGCACGTCGTCGCAAGCCTCGAGATCGACTCCTCCTGTATGGACTTGCATCAGCTGGGTACAGGCGAACGATGAAGGCGACAAACCTGGCAGCCGGCGAGGCGACTTGAGTCGCAGGAGCAGCGCGAAGAGCGGGAAGGCGTTGAGCGCGCTGACGCCCATCAGTAGCACGGCCTGGACGCTAAGTATGAGCAGACGAGACTGTACGGTGCGGGTCAGCTCGCCGTCAGCGAATAGAGGAAGGCGCGACTGACCGAGGCGAAAGCGAGGTAGAACGCCACGAGTGTCGGGAAGAGGAAGCTGATCGTGACGAAGAGGATTGTTCCGAGGAGCAGGGCGTCCACATCATACGTCGCAGGCTCGACTCGGCTGCGTAGCGGGTTGTACTTGCGCCCTGCAACTCGTCCTGTCAGTCTCAACCGCACGCTACGGAGCCAAACTTTCACTCACCTCGGAAGACGTTGAATAGCGCGCTGAGCGTACTCAGGCTCCAGCGATAGACGAGCGTAGCCGCGACGTAGCAGGCGAAGAATGGGAGAGTGAGTAGGGAGATGAGGTCGGCGGTGAGAGCGAGAAGGGAGGAGGCGCCGAGGATGCCGCAGAGACCGATAAGGTGGACCGGGAGGTGCGCGAGTACAGGGCCGAGGAAGACTGCGGAGAAGGGTAATGAGCGACGCGAGAAGGAACGGACGGCAGCTCGAGACGACTGACCGTTCTCCCACAGTTGCGAGAGGAAAAGGAACGCCGCGCAGATGACTGTTGCCACCTCATCGTTCAATTTGACGCCCATCGGCCAGCTGCTCAGCCATGCGAGCAGTTCGCGCAAGTAGGCAAGGACGTAGACCTGCCAGCAGAAGCGCGTGTGAGCGGGGTAGCGATGTTGGGCCTCGTGCTACGTACCCTGACGAGCTTCTCAGCCAAATGTTTGAGGAATGGGGCGTTGTCGCGGACGTAGGAGGCCAGCGCCATTCCAACGATGAAGTCGTTTGCGACGAGCCAGACGAGGTTGAAGAAACTGCGCAAGATCCTCGTCAAAGAGGCGCTCAGATGCATCGAGTACGCGTAGCAAGAGGGAACGCACCGGATGTACGTCGTGTGCGCCTGCACTCTCGCTTCAGCCGAAGCGCTTCCATACAGATCGCGCCGCAGCGAGAAGTACATGGGAAGCAGCGAAGCAGCCTGTGCGAAGCGCGTATGCAGCTGGCGAGCTGTTGAATTGCATGTCAGCAACCGTTAATAGCCGGAAGCCTGGGAGGAACGTACCAAAGGCCGTGCGCTCGCTGAGCGGGCCGAGGAGGGGAAGCCGGACGGAAAGGATGCGCACGCATCCCTGAAGCACCGCCGGCACGAGCAGGAGCAAACTGTACAAAATTTGTGCAGCTGGAGCTGTAGGCGAGCTGTCCGCTTCGCTGAGGACAGTATGCGAGTCTTGGTGGAGAACGTTGATCTGCACGTCAAGCTGGTCAGCTCTCATCGTGAAACGCAGATCCGGTCATCTCACGAGGTGGATGCCAATCGCAATTGTCGGGCTGGCCTGCTTCAAGGTTGCTCCGTGAGTCGAGGAGATTTGGTCGCCCTCGACGTTTTGCCGACCGAAGCTGGCAGGATGGAAGTCGAGCGGGAGCGGGCCGAGTGCGAGAGCTTCGAGATGCCGCGGAGGGGCGTAGAGTATGACGGAGGGCGAGGGGGACAGTGTTTTGTGGTCCGCCGACGATTCCTGGGGACGGAGCAAGCGGAAGCGAAGATTTGGCGTGCGCCGAGCCCCGTCCAACTCCGCGCATCTACCGTGTACGATCTCTCCCACGGTCTCCAGTCCATGCTGGGTCCCTGCAGCGCCTCGACGCCGAAGTTCCGCCTGCGCCATATCGACGTCCTCCGCCTCGAGCAAGTCTGCGACGACAGTCACGCCTTCCTCCCTTCGCCCCACAGCAAACAGTCTTTTGGACTTCCTCCGCGACTCCTCCACGGACGCTCGAAGCGTACTCTCCAGCAAGTCATCTGGCACGAACAGCGAAGCGGTGCCCCTCCTCGACATTTCGACGCCGTCCCGACCGCTGAGCGACGCCTAGAAGCTGCCGCGCCGCTGAAGGTGCTGTTTTGCCGACAGCGTGTACTGCGAGTCGTCGCCCTGCCAGCCAAGCGAGTTGTTCGTCAGTGAGGTGCGTGTTGATCGAGGGAGACTGATGAGGACGGACGATGTGAGAGAGCGGGATGGCAAGACGTCGGGCGCAGGCAAGGAGAGCGGCAGTCACAGCAGCGGACAGCAGTAGTCCAGCCCAGCCTGGCAGCATCTACTGCCGCGCCGGTTGGTGTGAGCAGCCTCCTCCTGAGCTTCGCGCCCACCTCTTGGACCGCTTCCACTCACGCTCACTCGCTTGTTCGCCATGGCTCCGCCCAGCAAAAAGACCAAGACTGGCCACATCCCGACTGGAGACGATCTCGAGGACAATTTCTTCATTGAAGACGAGTTCGCAGGAGCTTCGGACGGGGAGGAGGCGGACGGCTTGGCGGATCTCTCGGACGATGCTGGTGCGGTTGCGGCGGAAGACGGCGAGGCAGATGACCTGGGTCCCGCCGTATCCGCCGGGAAGAAGCGTTCCGCCGACGATGCGGGCGTAGGAACGGAGGACAAGCAGCCAAAGAGCAAGCGGGCGGCGAAGAAGGCCAAGGAGAAGAAGACGAAGAAGCTGGCAGAGCTCGAGGTCGACGGGAAGGACAAGGAGGACATGGGACTCTTGCCGGTTGAGGCGTTGGCGGACAGGTTGGCGGAGAAGCAGAAGCGGGCGCTGCCAAATCTCACGGCTCTCGAAATGGACGAGATGCGGATCAGCCGTGCGTTCGCAGAGCTCTCCATTCAGTTCTTGCGCTGACTGATTGCACCGCAGAGTCGATGATTCTCGACACTTCTTCGGTAACGGCGCGAGACTCGCTGCGGGCGTTCATGAAAGAGGGTGAGATCCGTCCACTCTCACTCACTGTCAAGCATCATTAAGCATTGTCTTACAGCTCTGCCAACGGCGTGCAACACCCTCGCCAAGATGCCCAAGGCTGCTGGCTCACCTCGCATCATTGTCCTTGCGGGAGCTGCGCTGCGTGTCGCCGATCTCGTGCGGTGCGTCAAGCGCATGTGTTCCGACAGACTTGATGACTGACCTTCGTCATACAGCGATGTCAAGGAGTTCAAGACGAAGACGAAGGACGGCTTGATCGACGTCGCGAAGCTGTTTGCCAAGGTTGGTCCGTTATTTGCGCCTGGCTGACCCAGCCTACTGACTGTGACTTCCCACAGCACTTCAAGCTCGCCGAGCACGCCGAGTATCTCAAGAAGACGCACGTCGGCCTCGCAGTCGGCACGCCCAACCGCATCGAGAAGCTGCTCAATGAGACAGGTCCGTTCCGTTGCTCAATCTTCCTCCGAGGCGGAACCTCACGACGATTCCGGTTGCAGAGTCTCTCCACCTGACCCATCTCTCGCACCTCATCCTCGACGTGTCGCATCTCGATTCGAAGAAGCGATCGCTCGTCGACTTGCCCGAAGCGCGCGCCGACCTCTTCAAGCTCCTCGGCAGCAAGCCAATCATGGACAGGCTGCGCGAGGGGAAGATGAAGATTGTCTTGTTCTGAGTAGAAGTAAGCTTGCTAGTGACCCTTTCACTCCCTCTGGACCGAATCGAGAGACCAATGCGAGTTGCGACATAACGATGCGTACTGATACAAGATTGTACATCGCTTCTCCTTCCCCTCTCCCCTGCACCACCTAGAATCCCTTGGGGTTGACGCGCGAGGTGACCTTCGTCCAGTGCGGGACCTTGTGGATACCCTTCCGGTAGTTCCTGCCATACCGCGAGAAGACAGTGTACTTGTCCCGCGCCGGCATCTCCTGCTCAGTCGGAAGCTCGAGGCACCTCGTCTGCATAAGCAAGAGGTCAGTGAAGCGGACCGGGGGGAGAAGAGATGGAGGGCAACGGACCAGGGAGAGCGTCTGCACGCCCGACGCTTGCACTTTCGCAATGACATCGTCCACCGCCTTCAGCCGCAACCGCTGGCGTGTCTTGCGAGTCGGGGACAGGCGGTAGGGGATCTTCCTGCGAGCGAGGAGATGGGTAAGCTCGGCACGAGGGAAGGCGCTGCGAGACTGTGCGCGCACCAGAGCAAGCCTCCTAGGGCTGTTTGCGATGGCCTGAACGCGCCAAACATCCTTCCTGAGCGAGTTGGCGGGAGTGACGGTTGCTGACCCTTGCTGATGAAGGTCTGGCGAGTGCAACACCCTCGTTTCCCGCTTCCACAGCTGCTAGGGTTCTGTCGACAAGCTAGACAGTGCTACTACAGGCTACGAAGCGCTCGACAACTGCCGCACTGCCACAGGATGGCCGGACTCGCCCACACGCAGACCGCCGACTCGCTCGCCCAGCAACTCCACGTCGCGCTTGACACGGGTCTCACGGCGAGCCAGGTCGAGAAGAATCAGCGCAAGTATGGCAAGAACGGTGCGTGCGGACCGTACGCACTCGTCCTCTCGGCGAAGGAAGCTGACAACAACTCTTTCCGTCGCATTCCTGTCCCGACCCCACTGCCGATCCAACTTCCCTCCTTGCGCGCCTACAGTGCTTCCGGAAGAGCCTTCTCCACCGCTGTGGGAGCTCATCCTCGAGCAGTTCAAGGACCAGCTCGTCCTGATCCTTCTCGCCTCGGCCGGAATCTCGCTCGTCCTGGCGTACCTCGAGGAGGGCGAGGACAAGGCGACCGCCTACGTCGAGCCAATCGTCATCCTCGCCATCTTGATTGCAAATGCATGGGTCGGTGTTGTACAGGAGACGAACGCCGAAAAGGCCATCGAGGTGCGCCCCGCGTGCGAATGAAGCTACAGAAGGATCCGCTGATCACTTGAATACCTCCAGGCCTTGATGGAGTACTCGCCTGACGAAGCCAAGGTCATTCGCGACGGACGAGTGCAGAAGATTCACGCCGTCGACCTCGTTCCGGGCGATGTCATCTCGCTTGCGGTGGGCGACAAGGTCCCTGCCGACAGCCGCGTCGTCAGCATCAGCTCGGCGAGCTTTACGATCGACCAGGCGCTGTTGACGGGCGAGAGCTACAGCGTGAGCAAGTCGACTGGTGTCGTCAAGGACGAGAAGGCGGTCAAGCAGGACATGGTGAACATGCTCTTCTCGGTACGTCCCGCTCTTCCACTAGTCCTACTTCGCAGCTCATTACGTACGAAACAGGGCACGACAGTCGTCACGGGCAAGGCGCAGGCGCTCGTCGTTGCTACCGGCACACAGACCGCCATCGGCGACATCCACACCTCGATCACCTCGCAGATCAGCGAGAAGACGCCGCTCAAGCAGAAGGTCGACGACTTTGGCGAGCAGCTCGCCAAGGTTATCGCCGTCATTTGTGTCCTCGTCTGGGTCGTCAACTTCCGCAACTTCAACGACCCGTCGCACGGCGGTCTCGTCAAGGGCGCGATCTACTACTTCAAGGTGCGCTGACTCCCTCGATCATTCTCCGACGGTATTGACAGGCCCTCGTACAGATCGCCGTCGCCCTTGCTGTTGCCGCCATTCCCGAGGGTCTTCCCGCCGTCATCACGACCTGCCTCGCGCTCGGAACGAAGAAGATGGCTCGCAAGAACGCCATCGTTCGCTCGCTCCCGTCCGTCGAGACGCTCGGCAGCACCAACGTCATCTGCTCGGACAAGACTGGAACCCTCACGACCAACCAGATGAGCGTTGCGAGGGTGCGTGCGCTGCGTTTCTGCCGGTCCCACCGAGGCTGACGAGTTTCCGCAGGTCTCGGTCGTCGAGAACGGCTCGCTCAAGCAATTCGAGGTCGAGGGCACAACCTACGCTCCGGTCGGCAGCCTGCTCGAGCCGAACGGCGCCAAGGTCGACTCGCAGACCCTCGCCCGCCCCGCCTTCGCCCGCCTGGCCGAGATCGCGTCGCTCTGCAACGACGCCAAGATCGCCTACTCGGAGAAGGACAACAGCTACGCGAGCGTCGGCGAGCCCACCGAGGCTGCCCTCCGCGTTCTCGTCGAGAAGATCGGCTCTGCCGCCGTCAACTCGTCGCTCTCGTCGCTGTCCGCCCAGGCTCGCGTCAACGCCGTCAACACGGACATCGAGTCGCGCTTCGCCCGCCTCCTCACCTTCGAGTTCTCCCGGGACCGAAAGTCGATGTCGGTCCTTGTGCGCGAGAAGAACGCCTCGACCGCTGCGCTCTTCGTCAAGGGTGCTCCCGAGTCGGTACTCGAGCGCTGCGACTTTATCGAAACCGGATCATCTCGTCAGCCGCTCACTCAGCAGCTCCGCGACGAGATCAACAAGACGGTCCTCAGCTACGGCTCACAGGGTCTCCGCACTCTCGCGCTCGCCTACGTTGACGACGTCGACCCCGACGCCGACCACTACCACACCGACTCATCGTCGAAGTACATCGCCTTCGAGCAGAAGATGACCTTTGCCGGTCTCGTTGGCATGCTCGACCCGCCCCGCCCCGAGGTCCGCGGTGCGATCGAGAAGTGCAAAACGGCTGGTGTCCGCGTCGTCGTCATCACCGGCGACAACAAGAACACGGCCGAGACGATCTGCCGGCAGATTGGCGTCTTTGGCGACTCGGAGGACCTGACGGGCAAGAGCTACACGGGCAAGGAGTTCGATGCGCTTTCGCAGCAGGACAAGGTGACGGCCGTCATGAACGCCAGCCTGTTCAGCCGCACCGAGCCGGGACACAAGCTCCAGATCGTCGAGCTCTTGCAGGAGCAGGGTCTCGTCTGCGCGATGGTGCGTCCCCCTCTGCTCCTGCCTGCTTACTGAGCTGATCACTGCTTTTATAGACCGGAGACGGCGTCAATGATGCACCTGCGCTCCGTCGCGCTGCCATCGGTATTGCGATGGGGTCCGGCACTGACGGCGAGTCGGCTCCTCCCTCCCGTCCGCGTCCTCTTGCTGACCTCCATGCCATCTACAGTCGCCAAGCTCGCGTCCGACATGGTCCTCGCCGACGACAACTTTGCTAGTATCGAGGCCGCCATCGAGGAAGGTCGCTCAATCTACGAGAACACCAAGCAGTTCATCCGTTACCTCATTTCGTCCAACATCGGCGAAGTCGTCAGGTGCGTCATGTCGCTAGCCTTGTTTGACCTGATGCTGACTTGGTCGTTCGCCCGCAGCATCTTCCTCACGGTCCTCCTTGGCATGCCCGAAGCGCTTCTCTCCGTCCAGCTCCTCTGGGTCAACCTCGTCACCGACGGTCTCCCTGCAACCGCTCTCGGCTTCAACCCTCCCGACCATTCCATCATGCGCCGCCCGCCTCGCTCGGCGAAGGAGCCGCTCATCAGCGGATGGCTCTTCTTCCGTTACCTGATCATCGGCATCTACGTCGGCTGCGCAACCGTCTTTGGCTGTGAGTCAGAAAGTACATAGCTTCCAGGACGCGGGCGCACGCTGACGCTGTCTCCCGCAGACGCCTGGTGGTTCATGTTTTACAAGGGCGGCCCGCAGATCTCATGGTACCAGCTTGTGCGTGTTAGCGCTTCCGCTCGTGGCTACTCAAGCGCTGACTTCGCTTTCCCCCTAAGACGCACTTCCACAACTGCTCGGAGCTGTTCCCCTCGATCGGCTGCGACATGTTTGCGAACGAGATGGCCAAGCGCGCGACGACGATCTCGCTGTCCATCCTCGTCGTCATCGAGATGTTCAACGTGAGTCCCGCAGCCTGCTGGGGAGTGGAGCTGCCTGGCTAACGGTCAGACTTCGCTAGGCCCTCAACTCGCTCGCCGAGAACGAATCGCTTCTCACCCTTCCCCCGTGGCGCAACATGTACCTCGTCGGCGCGATCGCCCTTTCGATGGCGCTTCACTTCATGATCCTCTACGTCCCCTTCTTCGCCACCCTCTTCCAGATCACGCCTCTCAACCTAGACGAATGGAAGGCCGTCGTCGCCATCTCCTTCCCCGTCATCCTCATCGACGAGGCGCTCAAGCTCATCTCGAACGCCTTTGTCGCCCCTCCTGCCAAGCAGAAGACGGAGTAGTCGGACGGGGACGGGAAATTGGAGAGCAAAAGCCGCACGCAGCCTCATGTTTTAGATTCCTTCGCATCCTCTCGCACTCGCAGCAATACCAGAGTACGGTTCTGTATCGTCTATATCTCCCTCGTCAGGGTTGCGTGTCTACGTCAGGCTTCGCTTCGACCCCCGCCGCGGCGATTCCCGCTTCCTCAACTTGTTCCGGTGTCAGAGCCTCGAGCGCCTCCCCGACGTCTTGCGCGCGAGTCAAGTCCTCCTGCTGCATGTCAACGCGACCTTCTGATCCGTCTTGCACCTCGTCGTCATCTCGCAGGACGCGGTTGGCTGTCCGGAAGCGCTTGGCGAGCTCCCCGAGAACCAGGTGCCGTTTCCACTCTTCTGGCAGCTCGCCGAAGCCGCCGTGCAAGCCGATCAAGACGATCTGCGAGGCATGAGCCATTCACCATCGGCATTCACCCTAGAGAGAGCAGGGAGAGACGAAACGCACCTCCTCAACAACCTTCGCCAGCTCCTTCTCCCGCTTGACCGCATCTTCTCGCTCCTGCTTCTCCTCGTTCAAGATCTCCTGTAATCGCTCAATGTCGGCCTTGTTCTGCTCCAGCGCGTCTTGTACCGCGTCTCGTCGTTTACCCTCGGCTCGTTTAGATCGCCATGTCTCGCCGAAGACTGCGTGGCGTACTTCAGTTCGTCGCAATCAAAGCCTGCACAACACTCGACCTACTGATTATGGCGGCAACGGAGAAGAGGAACTGCGCAAGGGGAAAGGTCAACGGGTCGTCCGGCAGCAGAATCGGCCGTACGCACCGTTTCGCTTAGAAAGTTGGCACCTGTGTCTATCGCCTTAGACTCGCTCAAAGGTCGTACGTGTCGAGGAGACTCGCCGAGGAGCCTGACGCGCAGCTGTAAGGACGGAACGCATCGCTTGCTGGGTCAATTAAAGCTCTAGAGACGTCTCTGGCACTGCCCGAGGACGCACGTTCATCCTGCCGGTTTCGAGGCTCAGCGTGAGCGTTGCAGAGGGGTGACAATCGCTGTCAGGACTCACTCGGCGCGATGCAGGAACTGCGCCATCTGGATTGTCCGGCCTGCACGAAGGAAGGCGGGTCAGCCGGGAGGCAATCAATCGTTATTCGTCCTGTACGCACTCTTGAAGCCGTCGTGATCCTTTGCCTGCTGCTTGATCTTGTTCGCAATCGGTTTCGACAGCGTTCGCAGCAGAAGTGAGCCGATCTTGAGGCTGTCGACAGCGCCAGGGTCAGCTCCCGTGCTTCGAAGTGGCCGAAAACCCCTTGCCAGCGTACCTAGCCATGTCTGAACCGTACTCTCGCCGGGGAGAACGCAGAGACGACGCGACAATGAGGAGGTGGGGGCTGTTGCGGCGAGCGCGAGCACGGAGAGGAGAGGGCGAGGGCACCGGCAAATGCAAGCTGGTGAGGAGTAGGCGTCACGCTAGTCGAACTCGGCAGCGATGCGTGCAGTCGCGTTGTCGGATCGCGAGAGTGTCGAAAGGCGCTGGGGACGAGGAACGGGGCGACGGCAGCAGACGGGCAGGTCGCAGGGCGTGCTGAGCTAGGGAGCACGGCAGCGTCTGACCGAGCAAGCAACAGCAACTCGAGAGGATGGACGGAGGAGTGCCGACGAAGGACGTCTGCTCGTTCGGCGAGGATCCCAATCGTCACGTGACCAGCAGAAATATCGCAACGGGCTTGGTGGCTCGAGAACTCGACATGCGATGCTTTGCGAGCAAGTCTATTCTACCCAGGGACCTCCTACAGCCATGCTTCGCCTCGACGGCGTCCGCGTCAGGACCGCTCCGTCCTTTCCTGCAGGACGAACGCTCAGCATCCGTTCTACTCTTCCAGAGAACAAAGAGGACTCACAGAGCATGACGACGCCCATGCCAGACCCGCCGTCTGCGACGTCGACACCGCCGAGAATGGGCTTCGTGGCATAGTTGCTGCGCGAGGGGAGGCAAGTCAGCCACACGCACGACGGGGTTCAACTGAGCAGGCGACTCACTAGAGATAATAGTGCAGGAAACCGCTGCGAAGGAAGTGCAAAAGACCGTCAGCAACGAGCAGAACCTTCAAGATGGCGGACGACTCACTCTCCCTTGCCAAACTCCAAGGCGAAGTCGGATTGTAAGCAATTCGCTCACGCCGAGGGGACGAAGGATGTAACGCACCTTCAGGTCCTCGAGGAAAAGGCTGTTGTCTTGCAGCGTCAGGGCGTTCATCACGTCGAAGCCGTTCTGCACAGGCGTCGAACTGTCAGCGACCAGCCTGTGCACCAGACGCTGGGAACGTACCTTCGAGATGACCACGAGCGCATCGCTCATGAGCGCCTTGAGCCTGTCTCCGAGAACCTTACGCTCCTCCGGCGTCTCATCCTTCCAGTTCTTGACCGGCACAGCGACGCTGCCGTCGCCGAGATCGGCGCAAGAAGGCGCGGCGGTCGTGGCGTAGTAGAAGAGGTAGGCGGCGTTGACGTTCGTATGAGGCGTAGCCTTGAGAGCGGTCGAAGGGAGGGAGTAGAAGCAGAAAAGGTCGGTGATGCGGTGCGTCTCCGGGTCCTGCGTGATCGAGCAGTCAGACAAGCGAGCGCTGAGAGGCGCAAGCCCGCAGAACGCACCTCGACAACGTAGGTCCAGGTCACCTGGCCCTCCCTCTTCCCGTTCACGTCCTTGCCCCGCCCAGATAGCAGCGCATGCTCGACGTCCTTGTTGCTCAGCATCGGCGCCATGTCGAACCTCGCCAGATAAGCCCTCAACAGCCTGCTCGCCTGCTTCAAGTCCCGCTTCTCGAGTTCCCTGAGTCCTGGAATCGCCGTCTCGCCGCCGACACGGTAGTAAGTCGCCATTCGCGCGACAGTCGAGTTACGCGGGACGGCCGAGAAACCGAGTTTGACGAGCTTGGGTGGGTTGAGGTTGCGGTGGTAGTACTGGCAGCGCGTGACCGGCGTGGGGAGGAAGGCGCCGGCTGTGTAGATCGCCTGGAAGATGCCGCGAAGATGGGTGCGGCGGGTGACTTCCTTGATGAGGATCGGTGCGAGACGCTTCGAACGCAGCTTCTTGTGGACGACGAGGAAATTAATCTCCGTGCAGCGCTTCGTCCTGTCCAGGAGAGAGGGATCAGCGCTGATTGCTCAACGAGGGAGCGCTGCTCTGACGCACGCATTACGGATGCGCAAATCGAGTGGAATGCCCGAGATGAAGCCGACGAGCTTGCCCGTCTCAGCGACGCGGATGCCGACGTGCCAGTCGGGGAAGTAGCCAGGCGGTTTCAGCGCCCTGCGAGATCGAGGGTGAGCGGAGGAGCTCTGCACGAGGAATGAAGGACCTTCACGCACCACTCGATGAATTCGGGCGAGTAGTCGAAGCGGAACGAAGCGTCGAGATCCTCGACGTAGTGGTTCGTCAGGAGCTCATAGACCTCCTTGAGCTGCAGTGGTCGGAGGACGTCAGCGGACACTTCTTGCCGTTCACTAAGCCCAAGGCGCACCTCCTTCGGGTCGGACAAGTTGACGGTGACCCATCGGAAGTCCTTGTGCAGCTCAATCGGCTCCTGCCTGACCTCCTCCGGCTTTTTGTCCGCCTCAATCGCACCCTCCTTCACCTCGTCCTCCTCTGCAAGACATGCGCGAATCAGTACAGTGGCACAAAAACAAGGGAATCAAGCGAGCGACCCACTCGCGTCAAGCCGCATGACCGGCTGCGTCCGCCAGAACTTGTGGGACCTGTGAGCAGAGCGTCAGGCCCGACTACTCTAGTCAAAGGAAACGTCACGCACGCCATGTCCTTCGCGCCCTTGCCCATGAAGCCCTTCTTCCCCATAATTACGTCCTTGTCAATCTGCATCATGGCGAGCAACTCCTGCACCTGGTCCGGCGACATCTTCGGCAGTTCCGGGTGGTCGTGCGCGATCCGTTCTGCCACCGCATCGAGCTGCTTGTCGGAAAGCTTGAACGCCTTGCCCTTCCCCTTGTCCTGGGCAGGGGGAGGTGCCTGCGACGACGTCGCAGAAGCGGGGGCAGATGCGGCTGCGCTCTTCTTAGACGACGAGCCGACTTGTATGCGGTTCTTCAGCGCCGAGAGCGGGAGCTTCTTGCGACCAGCGGGACCTTTCGCCGACTTGGAGGGGACGAGGCGGGGCGTCGCAGAACTCGCAGACGGACCCGCTGCCGTTTCCTCCGAGTCTGAGAACTCTGGCAGGTCGCCGTCGTGGTAGGCATCCTGTCCCTCCGTGCTGTCGTCGCCGTCGGGCTGTCCATCATCGCTGTCGAGCGGGGGTGTCGACACGGCCGCGAGCGACTCTACGAGCGCGCGTTCGATGTCGGCTGGCGTAGTCTTGAGCTTCGATTCGTCCATTCTAGCAGCACGAGCAAGCAATCGAGCGGTGAGCGAGGGTTGTCGTGGTCCGTGGCTGCCGAGCGTTGAGCGACGCGTCCTTTCGCCTCTCGCACTCTCCCTCATCACACGCTCGGTCGCTCGCATGCAGTCCTAGAACATGCTACATGCGAGCGTTGTGGCGTCGCTCAAGGTGCTGCTACTTGTAGACCGTCGGGACCCCGGCTGGTGGTCGAGGCGGCCTCCTCAGCACCCGCTCTCCTACCCCGGACGCTCGCCTTACATGGCTCAGTTGTACTCGACGGCCGCGAGGAAGGCTGCTAGTCTCGTGCCGTCGACATCCGTGGGAGAAGGTGGGGCGGATTCGGGGAAAGTGGATGCTGAGGTGGACGGGACACGAAGCAGTGCGAGTAACATGGTCAGGGATGAGCGGTATCGTCTGGTCGGGCAGAAAACGTGGAACGATCAACGTGCGCACGTCGTCGATGCCACCGTCGGCGAACCTCGAAAGGTGCGCTCTCTCTCTCTCTCTTTCTCGACTCGTTCGCGCACTGACAGCGCTCTCTGCGACAGCGGCAAATCCTGACTCGAACAGGTGTCTTTGAAGAGCCTTTCGGTTTGCACAAGCCTCCGAATCTGTTCCAAGGTCAGTGAGGACGCGTGCGCTTTCGGACGCAAGCCTGCCAACATCTGATCGACTCTTCGTACAGTTCAACCCACCTTTCACGCCCAACTCGACACGTATCATTCGTACTTGATCGCCTTCTCCCTGCGAGACATCCTTGGCTTGCTCAAGTCATTCGTTTTCGTCGACAAGGCGATTGAGCGGGGAGCGCGAAAGCCTTCTCAGCGGGACGTGGTACGTTCCGTCTCGCTCTTCGATGCGTTGTCTGCGCTGACGATGGCACGAGTAGCTCCAGCATTACCTCAGCACTCTCGCCAACGAGGAAGACGAGTACGAACCACGGTTCATAATCCTCGTCCTGCGATCGCTGCTCTTTACGGATGGACCCGACCACTCCTACATCACTCTCCTTTCCGCGCCGGACGAGCAGAACACTCGTCATCCGCAGCACTACTACAGCCAGATCACCGGCGACCTCATCGACGACTCCGGCCTACCCTACCCTCCCTTCCTACATCACTGCACTCGCAATCTTACAGACGCCGTGCACCTCCTCGCCCTGGTCTTGAACGCGATCAACAAGATCTGGTGGTTCGAGGAAATGATGTTGTACAAGCAGGGCGCGGACCGCGAGACGTTCGACGCATACGCAGGCTTCTCGGAGGAGGCCCAGCTCATCGTTGCGGGAATCAAGGCTCTCGCCTGGCGTATCTTCAACCCTCCCACGTCGTCGGTCGGCTTAGCATCCCCGAGCGACCCGCCTTCGCCGTCGACCTCTCTTCTCAAACGGATCGAGTCGTTCTTGAAGAAGCCGACTCCAACCGTATCGCGCTTGCCTGCCACAGCGCCTGCGCCTGCAACACCGTCTCGCCCAGGACGTCCTCCCGGTCCGCCGCCTCCACCTCGTCCAGCAGGGCCAGACAACGGCGAAGACCAGGATACGCCTCGCCCTGCGTCCGGCTCATCGTCTCGTGGTAGCGGGCCGGTGCCGCGCCAGCCAACGTTTCCGCGAACGACTCGTTCTACAACGTCGCGCTCGAACATCCCAGCTCCCGGTCTCCGCGTCGCCAAGGTGCCTTCAATTTCCCACCGCTACAGTCTGTGGAAACCAATGACCGTTCGCATACGTGCAGATCTCGCTCTTCACCTGCGCAGGTTTACAGGCTTTCGACATCAACGACAACGAGTACTCGGCGACTGGCTTCATCTCGATCCCCGGCGGGACGCCTCTCGACGACGAGTTGCGTAACGAACCGGCGTTCACGCGGCTTGCGCAGACAGTCATGCACTGCGTCGAGGCAGAGACCGCCTTGTCACAGAGTCTCGAGCGTTCAGCCGACTCTGAGACTGAATCGACTCAGGCCGCCCTCCGTGTTCTTAACCGCCTACTCCGCCCGCTCGACGCGTTTGAAGATCACGCCGTCGTGGCCGGACTCGTCGATGATGGTTACGTCGCCAGCGGAGATGACTCGCTCATCCTCACGTACACTTTGCAGATCAAGGAGGATCTGCTCGCGGTGAGTGCGGTCGACGAGTCGACGTCGTCCATCGCTGCGCTTTTCGTCAAGGGTGCGCCCGAGTCCGTACTCGAGCGCTGCGGCTTTATCGAGACCGGATCGTCCCGCCAGCCTCTCACTCCGCAGCTCCGCGACGAGATCAAGAAAGCGGTTCTCAGCTACGGCTCGCAGGACCTCCGCACTCTCGCTTTCGCCTACGACAACGTTGACCCCAACGCCGACCACTACCGCCCAAGCTCATCCTCGCAATACATCGCCTCCGAGCGGACGATGACCTTCGTCGGCCTCGTCGGCATGCTCGACTCCGAAACGTCTTCGATTCCCGCACTTCGCTCGATCTGCATCGACGTCCACCGCGAATCGGTGCACAAGGTCCCGAAGCAGCCTGTCACAGCGCTGCTTGTTCGCGAGCACGCTCGACTTATCGCCGAGTGGGAATTGACGGATCACGACTTGCCATACCGTAGGCTTCCAACTACTTTCCCAGCACGCTCTTCCACTGATACATCAAGAAACGCAGTCATCGATCTCGCCTTCAGACGCGACATCGCCTGGGAGTACCGGAAAGTGCTGCTGCGCCGCCTTTTCTTCACCGGTGCGTTCGCAAGCTCGCCGTTCCTTCAGTCGCGATACTGATGCTACCCGGCTTTGCGGCAGGCGAACAACCTCTCTTTGACGACCCTGCGCCGTTTCCGCCTGACCCGGCCGCGTCACAGTCCGACACCGCGCGCGCCGACTCCGCTACCGAGCCTCCGAGTTCGCGATCCAAGGCCGCACCGTCTAGGTCGCCTCTCGGCCCCACTACTGGCGTCGGTCTTGTTTTTCCGAATCGTCCTGCGACCCGTCCCAGCCGCGACGACGATGCGGACAAGGAGAATGTGGCGCCGCGCAGCGACCACCGCCAGGCGCGGCAATCGGCACCATTGCAGCCTTCAGGATGGACCCGTATGCTTCGTTAGGCTACAGACGAGGCTTTCGCAACGCCGCTTCCACCGCTACCGAGCGCCCAGCCGAACCTCGACTTCAATATCCTCCTCCTCCTCCGCCCCTCGCGCCATTTCATCCTCTTCGCCACACTCGACCGCAGAGATCTCTTTGTCGTTCTACAAGGGTGATGTCAGCCTTCGTTCGTCGAAAGTCGTCCGCTCGTCTCCTTATTCTCCCTTCTTTTCGTTTTACTCTGTTGTTGCAACTCTTGCGGCGCAATTCAAGAAGTTCGTACTCCGAGCTTTGATTCGTCCATTTGAGCAGCACAAGCAAGCAAACAAGCGAGGTCGAGGTGCAGGACGTCTTCCAACCTTAGCAGCCCCCCTTGGAACCCAACCACTCCATCATGGACTACCTGGACGGGTGAGAGCAGTCTCACAGCAACGACAGACTGATACTGACTACGATCGCGTCCCACAGAAACCTCCACCAGTCGCTGCTGACGGCCCTCGCTGCCAACCTCGCTTCAACCTCCGAGCAGGACGACCTCGCGCTCCTCACGACCTCGTTCAGCTCGCTCGAGCCAGTGTCGAACACCGCAGTCAATGGCGTCCTCAGTCGGATGAACGGCGGCTCTGGTGCGGGCGAGGGAGAACTTGTCGTGCGTCCTCCCCACTTGCCTGTCGGCGACCTTGGTGAAGCTGACACTCGACGCCATGTTCGCAGACGAACGACCAGCTCGAAGGCATGATTGCCTTTGCCGAATACTCGAGCAAAGCCGAGCACAATCAGGCGCAAGCGGGCCAGGTTGTCAAGCTGTTGCAGGGAATTCCGAGATGGTCTCTCGAGCCAGCGCTTGGCGTACAAGGTGTGTAGTTTTCTTTTGACCGTACAGCGAGCTACTGATGAACCGCTTCTCCACAGCGTCGTACGACTGGGCTCCCGCCGACCGTCTCTCCTTCGCTCTTACCGACGCCGCTTTCCGTTGCGCCGATTCCAACGGGCAAGCCCGTGAAGCCGTCATCAAGAGCGTCCAGTACGTCCAAGCCGAGCTCGAACGCCAGGCTCGCGATGCACCCGGTAGGTTGAGCCGCTTCGAGATATATAAGTGGATCGCAACTAACCCGCCTCTTGCCCTCGGCAGGACCGCATACCATCTCATACGTCCTGCCAGCCCTCAATGGACTGCGTCGCGCGATTCCGCAAGGTCACCTTCGCTGGACGGCCGCAGACCCGCAGCCATCCATCCTGTCTTTCGACGACCCAGCCGTCACGCACCTTCGCTCAATCTTCGCAAATTCGAGCGACCTCGACCTGTCCTCGGAAGAAGGCCGTATCGCGCTTGCTACCCTCGAGAAGTATCAGTTCGTCCAGCCTGGACTCTCGCCGACACTTCCGCTCCTCGCCAGCCTCGAGATCCAGCAGGCATACTGGTCCTCCTTCCTCTCGCCGGCGAAGTCGAGCGAGGCACGTTGGAAAGAAATGCTTGTCGGGAGCGGCAAGCAGACGGACAAGTCGGCCATGCCGCAGCAGATCGCGGCGGAAGGTGTCGCTCAGAAGGCTCTCGAGATCTGGCAGCGGGTTGTGCGGGCTATCGAGAACGATGACGAACTCGACGACGAGGTCGACCTCCAGCCGACCCCGCTTCTCGTCGCCAGTCTTGTGAGTCCGAGCCCCATACCAGATCGAGACGGCGCTGACGCGATGCCGCCCGCAGACACTCGCCGTCACAGCTTCGGTCATCGCCCGCAAGCTCGAGCCTGACCTCCTCGGCGTCCTCGAGTCGGTCCTCCACCCGGAGTCTGCCGGGATTGACGAGTCCATCCAGGTTGCTGGATCTCAAGCTCTCCAGGTCATCGCGCATGGGTGCGTCCGCCGTTCCAGCCAACACGCTGCTGCTAATGACTCAGGTTCCCGACAGCTTCCCCGAACGCCTCACGTCTGCGACCGAGATCATTCGGCGCTTCCTCCTCTCGCCCGCCTTGCGACCCTCGGACGATCCCTCGACCCTCACTCCCGCTCTGCAGACCGCAACTGAGGCGTACTCTGCGCTTCTCGCTCTTCCCGACGTGTCCAGCCGCACTTCGGCTATTCAGACGCTCCTCAACCACCTCGCATCGATCGAGCGCCAGGGCTATGTGCCGAACGGCGACAGCTTCGTCGACGCCGCGAGCACGATTGGCAGTGTACGGCGTTACGGAGGCGACACTGCAGAAGTTGCGGCCAACATTGTCCACATCGTGTCGCTCCTCGCGAGGAAGAGCGGCGAGACCTCGGTGCGTTTCGGATGGCTGCCTTTGTGAGATGTACGACAAGCTGACGTTGAGCCTGCCTGGTCAGCTTGTTCGCCTCGTCGGCTCAACGCTGCTGCACTACGCGACGAACGGCAGCGTCCCGGTCCAGGGCGCCGCCCTCATCGAGCTGTGCGAGATCGCCGCGGTTTCGGACAAGCACGCCTACGTCGAGTCGTTGCGAACGGTGACGGGAGTCGCTCGGACCGCGACAGGAGGAGACGACATCAGCTATCAGACCGTAAGCTCGGGATACCCTCTACCGATGAACGACCAACTAAGTCCGACTTGATGCGCAACAGGCCATCTCCGCCCTTACCCAGCTCGCCAGCATCGCCGCCAAGAAGCACGAGGAGCTCGGCTTCTCGTTCCTCTCGGAGCTCTTGACGCTGTTCGGCAATAAGGGCGCCGAAAGTGCGGGTTCGAGCGAAGAGGTAAGCTCGTACGGAGCGAAGCACGACAGGCTGAGCTGACCGATTTCTCCCTCAGCGCACCACGATGCTCCTTGCTCTCGTCGCTGTCCTCGACAGCTACCTCACGCAAGTCTCGTTCGACGCTTCGTCCGTCATCTCGTCCGCACTCAGCGCCCTCTTCCGCGGTTTCTGGTACACCTGCCTCCTTTCCGGCTTCCTCTCTTCGCCGCAACGCCTAAGCGCCTGGCAGCGCGGTACTCTACTCTCCGTCGCCCAGCGTTCTCCTCCTCTTGTCGTCGGCGTCAGCCAGGACCTCGTCGAATTGGAAGCGCAGGTGCAGGCCATCCTCAAGTCAGCATCTTCGCACAGCATGTCGGTTGAGGCGATCCGCGGAGACCTCGCGAACGGCATCCCTTCGCAGGCGACACACGCACGCTCGATCCCGGCGCCGCAAGCCGTATTCCTCGCAACCGCCTACCGTCTCGAGTCGCTGCGTGCCGAGGCGGGAGCCATCGCGCCCCTCTTCCTCTACTTCGGTGTACCAGCCTTGAGCGGCGAGTCGCCCATCGGTGACACGCTCAAGTCGATTGGCGACAAGGTGCGTTCCTCTTGACCGTTTTTCGGCAGGACTGGCTTGCTCACCTCGGCGCCTACAGGTTCTGTCGGTCTACATGGCGCGCCTGGGTCAGCAAGTCCCGCTGCACGCGATGGACAGCTCCGCCTATATCCAAGTTCGGACGATCCTCCTGCACACGACGAACAGCTCGGAGAGCATGCGCAGCACCGCGTTGCGATTCCTCGACAATATCCTCGCGAGCTTCCCTTCACTCGTCTGCAATCTCGGCGTCGTCACGGTCATGCTCGAGCTGCTCACGGTTCTCCGCCGAGCCTGTCTGGACGAATTCACAGACGAGGTGCGTACCGTCAGTTCTTGCCACGCCCAACCGGCTGATTGGTCCATCGCAGTACACGCCGTCATTCGAGTTCCACTCGAACCGCGGCAATTTCACCATCACGCTGACGGACGACTACCCGCTCCGCAACCGTATCCTCCGCAATCTGCACGAGCACGTCCGCTCGTGGCTCAAGAAGGGCATTACTCGTTCGCCGCTCGAGATGCAGGGTCTGCTGCAGGAGTACGTCGACGTCACCAGCGACGGCTACCGCATGCAAATGCTCAACGACGACGAGATGGGCAAGAGCGTCGCGCTCGACCTCGTCAAGACTCCGCCCGCCAACGGCAAATACGGTGCGTTCCGGCGGCATCAGCACTGCAGGCGGCTACTCACGTTTCTTCACGCAGCTTCGCTTCCTGCCTGGGGCAATTGGAACGCGGACGCATCGACGGCATTCGCAAGGACCTTTGCGGCGAAGAGCTTCTTCGGCGGCGAGGCTCAACGCGGTGGTGAGTGACGCGTCCGGGCTCATCAGGGCGCTCATCTCGCTGACGCGCCATCCGCCAGCTACGAACGCTCGCGACGTGCTCGACAAGCTGGAGGACCTTGCGGAGCAGCTCGACAAGCACAAACTGCACTTCAAGCTGTCTGAGCTACGGGACCTCTTCTACCGCGGGGCAGCACAGGTCGTGAAGGCTCAGCAGGTGCGTTCGACATTCCTTCTCGCGGTGCCTGCTGACGATGAGCCTGGTCTGCAGCCCGATTTCGAGGTCCTCCGCCATGTCGTCTCTCTTCCCGTCCGCCTCTACACCGAAGCGTCCATTGCCGTCGGTCAGGAGATCTGGACTTGGATCGCTGATGCAAGGCCCGAACTTGAGCCCCGTGTGGTCAGCGAAGTCCTCGAGGCATGGGCCGACACATTTGAGAGAGAGCAAGGGCTGTTCTCGCGTACTCTCGAGTGAGCGGACTTGTTTGCGCCTTCGGAGGATATGTACTCACCTATCGCCTTTCACAGCACCGATACTCCCCTCAATCAGGAAACGCAGTTCACACCGACCGACAAGGAAGCGCTCAACCGCGACTACCTCTTCGCGAACCGCCTCTTCTCGCCCATGCTCGCCATGCTCGACTTCCTGCAGAGTCGCTACCAGGCATACCGCTACCGCAACGCAGACCTCGTCTACGCGACCCTGCGACTCCTGCTTCGCACGCTCGAGGCGCATGAGAATTGGAGGTGCGTAGGGTTTTCTCCCGTCCGCTTCGTCGCAGTCGCTGACGAACGCCTGCCCCTAGTCGACACCCGCTCTCGCGCGAACTGCGGCTCACCTTGCTCTCCTTCGGCTTCACTTTGATCGGCGGAAGTCGCCTCGACAGCATCGCCGAGTACAATCTGCGCGCAAAGCTCTTTGACGCGGCTTTCGCTTGGTTCGAGGTTCGCCCGACGTGCGTAAAGACGGCTTACTTCCTTATGATCACGCCACATGCTTACGTCGGGTGTGTCCGCAGCTGGTCCTTCGGCAACAACCGCATCCAGATCAAGGCCGACCTGCAGGCAATCGACAACCTGATCCAGGCTGTGCAAGCCGACTCTCCGAACTACGATGTGGTCTCGTCCAGCTTTGAGGACAGTCGCCACGCGCCAAGCCTGCCAGGTTCGTTGCCTGCGGAACTCTCCCCACCAGCCAGCCTGACGCAGACTTCCATTGCAGGACGCGCCACGGCATCTTCAGCGAAGGAAGATCAGCGACTACGCCAGCAGCTCCTCAAGGCGTTGCTCGCCGATGAAGCGGAGCGTTTGCGGCTTTGGCTCAATCCCCTTCTCGACTCGAAACGCGGAGCTGTTCCGAGCGGTGAGACGCCGGGAGTTGAGGTGCGTTCGTTTGATCTGCCGTGACGTATCGTTCTGACGTTCGCGCGCTCGCAGGAACTGCGCAAGCTTGCCCGCTTCGCCTGGACTCGCTGGCCGAAGGTCGTCGTCTTCCTCCATGACCGCTTCAAGCTTCCGCCTCTGCTTGAGGAGGTGGTTCGCCTCATTCGCTCCGACCCACTCGCCGTTCAGGACTGTCCCGACGCACTACCGCTCCTCGTCGGCGAGAGTCTCTCGCTCGACACGAGACCCAAGTTCAGAGTGAGTGGCGCTAGTCACTCGGCGAGAAAGCATGGAGTTGACTCGTTCACTGCTACAGCACATTCTTTATTGGGCGCCGGTTCCCGTCCCGGAGGCTTTGCGCTTCCTCTTCCCCAAGTTCGGCGGCGACCCGATCCTCCTGCAGTATGCGCTGCGCGTCCTCGAGCACCATCCCGTCTCCATCACCTTCTTCTACGTCCCGCAAGTCGTGCAGGCGCTCAGAACGGACGAGCTCGGCTACGCAGAGCGCTTCATCTTCGAGACGTGCGTCTCCCATCCGTACACTGAAAGGGTCAATCGGCTGACTTCGGACGAGGTGCAGGTCCAAGATTTCGCAGCTCTTCTGTCACCAGATCATCTGGAACATGAAGGCGAACGCCTACCGCGGCGACGATGCAGAGGAGGTGGGTCGACAAGTCGTCTTCCGAAGCGACTGACGCTGATGCTGGCTCTTGGCAGGCCGACCCGATGAAGCCGAAGCTCGACCGTCTCGTCGACATGATCGTTGAATCCCTCTCTGGCGAGGCGCAAGACTTCTACAACCGCGAGTTCACCTTCTTCGACGAGGTCACCTCGATCTCCGGCAAGCTCAAGCCCTTCATCAAGTCTCCCAAACCCGAGAAGAAGGTGTGTTAGTAACCTCTCCGTACCTGACGATCCCTCCGCTGACGAGCTGCGCATCTACAGGCCAAGATCGACGAGGAGATGGCCAAGATCAAGGTCGACGTCGGCGTGTACCTGCCGAGTAACCCTGACGGTGTCGTCGTCGACATCAACCGCACGTCCGGCCGACCGCTTCAGAGCCACGCCAAGGTACGTCTGACCGCGTCGCTGTGCCGGGCAGTGGTTTGACGAGCATCATCCTCCAGGCGCCCTTCATGGCGACCTTCAAGGTCCGTAGGACACGGCACACGGCCGACACCGATGACCTCGAGGCGCAAGACGAGCTGATCGACGTCGAGGAAGGCGCTGCAAGCTTAAGGAAGCAGGAGTACGACACCTGGCAGAGCGCCATCTTCAAGGTCGGCGACGACTGCCGGCAGGACGTCCTCGCTCTTCAGATTGTCGCCATGCACAAGAACATCTGGAACTCGCTCGGTCTCGACTTGCTCGTCACGCCCTACCGCGTCACCGCAACCGGACCCGGAGTACGTCCGTTCCTCGTACATCTCGCTGCTTCAACTGACACTACCCTCCGCAGATGGGCGTCATCGATGTCATCCCGAACGCCACGTCCCGCGACGAGATGGGCCGTGCCAAGATCAACGACCTGCTGTCCTTCTTCAAGATGAAGTTCGGTCCGGTCGAGTCGGCCGACTTCCAGCGCGCCCGCAACCACTTCATCCAGTCAATGGCCGCGTACTCGGTCCTCTGCTTTATCATCCAGATCAAGGACAGGCACAACGGCAACATCATGGTCGACGCGAAGGGCAACATCGTCCACATCGATTTTGGCTTCCTCTTCGACATCGGGCCGGGTGGCGTCAAGTTCGAGCCGAGCTCGTTCAAGCTCACGCACGAGATGCTCATGCTCATGGGCGGCAAGGACAGCGTCGGGTACCGGCACTTCAAGGAACTCACGGTCAAGGCGTTCCTCGCGGCCCGCCCGTACGCCCAGTCGATCGTCGACACCGTTGCGCTCATGCTAGCGGCCGAGTTCCCGTCGTTCAAGGGCGAGCCGACGCTCGAGCGACTCAAGGGCCGCTTCAGGCTGGACCTGAGCGAGAAGAAGGCGGCCGAGTGGTGGCTCACCATTGTCGACGACGCCTGCGAGAACAAGCGCTCCATCGTGTATGACGAGTTCCAGCGGATCACAAACGGTGCGTTCTGTACCGTATGCAGAACGAACGAAGGACGTTCCGAACTAACTTTCGAGATTCCCCTCCCGCAGGCATCCCCTACGTTCGCTGATCCCTCTACTAAACCGTCCTCATTCCCCGTATGCACTGGACAGTCTGCTATCAAGCGGTATTCCAGCTGGACGTTCGCAGATCGTCTGGGTTCGATGATAAAGCCTGTCGAACGATCGCGAGGCGAGCAGTCGCTTGAAGAGCACGCAGGGACTCTTTGCGTCGGCAAGATGGTGCTCAGAATCGCCAGGTTGCTTCCAGCGAGAGCTTTGCCGAATCCACTCGCCCCCGAGGCTCGCGAAGCTTCCTGCTCTCGGGAACGGGCGCAACCGCTCCGCGAAAGCACGCCGCTAGAATACAAGAAGTACAGACATCGACGCGTCTCCTTTTGCATCTACAAGCACCGCCGCTTCCGTCTTACCAGCCTCCACGACCCCTTCCTCGTCCGCGTCCGCGAGGGTAAGGCGAGTAGCCGCCATGCTACAAGATGCGAAGCAGCGTCAACCACATGCTTACACACCGTCGATCGACGAAAAAGGCCTGACTCACGCCTTGGTAGCCGCCGCGGTATCCGCCTCGACCACCTCGTCCTCCTCTTCCGCGCCCTCGTGCCGAGTAGCCGGGCAGGTTTGTCCGCTTCTCCGAGACCTGTGGTAGAGGGCTCGTCAGCAAACCGTCCGGGCTGAGAAATGCAGTAAGCCGCTGACCTTGATTTGACGGCCTCGCAGGACGGACTCGTTCAGGTGAAGAGCGTTCTGGACGAGGGAGGGTTCGGCGAACTCAACATAGGCATATCTGCAAAAGCAAATGTCAGTCTGAGGGATCTGGAAAGGCGGCGGACAACGAAAGCGCACCCCTTGGGACCGGTGTACTTGTCGAAGAGGATCGTCACGCGGTTGATCGTTCCGCACGACGCAAAGTGCTGCTGGATCTCTTCGGGAGTAGCATGGTAGTCGACCTGTGAACCCAACCCAGGGTTAGCCGGGCGACCTGCAGCAACTGGACGAAACGAACGCACATTGCCAACATAGATGCTCCGCGCGTCCACCGCCTGCCGGTCCTCGTCCGACATGTTGACGTCTGACCCGTCACCGTTACTCGCAGCGCTCCCGCCGCCGGCAGCCGCCTCACTCGCCGCCGTCAGCTCCCTCAGCTTTGCCGCCTCCGCCTCCATCTCTGCGACCCTGGCCTTCATCGCCGCGAGTTCGGCTGCCTCGGGGTCGTCGTCGGCTGCCATGGGACCGTCTGACGAAGGTGCGGCGGCCGCGGGCTTGGATGCGGGCTGTTGCGCGGGTTGTTGCGATGCAGAGAGCGAGGCGGGAACGAGGGAGTCGGGGTCGTCGATCGAGCGTCGGCGGCCGGAGGGAGCGTCTGCAGACATTCTGAGTGGTGCAACAAGCTCGTCAGGCAGCCCAAGCGAGTGAGTGTGCGAGATGGGAGACGCAGAGTGATGCCCGCACTCCTTCGCATCCTCATCAGCGCCGACAATGGCCCACACCCAGCAAAAGTGCGTGCACGGGCGGCGAGAGTGCTCCACAGTGTGCTACAGACTAACCCACGGCTTTCCCGCGCCCGTAGGCGTGCTGTGCCGGGACTTGGCTTGTCCCAGGTCGACTCGCCCGCACACGACCGCTTCTGCTGGCTCTTGCTGGCGCTTGTGGTGCGTGCAGACGAGTGTTTTGTACCGTGGACACGCTGTCTGGCGCCTTGCTGACCTTTGTTGTGTCCCTCCCCCTCCTTCCCCTTCCCCACTACTCCACTTGGCACCGCGTCCGACAAACAGGGCCAGACGGTGACGGTGACGCTCAAGGGTGGCACGCGAGCGCGCGGCATCCTCGCGTCTTCGACTCCGGACTCGAACGACCTCTCGATCTCGCTTCGCCAGGCTGTTGACCTGCACGCTCCCCCCTCGACCACTCCCAAGCCGTCTCTCCTTATCAACGGACGCGACCTGCTCGAGATTGAGGCAGCCGACGTCGCGCTCGACTTAGAGGGCAAGTCGGACGCGTCGGCTCAGGCGGCGTCGTCGAGTAGGGAGCGAGACTCGTTCCGGACGGACACCGACATTTCAGGCGCTTACCTGCTCGGAAAGGAGCGGCAGCTGCAAGCATGGGGTGCGAGCAGTGGAGGAGGGATCGAGGACTCTGTCGACGGCGGCATCGGCGGTCTGGAGGACGATGGCCTCGGCAGAAGCACCAAGGGCGCCGCTGGTGGACGCGGCTGGGATCAGTTCGCAGCGAACGAGCGCCAGTTCGGTCTGAGGACGGACTACGACGACGAGATCTACACGACCAAGCTGGACCGGAGCGGAGCCGATTACAAGGAGCGGGAAAGGCGCGCTGCGCAGCTTGAACGGGAGATCATGAAGGCACGTTTCCAGCCATTTGAGCTATTCGGCATGTACGCTGACGCAAGCGTTGTAGGGTGGATCGGCTCTCGCCAACAACGCCCACGTCGCGGAGGAGCGAGGCGAGCAGCTCCCCGAAATTGAGAACGAGGAGGACCGGTACGGTGCCGTCATTCGTGGCGAGGGCGCCTACGTTCCGCCTGGCGCCAGGAAGGCTGCCGCGGCTCGTCTCGCTCAGCAGAACGGCTCACCCGCACCGGCAGACAAAGCAGCCGCACCCTCCACCCCCTCCGGCACGTCTCGTCTCCCGCAGCCAACTTCTGCAACCTCTCGCATTCCCGCTGTCCCTTCGTCTGGCTCATCAGCGACCTCCTCCGCGACGACACCGTCGATCCAGGCGCCTGCGTCTACCACAGCCGCCGCACCCACCACCACTCCGGCCGGTACCGCACCAGGCGCGACCGCCAAGCCGTACCAGCGCTCCTTCCAGGACTTCGTCACGAATGAGCGAGTTCGACTCGAGCAGAAGCGCGCGCAGATGGCGCAGGCTCAGCAGCAGGCCCAACAGCAGCAGCAACAGGCTCTCAAGAAGGAGCAGGACTCGAAGTTGGCCAGTCTCGTCCAGTGGAGCCAGACGTTCAAGGTGCGTCGAGCCCTTTGCACTACGGAGCTCGACCAGCTTGAGGATGCTGACCCGCTCCGTAATCGTGCAGAACCCTTACCCTCTTTCGGAGGACGTTGCCGCTATCATGGGCAAGAAGCCTGGCAGTACCGCTTCGCACGACGCTGCGAAGAAACCCGGCAGCTCAGTCGCCAGCAACGCTTCGCCCGCCGTCTCGCCCGCCAACACGACTCGCACTCTCCCCGCCCCGACACCGTCTCCCACGCCTTCTTCCGCCAGCGTACCTCCTCAAGCTGCTGCGCAAAAGGTCGCAAAGCCCCTCCTCCCCGAGATCCCGCCCTTCAACCCAGCAAGGGCCAGGGCGCGCCAGGCGGAGCTCGCCGCCCAGAAGAACGGTGTGTCTCCTCCCGCTGCTCCGACGGCTGCGGCGGCGACCCCAGCAGCATCGACTGCGGCAGCAGAGGCAGCACCGGCCAGCTCGCTCAAGCCGAAGGCGCCCACGACGAAGCTGAGCGCGAAGAGCGCCGCTTTCGTCTTCAAGCCGAACCCGAACGCGTCCTCCTTCACCCCTGGCGCGAGTACGTCGTCGAGCAGTGCTGCGGCAGCGCCTGCCGCTCCCGTGCCCGCAGCTGCACCTACGCCCGCACCCGCGCCGGCTGCGAACACGACGCCTCGCAAGCCTGCCGAGCCGCAAGCTCCGCCCAATCCGTTCTTCGGGAACAAGGTCATTAAGCGAGGCTCGTCGTCGATGCACGTCAAGGAGGACTTTACGCCATTCAAGAACGGCGTTCTCCCCGAGCCGTCGACTGTTGCGCCGAGCTGGCAGTTCTCGGGCAAGCCGTACCGGTCCATCTACCCGATTCCGCCTCAGACGGCAGCGTCGGCGGCAGCTTCGGTCGTCGACGACTCGGCTTCGTCGATCGCGGGCAGTCTCCCTGGACCTGGTGGCATGGTCGACCCGAACAACGCCGCAGCGATTGCCGCTGCCCAAGCACAAGCGCATGCGGCAGCGGCTTCGGGCGTCCCGCTCGGCATGATGCACCCTCACCAGCCTCACGGGCCGCCTCCGCACTTCCCGCCGCAGATGGCCGCTGCTCTCGCAGCGAGCCAAGGCGGGCCCGCGCCGCACATTCCTGGTGGTCCCGTCCCTCCGCACGTCGCCGGCATGCCTCACCACGGCGCGTACAATATGTACCAGATGGTTGCCATGGCCGCGAACGCGAACGGCGGACCCGTTCGGGGCTTCCCCGGCCAACCTGGACCCGGCATGCAGCAGCACGCTGGACCTCACCACCCCCACTCACACCCTCAGCAGCATCAGCAGCATCACCCCGGCCAGATGCAGCACCCCCAGCACCTCATGCCCGGCGCAGGCGGTCCACCCATCCCTCCTCCGCCTTTCGCTCCGCAGTTCGTTCCCGGCCAAGGCCCGCACGGCGCCCCCAGTACGCTCTCACTTTCCTTGATGCCTGAATCTTGACGCGCTTGACGTGAAGCCAGTGCTGACTCCGTTGTGTGCTTCTTCTCCTTGTGCAGTGTTCCCTTCCCCTCACATGACACCGTCGTCGGCTTCCGCCTCTCCCCACATCTCGCACCCTTCGCCCGCCGCTTCTCATGCGCAGGTCCCCGGACAAGCAGGAGCAGGAGGACCTCCTGGACGTTACATGCCTTGGACGCCCGTCGGGTTCGTGCCGGGTCAGCACGGCGGACCTACGCCGCCTCCGCAGAGTGCGTTCGCTTTCACATAACCGTCGGCCCTCAGGGCATGCCGACTGACCTCGATCCCGCTTGCAGACGGCCCCGTCCCTCCTCATCCCGGGCCGCCGCCTCAGTTCGTGCAGCAGCAGCAGCAATGACGGGATACGTGGCGGAGCAGACACTTTGGCGTTACGTAGAGGTGGAGCGGCAGACTTAAGCAGGTCAGGCGGAAGAGCACGATGGAATGGACTTGGCGAGGATTAGCGCGCGGGAGGAGGATGCAACGAAACGCGAACCGGTTCACTCTTCGTCGATCTTGTTTTCGGAGTCGACCCGTCCCTTATTGAGCTCGCTGCTGATCGTAGAATCTCCTGACCGAAATACCGCAAGCAACGGCCTCAAGCCCTTCGCTGTCTGCCTTCTCCCACACCGCCCATCATCCATCGCTTCGCTCTGCTCGCCCGGCGCTCGCCTAGCAGGATGGCTCCGCTCAAGACGCGTACATCGACTTACTCTTCTCGCGTCACGATCTACGAGAACTCCTCCCCCGCCACATCTTCCGAACCGGCCGCTTCGACCAGTACAACGCCTGCTGCGGCATCGCCGAGGCGTACGACTCGCTCGTCTGCTGCTGCTACGTTTGCCGAATCCCAGACACTCGGGCTCTCGCTGCCAGTCGCGGGGGAGGATTTCGAGGAGGATGTCAAACCGGCGAAGAAGGCGCGGTCGCCTCGCAAGCCGAAGCCACACGTCGAGCGTCTTGCCGTACCTCATCCTGCGCCGAAGCGGTGGGAGGAGACGTACGAAGTGATCCGCAAGCAGCGAGAACGGTGCGTTCCGTCTCACGTCTCAGGTCTCGTTTCTCGCTCTTGCTCACCTCGCTTAATCGCTCCTGTTTACGAGCAGGATCATTGCGCCGGTCGATACGATGGGTTGCGAGCAGGGCGGGAAGGAAGCGAAGCGGGAGGACGAGGAAGTCAAGCCGCAGAGGATCGAGACGGAGAAAGTGCGCTGCAAGACCCGCTTCAGCCAATGGGCCGTCACCCGCTCGTCCACAGAGCTTCTGCTGACCTCTGTGTGGATTGCAGGACCGTCGCCTGTCGGTCATCGTCTCGCTCATGCTATCCAGCCAGACGAAAGATCCGGTCACGCATCAGGTGCGCACCTCGCGCGTCTGCAGTTCTGTTTCTCGCTGACAACGCGGTGCACAGGCTACGATGAATCTTCGCAACCAACTGCCAGGCGGCTTAACGCTCGAAGGGCTTGAGACGGCGACGGTGGACGAGATCGACCGCGCAATCTGCAAGGTCGGCTTTCACAACACGAAGTGCGTCAAAGCGGCCCAAGCCAACTGTGAGAGCGCTGAGCTGACGTACCTTAGCGTGTAGGGCGAAGAACCTGAAACTGCTCGCGACACGGCTACGCGACCTGCACGACGGCGACGTGCCCGACGACTTGCCCTCGTTGCTTGCCATCAACGGCGTTGGGCCAAAGATGGCTTACCTCTACCTTCAAGCCATTGGCAAGAACGCCGGGATCGGCGTTGACACGCACGTCCACCGAATCACGAATCGCTTGCGTTGGCACAAGAAGGAGACGACAACGCCGGAGCAGACTCGGTGCGTACTCTTGCCGCGAACAAGACCATGGCTTTGTCTTTGCTGACGAGCTGGTTGCTTTCCAGGTTGAACCTTGAGTCGTGGCTGCCGCGCCATCTTTGGCCGACAGTCAACAAGATGCGAGTTCACTCCTGATGCCCGCCCTTCCCGCTGCTTGCTGATTGATCACTTCCCTTGTAGGCTCGTCGGATTCGGTCAGGAGGTCTGCAAGCCGGTCGCGCCTCGCTGCGACCTTTGCGACGTTGCGACGGCCAAGCTGTGTCCTTCGCGGCGGGTCGTTGTTGCTTCTCCGGCTAAGAAGCGGGTCAAGATGGAAGTGAAGGAAGAGCAGACGGACGGACTGCCGCAGGTCGAGCTCGCGCTGGAGCAGGCGGAAGAGGCGGTGGAGCAAGTCGTCGTCGCGGTCAAGCAGGAGGAGTCGGGGTTCTTGCGTGTCGAAGAGCGCGTTGTCAAGACTGAGGACGCTACGTAGGACTCGCCTTGTAAGAACCTCCGTCAATGTCAATTCTGCGAAGTTCGCTTCCCGACGCGACGAGCGATGTTGTCCTCCTTTTTCCCGCTTCACAGTCCCGCGATGGCTGCGGGCGAGCTGGTGCCCGACACGCCGACCTCGACAGCTCACGCGGCACACGAGTCGGCCCAGAAGGACTCGCATAGCCAGTCCTACCTCCTCGCTGCCATCGGTCGCGGTGGGGTCCGTCCGCCCTCGTCGCCAGGCGCAAGGACGTCCGACGCCGACAGCTCGCTCTCAGAGGCTACACAGAACAGGCTGAGCGCGATACAGGCAGCGGCACAGGCGCGAGACGGCGAGGAAGACGAACTCGAGTTGGATCAGGATGAGGGGGACTTGTCGACCGTCGCCGACTCACAACTGCCGCCTCGAGCACGCTCACCGGACGAGAACACCTCTCGCAGCCGGGCGAGCGCCGCTCTGAGGCGACACGACTCGCATCCCGTCCTCGCTCCGCCAAAATACGACGACGGGTACCTGGGCGAGACGATGGCGGAGAGTTTGGGCGAGACCAGCTGGGAGAGGGACAAGAGTCGAAGGTCGTCGGATCGAAGCGGATTGTCGCGAACGGCGGCGCAGGATGACGAAGCGCTTGGCGACCCGAACGACGAGACGACGACGGGAGAAGTCTCGATGGATTTGACGCGGGCGGACGGGCGACTTTTGAGTCGGCGCGTGCAGGAGCTTGCCGACGCGGACGATACGGTGCCCAGCCAGCAGATCACGGACGACTCCCAGTCGGTGCGCCCGACGGAAAGTCAGAAGGAGAACCCTTCTCCCGTTCGCGCCATCAGCCGTCCAGCGTCGAGTGCGGCTTTCGGCAGTCACAGCCCTTACGTCAACATGCACGAGGGCAGCGGGCCTTCCTCCTCGCCGGCAGTCGCCCGCGAGCTTCTTCAGCGGTCGCCGGCGAAGAAAGCGTTCGTCGAGGAACCCGCTTCGAGCGCCGACCCCGTTCTCTCGCCGAGCGTTCTCTTGTCTCCCGCGCGACTTGCGAAGCTCAAGGCGGTGGGTGCGTTCGCCTGCGATTCGCTCGGCGCTGCGGAGAATGATGGCAGTCTCGGACCGGAGGTGCGCGATACTCGCTTTGCGGACTGATCTTGAGTACTCATTATGCGTTGGATTACAGACATCGACACCCGCCTTCGCCAACGCGCCTGCCCCTGCGTCAGTCACAGCCGCCCGCACGCTTCCCAATCTCGAGCTCAGCCTCGCTTCCGATACCTCTGCTGCGCCCGCTCAAGCACCTCGTCCCCTCGCTCGCTCCGCCACTACCGGAGTCGACCTTTCCCTCTTCGCCTCGTCGGCGGCGATGAAGGCGCCCGTGCCGGCGAAGAAGAAGGTTCGGCGGGAGGTGTGGGACGGCATCTCGCAGAGTACGGAGGAGGCCAGTCTGTCGATGCGCACGAACGGGGAGGAGCAGAGCCTTGAGCTCCCTCAAACCGTGGTACACGTCGATGAAGCCGAGGAAGGAAAGGGCAAGCCGGAGAAGCAGGAAGAGCGAGGCGACGATATGGACGTCGACGAATCGCTGCCTGCCACCCTTCCTAACGCGCCGTATGCCGACGAGTCTCCTAGCGGCAGCACGGCGACGAGCGAGCAGCAGTCACTGCGTCCAGCCGCCGCCGCTCAGACCGACCAAGCTTCGTCGCTCGACTTTGCTCCTCGTCGCCGACCCAACCAACCCGCCCTCTTCACACGCGCGACCGACTCAGCATCCTCTTCACCGAGTCTCACGCCTGCCCGTGACGAGGCAGCGCCTCGCGTTACTTTCGACGAAAAGGCCGGCGGGAAACGCCTCACCGACATCTCGGATCTCCAGAGCAGCTTTGAGGCGCCGACGCAGTTCGATGTCGCCGCAACGCAAAAGGAGTACGACGCCGAGAAGGTTGGGTCTAGCTTGCGAAGCCAGGATGTCAGCTTCGACAGTGCGTTCCGCTCGTCGGTCTTCTCTCTTTGACCACTGACGGACGTCTCACCTCGATCGCGCAGACGCCGAGCGGTGGCATAATTCGTTTCAGCATGACACTTCGACCAGTGCTCGCGATGGGCCGACATCCACGTCTCGTCCACTGCCGGGTCGCGAGCTGAAGCGCCAGCCTCCTCCACCTTCGCCCGTTCGCGACGGCGAGGTTCCCGTCGCCGACGAGCTCTTCCCTCTGGGAGCCGTTCCGTTCGCCACTACCGATGCCGGCGACGAGACTCTCCAACTACCCGTTCCTCCAGTCGACCTCGACATCTCCACTCTCCCGCAACCAACGCAGAACCAGCCTGTACCCGAAAGCTCGCCCGACGTGCCGCTCGCCAAGCGCCCTCGCTTCAATTCTCCCGTGCAGCAAGGTCGCGCTTCTGGCTCGTCGTCGAGCCACAAGCAGCAGACGGTCTCCTCGAACGGCTTTGTGCCCGACAGTGACGGTCCGACGCCGCCGCTCGCTTCCACGTCGAAGGCGGTCAAGCCGAATCAGCGGAAGGCTCCGCCGCTTGTTGCGAAGCAGAATGCACGGACACGCCAGCAGGCTGCAGATGGGAGCGCGGAGGATGAGGAGTCGGCGACGGAAGAGGAGCCTGTACGAGGCAAAGGCAAGGGTCGTGCGGCAGCAAAAGTCGCCAACCCAGCGGCTTCGAAGCCAGCCCCGTCGCGCAAAGGCAAGGAGCGAGCCGCGGCACCGCAGGAATCGGTCGACGAACTCGACCTCCTCGCTGAGACCAACTACTCGGTTCCACCAGCGCCCAAGACCGCCAAGTCCACCCGAACGACGCGAAGAGCCGCGACAGCTACTCCTGCATCTACCAAGACCGCCGACAAGGGCAAGCGGCGGGCGAGCGAGACGCCCTCTGTCGAGCCTGAGCCCGCGCGCAAACGACGACGGTCCGAAACGTCTTTCATCGGCGTCGAGATCCCGTCTCCCGCCAAGTCTCGTACCTCTACGCCGAAAAAGGCGACGAAGAAGGCACCGGCGAAGCCTGCTGCGACCGCCAAGAAGGCGAAAGGCGGGCGGACTTCGACGAGGTCCGCAGGTACGGCCATCTCACCGTCGCCCGAACCCGCTGCGCCAGTTGCAGGACCTTCGCGACTGCGCTTCCAGTCCGTCGAGGAGGATGTCTCTCGCCAAGCGGCTTCGCCAGCACCCACCGAGACCAGATCGACCACCTCTGCCGGCGAACGCGCGCCAAAGTCTCGTCTGCCCGACACTGCACCCTTTTCACGCGTCCTGGCTCTCTGGCGCGACAACTACCTCTTCTACCCTGCGACGGTCACGGCAGTCTCGGGCGGCTTGTTCCACGTCCTCTTTGACGACAACTCGAAGGGCAAGCTACACCCGCATGAGATCAGGCGCTGCGAGCTCAACGTCGGCGACCTGATCTACTACCGTGGCGACGAGGTCGATACCGAGACGCAGGCTCAGGCGCTGGACGGCGAGGTCCGGGTTCTCCGTGTCGAGCGAGACGGCGAAGCGGTCACGGGCTCGCTCGAAGCCGACGACATCATTGTCGCAACGTCGACACGGGACGAGGAGGGCAGGGTGCATCGCCTGCGGGTCGAAGCCATCTGCATCCAACCGTACCGGTCGCAGCAGCTCGACGACCGACGCCTTACCGCCGACGAGCTCGCGCGATTCGAGGGCCGCGAAGGGGTCGTCCTCCAGTCTCTCGCGCTCCTCAAGCCGCCAAAGCCTGTCGAGTCCAAGCCTTTCGAGCGCAATCCGCAATCGCAACGCCTCTTCAGCAAGACAGCATTCATCGTCACGTACGCCAGCAGCAAGGCGACCGGCGGCGGCCCCTCCCAAACGGATCGCGAGGCGTTCGTCGAAGAGCTCGAGGGACACGGCGCGACCGTCATCGAGTGGCAGCACCTCTTCACGGTCAACGCGCCCGCCAAGTCGACCGACTCGCCCGACCTCTTCTTCCCCATGATCGACTTTGAGGAGATCGAGGAGATTTTCTTGCTCGCCGACAGGGCGTGCACGACGGTCAAGTACCTCGTTGCGCTCGCATTGGGCGTCCCGTGCCTCTCGCGCGAGTTCCCGCTGCAGTGCATCAAGGAGGTGCGTTTGCGCCGGATCCCTCCTTCACTGCTGTGGCGCTAATCGACCTCTCGCGTGCAGTGCGTCCGCCTCGACTGGCGCTCCTTCCTGCTCACCTCCGGCCACATCCAGCAACTCGGCACCTACGGCGCAGGCGGCCAACTGCGTGCGCTTCTCAAGCAGTCTTTCGGCCTCCCTTCGCTCGTCGAGACGTTCAAAAGGGGCGGAGTATTCAACGACAGGTCGTTTTTGGTCGTGCTCAAGAAGGCGGGAAAGTCGAAGGACGAGGTGTGTGACCTTTTTTCCCTCCTTCCTCCGCCGAACATAAGCTGATTTGCGGACTGGATTACAGAAGGTCGCGCAGAACAACCACGCCTACACGCTCCTCTCGCTCCTAACCAGCGCCTCAGCCCACCACGTCCACTTTGTCTCCTCCGCCTCAGACGCCCTCTCCGCCTCGGGCTACGACCACGTCTTCCTCGACGACGACAACACCACCCTGACTCTTCCTGGCGCGCTGAAGAACCATAAGGGGCTGGTCAATATCGTCTGGGTCAAGCAGTGCCTCATGGCTGGAAGGCTGTTGCCGAGCGCGAGGATGAAGGAGGTGCAGGTTGAGGAGCCGTGAGGCCGCGGTGATGGTTGGTCAAGGGCTTGTTGTTGCTTCTCTTCTCGTCTCGTTGCCGCGTTTCCCTCGCAGTCCAAGACTCACAACGCAATGAATCGCATCTCTCGCAGACAACCGGGCAGAGTTGGGAGAGGATGATCGCGAGTTTGCATCTCCTGCACGTCTCGTCCCATCGTGCATCTACTCCATCATGGTAAGCACGCACAAGTCTGTCCGGACGTGTCTGACAACCGTCCCCCGACGTCCCTCAAAGAGGGATACCTTATATCGGTCCAGGGAATAGCTTCTAAAACGCCGACTCCTCTCTCCGAGGAAAGGGAAGTCACTCTTGCTGCTCGGAATCCCGGCCTGCCCGAGGGGTTGGCGGCGAGGCCGGACTGTCTAGGTATCGAGAGCGGGACGGGAAATGGGGAAGGGAGGGAGGGGGTTGGATCGAGACTCGTCGAGCGCGAGAACGATAGTGGATGGACGTTAGCAGGACATGGTCGCTTCGGTACACGAGCCTGGGCGAGGGGTGAAATGCAAGCAAGGCGTGGACTCAAGCGCGACCCGGCGAGAAAGAGCGCTGCGAGGTGCGAAGCTCCTTGTCTAGGGTCGGTAGCGAGCAGAAGGCTGCCGTGTATGTCGAAATGAGCGTCGAGGAAAGTGTGTGAGGAGAAGGAGCGAAGGCGTCTGCGCGAGAGGAGGAGGACAAGAGGGAACGAGCTCGGAAGGACCGCGCGAGAGACGGCTGCAACGCAACCGCGATTAGCTGTGCGATCTGTGCGAAGAGTGGCACTCGAATAGCACGCACACTGCACCCTTCGCCCTCGCCTGCGCTCGTTGGAAGTCGCCGTGCAATTTGCCCGCTGCGATCAGATCTCGAGGGGGAGAGAGAGCAAAGGGTGGAGCGAGTGGGTGCATCGGTGCGATGGTTGAGCGAGCCTGTCTGCGATACCGTGTACGAGTGCTCGTGTGCGGGCTGTGAGCTTGCCGTGCGCCGTGTGAAGCGAGTCGTCGTCGAAAGAGGCAGGACGAGGATCGCTTGAGCGGGTGCATACAGCTGGCTCGCGTGCTGGGCCAGGGCAGCTGCACGGGACTGCTGCTCGCGACACACCGACCACGCTCACTCACCCACCCAGCCACACAACCGCGCCGACAGCCCCATACCCGTCCTGCCTTCCTCGACTCCGCGGACTCGCTCACTTCGCGCGTCTCGACAGCCTCCGGTGCACGCGGGACCACCGCAGAAAGGTTACAAGAGGGACACAGGAGCAAGGTGAGCATTCTCCAACCCGCCAGCGAGCGAGACCACAGCTCACCGCCCCATGCCCTTTCTCATCTGTCCGCGACGGTGAACAGTCAGCCTGCCGCCGTAGGAACGCCGCTGGTCGCCTACGGATATCTCTCGTATTTTCACTCGAGCACTCGCACACCTCCTGCCGCGCTGGCGAGTGCTCGACCCGTTCCGCTTGCCTGTTGCACTCGCCGACTCTCAAGGCACAGAGGTCTCAGCGGGTCCGACAGCTCGCCAGGACGCACATGTCAAGCGACAACGGCATGACAACCCAGCAGTACCCGTCGGCGTACCCCGAGACGCCGCCGGCGCTGCAGGGAAGCCTCCTCCAGCAGCACCAGCAGGCCGCCGTCGCTCAGCACCAGCTCGCACAGCATCAGGCAGCGCAGCAGCAGGCGCCTCAGCAACAGCAGCAGAACGTCCAGCAACAGGTTCTCCAGCAACACGCCTACCCTGCGACGGTCCCGACCACTCCGCTCAACCACGCCTCTCCCCAGTCGCTCGCCTCGCCCAGCATCAAGATCTCTCCCGAAGCGCTCGCCAACCTGACAGCGTCGGGCAACATGCAGACGGGCTCGCCATTCTCCGGCGCAGGATCCGTCGTCTCGCCGACCGGGTCGACCTTCTCAGCCGGCAATGCGAGCGATCCCTTGGGCGGCGAAGGGCAAGGCGGCGCGGGCTACTCGCGCGCGTCGGCGATGGCGCTTGCCGGAGCGATGGGCATGAATGCGACGCCTTCACAGGTCTCGGCGGCTGTCAACGCTGCCCTCGGACACCACCAGCTCGGGCTGGACGTCGACATGGCGTTCACGACGAGTCCTGCGCAGAGCCAGCCTGGCTCGACGGGCGCATCGACGCCTTCGAATGGCTCGACGACAGCCATGTACTACGCTCCTCAGGGTTCGAACTCGCTCCCGACCCAGCTCTCGCAGAGCAGTCTCCCTCCGCCTTCTCACCCCGCTCCGACTCTCGCCTCTTCACAACGACACCACCCGTACGCGCACCCCAACCGCCCTTCACTGGCCGCACAGCACAACCAGTCGACCACCTCCGTCCCGCTCTACCTCTCGACCCCTTCGCCCGCCCCTTCCGCCGCCGCCCAATCCACCGCCTCGCCTCAATCAGCCGGCCCCGACCCACCCGCCAACTCGATCGCCCTTGGACTCCCGCCCGTCGCTCCGCAAGGAGTCCAGCGAGTTCACTCCGCTCCCGCTCACATCCTCACCCTCGCAACTCAGGGCTTGAGCGACGTAGGTAGCTCGCCGCTGCCTAGTGCGGACTCGGAGGCGCAGGGCGCGATGGAACAGCGGATGTATGTTGGCGAGCAGCAGCAGCAGCAGCAGCCTCAGCAGTCGTCGATGGGCAGCCACGACGACGGAGCGGACCGGCTGCGCATCTCGACCAGCTCGACGCCGTCGACTACTCCCGGTCCGCCCGCGCTCGGTCCCGCTTTCGGCCACTCCTCGACGCCCATCTCGATCGACACGCTCTCGGCCTCGAACGCCATCTCCTCCCTGACCGCACCCGCCTCTGCCCCACCCTCGATGGACGACGAACGCTTGCCGACCTACAACGAAGGTGTCTCGGCAGCAATCACGCTGCTGCAGAAGCGGCTGCCGATCATGGAGGCTGCGTTGTCCACGAGCGAGGTCGAGTCGGGTCAGGACGAGGAGGAGATTTGGAAGGGGATTGAGGGGGCGTACGATGAGTTGAAGAGAATCATGGGGGAGCGGAAGGACGGGAGGAGGGTCGCGATGGCGGATCGGCAGGCAGCCAAGAACGGAAAGGTGAGCCTCCGGTTTCTTTCGAGCACTTGCGAAGAGAGCAGCCGAGCTGACCCCTCGCTAGACTCGTCAGCGCTCCTTCTCGACGATGGAGCTCGAGTCGCCCGTAACGCCCGTCACGCCCGTCGACCGCGACCGACCATCCTTCCTCACCGGCCCGCCCCCTCCCCTCCTGCACACGATGTCCTCGCCCGACATTCCCCTCTCTGCGGCAGCGACTGCAGCGCGCAACATCGCCGCCCTCCAGAAAGCGCAGGCACAGGCGCAGATGCAGCAAGCGCAGATGCAACAGGCGCAGGCCCAAGCCGAGGCGCACGCTCGACTCGTCCAAGACGCAGAGCGAGCGCGAGCCGAAGCCGAGCAGCGCGCGAGGGCGGAGGAAGAGTTGCGACAGCAGCAACAGCAGCGGGTTGAGGCTGAGGCGCAGGCGAGGGCGGACGCAGAGGCCGAGGCGGCGCAGCAGCAGTTGAAGGCTGAGCAGGCGATGAGGGAGATGGAGCAGTACCAGCAGGTCTTGCACGAGGAGCAGTTGAGGTTGGCGCGGGAACGGCTGCACCAGCAGATGCAGGAGGGCGCGACGCCTGGCGTCCCTCCGACGCTGCCCAATCCGCCTCCTCCAACGCCCACACCGACGCCGACGCAGCAACAACCTCCTCAGCAACCAGCGCAGCAGTCTCAGCAGCAACAGCCCTTGCAGCCTGCCCAAATCGCGCATCCGGGTCAAATCGCCTACACGCAACCCCCGCAATACGGCATCCAGCTTCAACCCGCTCAACCTGGCGCACCGCCTCTCGTCGCCATCCCCGCCAACGCCGTCCCCGCCGCGATCACGCAGCCTCTCTATACCCAGGGAGGCCAGCCGTCCGGCTACCCGCAGTACACTCCCGGCATCGATCCGCTCGCTATCGGCGGTGACATGAACATGATGCACCTCTCCGGCCTTGGTGGTTTCGCCGGCGCCATGGGCGGCCAGTCGCAGCAGCCTCAACAGCCCGACTCGGTCGACCCAGCTCTCACGAGCGGCATCGCGCCAAGCACGGTCTCGCCGCCGATGAACAGCACGTCCATCTTCGCCAACGCCGCCAGCGGTGGACCAGGACCTGTCCGCCCGTCTCGCTCGCGCGCCGCCTCGCAGTCCGGCTACACCTCGTCCGGCTCGCGGTCTCGCGCCGCATCTGGTTCGGGCTACCAAGCGCTTCTCGAGAGTCGATCTCGCGCAGCAAGCTCGGCGAGTTCGGTGTACCAAATGTTCGAGCGGGACGACGAGGACGAGATGGACGATGAGGCGGTCGACCTTGACCAGGTTGAGGTCGGCGGGACAGGACCGGCCCAGAGTAAGGTGCCGCCGATGGGTGCGGCGAGCGCGGGTGTCGAACCTGAACTCAAGGCGGTCATGGATCCGATCTTCTTCGAATTCCTCGCCGACATCTGTTCGAACCGTGCGTATCGTTCCGATGCGTCTTTTCCTGCTTGTACTCACGCATAGCTTCTCCTGCAGTCGACGCAACTGACTCAAAAGGCGAGCCGATCCACCAGACGCTCATGGCCAAGAAGATGGAGAAGCTCGACCAGTCGCACGACTTCCGCCCGTTCCGGTTCCGCATTCAGGCGTTCACGACCGCATTCGCCGACCGTCTCGCTGCGTCCGGCATCTTCGATCAGGAAGTGCCGATTAAGAAAGTCCGGCAGTACCTCTGGGCGCAGCCGTACATCTCCCGCTTCAATGACGACGGCAAGAAGGCCAAGGTTCGTCCCCTCCTTCTACTTGTCTACACGTACCCTCGCTGACTCGCGCTATCTCATCGCCGCAGTCCAAGGGCAACCACATCTGGACGGTCGAAGCGAAGAAGGTTCCCGACAAGAAGTGGATCTTCCGCGAGTTCACGCGCTGCATCAAGGGCAACGCGCCTCCGATCGCCTTCATCGGCCTTCCCTGGACTTGGGCACCTCGCGTCTGGGACCCGCAATGCTCGAGCGCCGCCATCGACGCCTCCTTCTCGTCGCCGAGCCTGCCAGACTGGCTCTCCTGGGAGGACAACGTCCTCTCCGGCGAGGTCCCCAAGTCGGCGCACGGTCAGACAATCGAGGTCGAAGCCGTCGCAACGTTCCAGATGGGCGACCGGGTCCACCAATTGCGCGCGACGACCCAGTTCCTCGTCGCCTCGCCCGACGAGACCGACGACCCCGCCAACTTCGGCATCCTCGAGCTGCCGAAGCAGAAGCTTGCCGACTCGTTGCGCGAGGTGAAGGAGGAGCAGAAGCCGAACGTCTCGACGGGCAGCTCGCAGCTGGCGAGCCCGTCCGGCCTGAACCCGACTCTGTATCGCTCGCCAAGCGCCGGGAGTGTCGGGCTTCTCGAACCTCCTGCGCCCAATCACGTCCTGTCCGGCGCGCACGGCGGCTCGTACCCCGCGTCTGGTAGCGGGACACCCGGCAACATCCTCGAACCCGGTTTCGTCCAGCTCGATCAACAGCAGCTTCACGACCAGCAGCAGTTCATCGCGCAGCTCCAACAACAAGCTGCGGCGGCGAACGACATGCAGGTTGACGACCAACAAGCAGCTCGACAAGCGCAAGCGGCGCTGCACCAGCACTACGCGTCGCTCGCTATGCAGCAGGGCCAGTCCTTCGAGTCGATCTCGCCAGGACAGTTGTCGTACGCACCGGCTCCCGAGCTCGTGCAGAACGCGCTGCAAGACGCCGCCATCGGCGTACACCCTACTCGTGCGTGCCGCTCCGGCTCAAGGCTCGCAAATTTGACTGACCTCGCTATTTCCTGTAGTCGCGTCGCTCAACACCGGTATGCTCTCGCACGCCACTCCCGAGATCGGCACGCCCGGCGGCATCTTCCACCTTCACGAGATGGGCCAGCAACCTCCCTTCACCCTCGACCCGTCCCAACTGTAGCCAATACCGCGCCTTGCTTTCTCCGCCCTCGACTCGCCTCGCCTTACATACGACGTTTCGACTTTCAGCAGTGCCTTTCCTTGTTGTCCATGCTTCCCTTCTGCTCCCGCTCGAATGCGGGACGCTCCCTCCCCCCATTCTCCTCGCCAAAAGGCGCACAGCCGCGTCAACATCCCCCCTCTCCCTCCTCTCCATACCACCTCGCCCTCGCACCACTGCCCGTCGCAACGACCCTGTCCATCGTTCCTTCTCCTTCTCCCCCTCCCTGTCCTGTATCAAACCCGCCCGCATGATTCCTTCCGCTTGACTAGAAGGCATCCTCTCGCCAGGATGAAACCGCAAAGAACTGTTCATATCGTCTGCAGCCGTCCGCGACCTGGAGAGGACAGTCTGCCAGCCTTTGCCTGCGTCGACCTTCGACATACCACTTTTGACTTCGGCGACTCGCTGGACTCCTGTCGTCGTCCGCTTGATTGATGCACGGACCGACGAACACTAGCTCTGCGGACTCTGCCAGTCCCTCCGCCAGCTCACACGACCCGCACCATCCTCATCAGCGGAGACTCTCGCACAGTCTTCACATCTCGACAGACACGATGGAGCACGCCCAAGCGGCGCCAATCGACATCCCGGGACCGTCTTCACCTCGTGCAGCCCAGGTCTTCCCCAGCGACGCCGTGTCCGCCTCGTTCTCCTCCTCCCCCACCAGCCCGCCCCGTGGCTCTCCCGAACCCTCAACTTCGTCCTCTCCCGGCTCGACAGGCGTGCGACATCACGTGCGGTCGGAGAAGCTGCTCGAGGCGGCGCATATAGACCCGAGAGAGGCGAGGTGGCGATGCTTGGGCGGCGAGGAGGGCTTGCAGCTGGACGAGGAGCCTTCGAAGAGCTGGTCAGAGGACGGGCACGACGATGGTGCGCGCGAGATCAAGTCAAGACAAGCAACGAAACGTAGGATGCTGACGAGTAGACGACTGTTCCAGGAGTCCTGTGCGCCCCGAAGAACGTTCGCGCCGTTGGCGATACGGCTGTCCTCGTCGAAGAGCCAGCTGCAGGTCGCAGTCCGCCACACAGTCCCGTCGGCTCGTCACTCTTCCAGCGAAGATGGTCGCTCTCGCGAAAGGAGCGAGCGGGAGGTCAAGGGGCGTGAAAGAGGCGAGGAGGTAAGGCTTTTCTCCCCCGCTTCGCTCTTCCCATCGCTTATGGCCTTTGTTCGCGCAGTTCGACTGACTCGTATACCCGCATACTGTAGTATATCCGCAACACATTTTCCACAGATCACGAGCCGAGCGGGCGGAAGAGAGGGCGGGTCGAGGAGAGCGAGAGAGAGCGAGAGGCGGGTTGGGCTCGAGCGGGACTCACGTTGATGTGGATGTCCTGGCCCTCCTTGAGCTTGTCGTTGGCAAACTGGGGCAGGACCCCGAACGTGTGAGCTCCGAACATGTCGCGCTGCGCTTGCAAGAGCGAGGCGGGGAGGCGGTTGATGCGGTAGCCACCTACCTGGCGAGGGCTGTTTCCGGCCTGTGTTGTTCCTTCGTCGGTGCTGTTTGAAGCGCTCTTGTAACTGACTTGCGCCGCTATAGAATTGCTCGACTGCAATAGGTCGACTTTACGAGGGAGGAAGGACCTAAGGACCCGCGCAGGGGCAAATCGCCAAGTTCGTCTCCACGTCGTGTGCCACGTTCCTCCTTGATGACAGACGTATGCGCTGGTGCTGTTCCAGCGAGAGAAACCCGCTGCCTGAGCTGAGCAATCACCCTCGAAGCAACGTTCGCAGCGGACCTTCCCATCCAGCTTCCCTCGTCTCGCGCTATCTCCGCGCCACTTTGCACGATACGCGCTTTCCTCCGACCCCTACGCCGCAAAGAAGCAGAACCCCAAGCGACAGAGTCGGGCACGCCAGCAGCGCTGCATTAGACCTTCCCCTCGCGTTTTCTTCCGACAACCTCGCTTCGTTCTCGCTCTCGCCGTCGCCAGAGGAGTGGGCTCGGTGCCTCGCGAGCTTGTGCGCCGTCAAGACTCACCTGCAATACTGCGACAGCACTCACATCCGACACTATGCAACAAGGAGGACGGAGGAACGGAATCGACCTCGTTCACCAACTTCGTCTCAACGAGACTTGCGACATCCTGTCTTGGCTGAAGGGCTATCCTTCGGCGACTTTTCCGCCAGAGCACCTTGCTACGCGCGCAACGGTCGTTGAAGCGGAGTTCGCAGCGGGCCTTCCCACCTTTGTCCTCTATCGTTCCTCGCCTTTGCCCACCATACTGCATCCTAAGACTCTTTCGCTCGTCTTGATTGGTGCTTGAGGAATTGACAGAGGATACAGGAGAGCGAGACGCCCAAGCCGGAAGACCAGCGCGACGCCTACCCCTCCTCCTCTTCCTACCGCCCCGATAACGCTTGCTCGCTCCCCAACGTCTCTCGCTCGCGCACACTCTCTCAATGCTGTAAACCAAAACTGAGATCTTTTTGCAAGTTGTGGGGATCAGGCAAGCCGAGTCCTAGGTTGTCCTCCTTCTCTTCCTCAAGGAACGGCGACGAGACAGAGGCTTCTCGACGACGTTCTCCGCACGTAACGAGGTACGCTTAGACGTTGTAGGTCGAGCTGTGATGTGCGGCAGAAGCTGGTCAGCGAGGGAAAAGAGACGAAGGAGGACAGACGGTACGCACGCAGAGACGTTGCCGCCGCGGCCGGTCCACTATCGATGTTGAAGGAGAGCGTCAGCAGGTGCGTCTAGGACGAGGGAGGAAGAGAGGAATAGAGAGCAGGTCGAGGAGAGCGAGAGAAACTCACGTTGACGTGGATGTCCTGGCCCTCCTTGAGCTTGTCGTTGGCAAATTGGGGCAGGACCCGGAAGGTGTGAGCTCCGAACATGTCGCGCTGCGCTTGCAAGAGCGAGGCGGGGAGGCGCTCGGTGCGGTAGCCGTCGAAGAAGGAGAGGGCGGTCGAGAAGGCCGGGGTCGGGATACCCCAGAGCGCGCCCTGGGCGACGATGCGGCGCCATCCAGGCTGCGCCTTGTGGACGGCCTTGTTGAAGAAGTCGTCGAAGAGGAGGTTCTCGAGCTCGGGGTTCTTCTGGTACGCCTTGGTGATGTCGCCGAGGAAGACGGAGCGGATGATGCAGCCTCCGCGCCACATGAGCGCGATGCCGGCGTTGTTGAGGTGCCAGCCGTAGGTCTTGGCGGCCTCGCGCATGAGCATGAAGCCCTGGGCGTACGAGACGATCTTGGAGGCGTAGAGGGCCTGCTCGAGGTCGTCGATGAACTGCTTCTTGTCGCCCGAGAACGGCTCGATCTGCGGGCCACCGATGACCTTGGAGGCGCGGACACGCTCGTCCTTGATCGCCGAGAGGCAGCGGGCAAAGACGGCCTCGCCGATGAGGGTGACGGGCATGCCAAGGTCGAGGGCATTGGTCGCGGTCCACTTGCCGGTGCCCTTCTGCGAAGCGGCGTCGAGGATCTTGGTGACGAGGGGCGTGCCGTCGTCGTCGTTGTAGCGGAGGATCTGGGTGGTGATCTCGATCAAGTACGAGTCGAGGACGCCCTTGTTCCAGCGCTCGAAGACTGCGGTCCAAAGCGTCAGTAGCGTCGCAGAAAGCATGGTAGAGTGCACGCACTGTCGGCAATCTCCTTCTCGTGCATGCCGAAGCCGCGCTTGAGGATGTCGTACGCCTCGGTGATGAGCTGCATGTCTCCGTACTGCGCGCCGACCTCGCGTCAGCACTCGTACGCACTGGAGAGAGCACCGTATTACGCACCTCGATACCGTTGTGAACCATCTTGACGTAGTGGCCGGCACCCTCCTCACCGACCCAGTCGCAGCAAGGCTCGCCGTCGGTCTGGGCAGCAGTCTTCTGGAAGATCTCCTTGATGTGGGGCCATGCGGCGGTGGATCCACCGGGCATGAGCGAAGGGCCGTAGCGGGCGCCCTCCTCACCGCCCGAGACACCCGAGCCGACGAAGAGGAGGCCCTTGGACTCGAGCTCCTTGGTGCGGCGGTTCGAGTCGGGGAAGTGCGAGTTGCCGCCGTCGATGACGATGTCGCCCTTCTCGAGGTGGGGCTCAAGCTGGGCGATGAAGTCGTCGACGGCCTGGCCGGCCTTGACGAGGAGGACGATCTTGCGGGGAGTCTTGAGCTTGGCGCAGAGCTCCTCGATCGAGTGGGCGCCGACGATCGACTTGCCTGTGTCGCAAAGTATCAGTGACTGTGCGAGAAGGCGCGGGAGCGAACGCACCCTTGGCCTCGTTCTCGAGGAAGTGGTCGACCTTCGAAACGGTACGGTTGTAGGCGCAGACGGTGAAGCCCCTGTAGCTCGCGCATCAGTACAGGCTACATAGAGCGTGTGTGAGAGGGTGCCCACTTGTCAGCCATGTTGAGGATGAGGTTCTGGCCCTGCATTGCGGAAAGCGAGATCCGTCAACTCTCGGTTTCGGAACAAGTCGTCGGCAACTCGTGCGCAACGCACCATGACGGCGAGGCCGATGAGACCGATGTCGGCGCTGCATTGTCGCGCAAGGAGTGAGGAGTTAGCTTCGACTGGGAGGAAAAGAGGTCGGGGACGATGATGCTGGATCGATAGGGTCGTCGTGCGGGAACAGCATCGACGCCCTCGGCGGGAATCTCAGTCCCTCGAGTAGATCCCAGCGAGTCTATCGCAACTGCACGCGAACCCTCCCAGCGCCGTCGCCGACCTGCGCGGTCCCGCCTCCACCGACGCCATCGGGTCCGTAAGATCCACGTCCTTCGTCCTCGCCGCGATCGACCCTGATGCGCTCGTTCGCCCGGTAGAAAGCACTCCAAGCACAGTCTCCATCGCTGCGAGGATCCGCCGCAGCCTCAGCGAGTCGAGGAGGCCGACTCGAGGCAGGCCGAGTGACGCTCCAAGGATGTCGCGAGGACGCGGGTCGTCGATGGCGGGCGCGGTAGAGGGGACGTACACAGCTTGCGACATTGTTCTAGTCGAGTGTAGGTGGGAGAGAGTCTGCGAGAGTCTGGCGTGAGCCGTGGTGAAGAGAGAAGACGAGGACGAGAAGGAGAGCCGAGCCAGACAAGGTCACTCGGGGTCGCTCGGACTAATCAAACGAATACTAATCAACGATTACAACGTCTACCGCTCCTTGCGCGTCTCTACTCGGTGCAGCCCATTGCCATTCGCACTGTGCGCACCGTTCAATCGCCGCCCTGCCTTGTCGCCTCCGTCGCTGCTGCTCGAGTACTCGTCCTCGTCCTCGTCGTCGCTCCGTGTGTCCTCGGCCGACGCACCGAGGAACATGTTCCACAGGACCCGCAGGACTGCCGACGGAGAGTGTCAGCGCAGGTTTCGGCACCGAGAACGACAGCAAACTCACTCATGGCGAGCCAGAGGCAGATGAGCAGCTGCAACGCCAGCAAGAGCGCCGTGAAGCACCTCTGCGTGTTGCGGCTGAAGTAGTAACCGTCTTCAGACCGCCAGTCGTACTCGAGGACGGTCTGCGCCTCGACGACGACGCTCCAGATGATGCGGCCAAAGATGATGTGCCGCGTGACGATCCACGAGATGAGGAAGATGGCGAATGTCGCGTCCGAGGCTTTGTGGTTGCCCGTGTACTTGAACAGCTTGGCGAGCTGCGCGTCCCACCATCAGCATCTCTCCCACGTTTAGGAAAAAGGGCGGCCGAAACGCACCGGGAGGAAGATGTCGACGAGGTCCATCGTGCAGAGAATCGTGTTGCCGATCCGAGTCCAGTTGAGGACGTAGCTGAACATCATGAGGAGCGAGGTGATGATGTGGTGCGCGAACATCTGGTAGTAATCCTTGCGCCGCGCCTCGAGGTTGATGACGATCATTTGCTGGATGTAGACTGCGCACACACCCTCGTCAGCTCAAGCAAAGTTGTCGCAGGCGGGAGAGGCGTCGCACAAGCCGTTTGGACGAGATCTGCGACATGGAAAGCAAGTCAGCGACAAACTTGGAACTCGAAAACGCCGAACGCACAATACCACTTCGTCAACGCCGGCAACGCATCGTGCGGGTATCCCTTCCAGAAGTGCAGCGTATTGAGGCTTCGATAGGGGCTTGTTTGGTTGATGTACTGCGAGCGAAGACCCGTCAGCCTGGGTCGTCGTGAGCGAGACAAGCGAGAGTCTCACCAGCCCGAGCGTCCACGAACACGCTGCGCCGAGATCGTCAGCGAACGCAAAGAGACCGAAAGGAGCGAACGGGACGCACTGTAATAAGCGAGCGACCACCCTTGCTCGGAGAAACGAATGAGGGCCCGCCTCGACCTGACCCCGCACATTTTCGCGACCGGCACAAACACCCAGCGCATCATCGCTTCCCGCAGGAAGCAGAATGCGATTACCCACCACGCAATGAGGAAGGCGTCGCTGCGAGAGGGCGGTCGCGAAGATTAGCGGGAGTTCGAGAAGCGGGAGTCGACGGAGGGGAGGGGACGCACTCTCGCCCTTTGTAGTAGAGTTGTGTGTCGGGCTTGCGGAATGAGAGGAAGAGGAAGCGGGAGAAGGGCGAGCGGAGGTGCCATGAAGGCGAAGGGGTGAGGTCGGTCGAGAGATGGTATTCGGGCGGGTTGAGCACGTTGCCAGCAAGGATGACGGCGAGGACAGTCGCAGATAGCTCTGTTGGACGCAACGAACGACCGTCAGCTCGTCCTGCGGCTGTCTGCGAGCCAGGAAAGTGCACGCGCCAAGTTGTCGTCTCAACACGAAGTCGACCACTCCTCGTCCCTGCGGCCCGCGCTTGCGAGCAAAGAGCGCCTTGGACTTGGGCGGTGGAGCTGCTCTGACGGCATGGGCGCCTGCAGCCATGGCGTACGAGCGGACGAAGCGAGAGGCGGGAGCGCGAAGACAACCTCGACTTTCCGCGACGAAGCGATGTCGAGATATCGCTTGCCTGGGAAGCGCAAGGAGGTCGTACAAGCTTGCTGATTCCTGTCCGACTGCATCCCGGACCTTCACGAGCATCCTGCTCACGGTGGGGCACTTCTTCTCCCCGTCCTCGACGGACTTTCATCCAACTTGCAGATGCTGAGCGAGAGGAGCGGAAACGGACTGTACTGCATCCCTGCAAGGGTAATCTGAGGCGGGCGCATTCCTAGGTGAATCTGAGGGACTCGCTGACCGCTGAAGCCCCCTGAATACCCCAATACGGTATATATACGCAGACCGCCCGACGGCAGGCAGGACACCTCGGGCGTTTTACGCCCTCGATAGCTCAGTTGGAAGAGCGTGGGACTGTAATTGGTTCTCTATTCGGTTGTGTATCCCAAGGTCACCGGTTCGATCCCGGTTCGAGGGAGTCCATTTTTTTCCCTCCCTCGCCTCTTAACCCTTTTGCTGCAGTACTGAAGCGACTGTAGTGAGTACACCGCCACTTTGTACTGAGCTAGGACTACTTGCGAGCTAATCCGGAAGCGGATGGAACGCGAACACGATCGAGGCCCGCTGGACGGTCGTCTCCCGCGTCGTTCCCGCGACTCCGCCCAGCTCACTCTCTCTGGCACGCCCGCTGGAACTGCAGAGCTTGACGACTGCTAGACTCGAGACACACGACACACGCAGCTAGACTCTCGCTAGACCCGCCCGCTCGCTTTTCCCCCATCTCGCGACCTCGACACGCCCTCCCGTGCGAACCTTCTTCTCTCTCGCGCCTTCACGCCCGCCTGCACCCCGATAGACCCACACGAACGCACGAAACAAGATGGCTCAACGAGGAGACTACCAGCGCGTGCCGGTCAACGACGACATCGAGATGAAGGGCGCGCACCGCGATGGGACACCTCAGCCGCCCAAGACGGAGGAGCCACCTAGCACGGGCATGGTCGTCTTCTCCGTCTCGTTCTATCTTGTCGCTGCTATCGTCGTGAGTTGGAGTTCGTTGCGGTCGGCGTAGGGGAGGGACGGCGGGTTCGGGACGGATGCGTGGGAAGACGTGATCTGACTGACCCTCTCGCTTTGCTCGTTCTGCGATCCGAACAGATGATCATGGTGAACAAAGTGCGCTGACCCTGCCAAGCCGAAGCCGAACGCGCGCTGACCTCTTCCTGTCCGCAACTCAAGTGGGTCCTGAACAAGGTCCAGGTGCGTCCCGATGAGATCCTGCTCATCATGCGCCGATTCTGACGCATCCACCGCGTGCAGATCCCCTTGTTCTTCCTCTTCTGCCAACTCCTCATCGCCGTCTTCCTCCTCCAACTCTGCGCCCTCTTCGGTCCGTCCCCTCCTCCCCTCTCCCTTCCACCTGTACTAATCCGAGCGCGCGCAGGTTACATGAAGCTTCCCCGGCTGGATATCACGACTTGCAAGGGCTTGGCGCCGTTGATTGGGTGCAACGTGCTGGGGTTGGCGTTCAACACTTACTGCCTTCGTGAGTGCCCTTCCTACCGTTTCCGCGGGTGACGCTGACAATCTTGGACGCACAGAATACGTCGACGCGTCGTTCTACGTGCGCCGGACCTTCCCGCCCTCTAGCAGTGGAACTCGCGAGCTAACCCCGCCTCGCACGCACGCAGCAAATCGCGCGCGGCCTCGTCCTCCCCTTCACCGTCTTCTTCTCCTGGTACATCCTCGGCTCCAAGTCCTCCCGCGCGACCCTGACCGCCGTCGGAATCGTCTGCATCGGATTCATGCTCGGCGTCTCTGGAGAAATCCACACCACCCTCCTCGGCACGACGTTGGGCGTCGCCTCATCCGTCACGACCGCCGTCCACGCAATCGTCGTCAAGCGCTCTCTGGGCGTCGTGAGCGGGACGCTTGACCTCGCGTACTACACCAACCTCCTCTCGGCGATCGTTATCCTCCCGTTCGTGATCTTGAGCGGAGAGGTTTGGACGGTCGTGGAGATGGTTGCGGGGAATGGGGACGGGGCGGAGGCGTTTGGGACTTTCATGACCGGCGCAGCGGTGACCGTGCGTTTCCCCTCTTCCCCTTCTTCCTCTTGATCACCAACTGACACAGGCTCACGCGGCGCAGGGCCTCTTTGGTTTCCTTATTTGCATCGCGGGATTCTTGAGCATCAAGGTCACGTCGCCCATCTCGCACATGATCTCGGCCGGTTCGTCCCTTTCCCCTTTCCCTCCCGAAGTGTCTTGACTGACGCCCTGCGGCACGGTAGCGGTCCGCGGCGTGTTGCAGACTTTCTTGGGTGTGTGGTTGTTCAAGGACCAGGTTGGAGCGTGCGTCTGCCCTTCCCTTGCCTTTGCGCTCTCTGAGGAGAAGGCTGACGGGTCGAGACGTGCAGCGGTCGCGCCTTTGGCATCGTCTTCATCCTCATCGGATCAATTTACTACGTCTGTACGTCCCCGCCCTTTCCACCCTCCTCAATCCACTCGCTAACCCCCCTCGGTGTGCGCGCAGACACCAAATCGCAAGAAAACGCCGCGCCTCGCTCCGCGCCTCCTTCGAGTCCGGAGATCCACGGGAACAGGGGTGCTCCGACCGTGCTTTCGGCGGGTCAGACGCCCGGGTTGGTGTACAATGCGTCGTTCATGGGGGGCGAGGAGAAGGAGCGCCGTTGATGAGTGTGGTTCGTCGGTTCGTCGCGGTGGGTTCTCGTTCAGTTCCCCTCATTCTGCTCTCTCTCTCTCTCTCGCACTCGTTCTAGACATGTCCTCCGCTCCCCTCTCACTTCGCTGCGCTTGCAATGGCCCATTTCCTCGCACGTGACCTTTTTCGCCACTGCCGAGAGCGTGCGAAGCGAGGCGGTGCTGCCGACTTCCCTCTCGCTCGCTCTCTCTCTTCGCTCTTGACTTTGTACCAGTCATTTGCAAGCTAGCAGAAGTGCTGAGTAACCACTGCTGGCCATGCGCCCGTCGCCAGGCTTGATCGCCTCTGCCAAAGAGGTACGTCCCCACTCCCCTTCCTCGCCACTCTCGCTGACTTGGGGGAGTCGTTGAGCAGGTGTTCAGCCGCACGACCGTCGCTGCCGTCTCTGGCGAAACACGCGGAGGCGCATCCAAGCTCGTCAGGCCAGCGTTCAAGCATCCGCATGGGTTCGCACACTCGACTCCTCATTCGCATGCGCAAGTGCGCTATGCCTCGACCACCGCCAAGAGCTCGTGGAGGAAGAGCGTCGAGGAGTTCGTCGAGTGTGTCTACGGAGGGACGTTCAAGGCTCTTCGCTCGAGCGTGCACGCTCGACCAGGACCGTACACCTCGTCCCGCCTCACTCCGCACCCTCGACCCGTCAACGCACGCTTCACACACTCCTCTCCTCGCCCGGTCCCTCCCCGGACACACTTTGGCCCCCTTCCACGTCCCTCGCTCGGACACTCCTCAACCCGCATGGGCCTAGGAACCGCCAGGCAGTTCTCGACAGGTGGGTTTGGGGTGTGGGATAACGTTGTCCTGAACGTCCCGCTTGCGTTGAGGGCTGCGGCGGATCGGGTTGATGAGGGGATTGATGGGAGGAAGTGGAAGAGGGTTAAGAGGGAGATTCGGAGGGAGACGAGGGGGCAGAAGGGAGTGGGAAGGGAGCCGGCTGGCTTCGATGCGAGGAGGGAGAAGAGGGAGGAGTTTGAGCGGTACTTTGGTGTGCAGGAGGAGCAGGTCGCCGAGGAGAGGGAGAAGGAGGAGAAACCGGTCACGCTCATCCTCGCTCTCGACCCGGACTTTGACCTCCCCCTCCCCCTCTCTTCCTCCTCCTCGCCTGAGATCGAGCGCCTCCTCTCCCCCTCCCTGCTCGACTCCCTCGCATCCCTCTCACACGCCTACTCAACCCACACGCACCGCCTACGCACGATCGTGAACCGCCTCAACGCAGCGGGACTACTCGATCCGTCTTCCGGCACTCACAGCTCCCTTGCGGTATTGGACCCAGAGGCGGACGGAGTGGACGAGGAACCTGAGGGAAGGAGGGTGTGGCGCGTCGAGTTCCGCGATGGACTCGTGACGCGCTCGAGGGTCGAGCGGGTCGTTCGAGGATCCGAAGCTGAGTCGAGGGAGAGGGAAGGGGAGGTCCCACACTGGGCAGAGAAAGTCCAGCGCTGGACTGGGCGGAACGCGGTTGAGGCGGGTGAGGGGGAATGGTGGTGGCTTGTCGGGGGTGCGAAGCCTCAGGCGGTCGTCGAGCCAGAGGAGGAGGACGTACTGGCTTCGACTCCTCCGCTGCCGGGCTCGCTTCTCGCCTCGCCTACGTTAGCCTCGACGCCCTCCTACCCTCTCTCATCGTCCGGCGACGGCGAAGACTACGCAATCGACGCAGGCGCCGCACTCGCCGTCGCACAAACGTTCGTCTTGCCCTCTCCCGGTTCGCTCTCGTTCTCTGACTCGAGTTCGAGCTCGAGTTCGGGCGAGGCCGAGGACACAGAGGACGAAGAGGCGGTCGTTTGGGACCTCTCGACCTCTCTCACCGAGACGGAGCCCGAGACGAACGACCTCACCGACCCCGCAGCAAGCGTCTGGGCTTCGACGGACGACGCGCGCACGAGCAGTGGGAGCGCCCTGTCGTACGAGGACGAGCTTAGGGGGTTTCTGAGCGAGGTGGAGGGGGAGAGGGAGAGGAGGTTCGTCGAGGGGATGGTGTCTGTCTAGTCTCTCCACCATTTTGCGGTGCGCGATGGTTGGTTTAGTGTACTGTAACTTGCAGTGTCGTTCGTTCTACCTCGCTGCGTTGCGCGCAGAGACTCTACTCAAGCGCAAGCTTCCCAACCGCCTCTTTCTACACCTTCCACCTCTCCGCCCTTCTCCTCCGGCCCGTTCCGCGGTTCAGGCACCCAAAACGACGCAGGCTGATCCCGTATGCGCTCCGGCACGATCCACTGTAACGCCAGGTCGTTAAACGCTTCGAGGTGGTCTTTTGGATCGGGGAGGGGGAGGATGTGGAACAGCTTGGCTGGGTGTGCACGTTGAAGTCCCGTCAGCGGCGAGAAGAGAAGAAAGGGAGACAGGGACGGAACGAACCTGCGCGGACGACGAACTCTGCACTTTCTCCCAACTCGTCCCCTCCCTCCTCTCTTTTCCCCTTCGTCCCGCGTCCTGCAAGCGACCCCGAGTAAGTCGGATCATCATACAGATCCAACCTGTTTCCCCAAACGACCACTTTCTCCAGTTGTTCGGGGCATGTCCAGTTTGAGCGGAGGAGGGCGTCGAAGAGTGTTCGGGGACCGTGGGGGATGTAGAGGAGTGTGCGGTGGGTTAGGACGAGGGGGTGCTGTGAGACCGAGTGTCAGAAGGCGACGGAGCGATTAAGGGAGGGAGGGAGAAGGGACGTACGGGGGAGGAGAGGACGGTGTGTCCTTTAGAGGCGAGGAAGGCGGTGTCTTCGGGTGTGAAGACGGGGTCGTAGAACTCAGTCGGGATATCCTCGTTCATCTGCACTCTCGAAGATTAGTACGAACCTCCCACAAGCGACAGAGAGGGACTCACGACACCCTTCAGCTCCTCCAACAGCCCCTGGAGCAAGACGTACTGGTCCTGCGCTTTGGTCGACTCGCTTAGGCTGCCCAAGCCGAGGCATACGACGCAGACTGGGGGCGGGCAGTGCGGTACTGAGGAGGTGGACGGCGCATTGGTGTCCGGAGAGGGAGGAGAGGAGAGTGCGGATCGTAGCAAGTCTGCGGGACGTGCAAAGCGGGTCAGCGCTCCTCCTTCCCTCTCGAACAGCCTCTGCAATGCACCCTTGCACTTCTGCAAGTACCGCGACTCGCTCAACCCCTGCGCTCTCGCCTCCAACTTCTCCTCGAGCGGCCGCTCCCTGAACCGCTCCTTCCCCTTGCGATTCCGCGCTGGTCGTGCTGGCTTCTTGCGCGCGACCGAAGTGAAGCCGTCTGTGTCGTCTTGGGCGCTCATGAGCGGTGTGGAGCGGAGGAGATGAGGAAACCGGTCGGAAACGTCGCTCGAGGTGAGAATGGCTTTGCGCGACTCGCTGATGGATCCAGGATCGCTCTACGGAGGCTGTCGATACATTCGAAGGCTCTGCCACTCCTGACGGCGCGCTCACTCGCCTCGCTCTCCTCCTCGCGATGAGACTGCTCGACTTGGTCCCAGACGAAATGTCGGGCGTCCCTTTGTTCTCCTCGTGCGCTTTTGTTCTCCCCCGCCAACACATTCAGGCTCGCGGGGCAACAAAAGACGCTGCATTGCCCATTCAGGGAATCGACGGAGCGGTGGCCGACTCGATCCCACTCGCTTGGCTGCCTCTCGGTTCTCTCTTTCGCTCCTTCTCCTCACTCCTCTCGCGTCACTCGCTTCGAACGCTCGCTTCTCCTCACACTCCTTCAACCCAATCAACATGCGCCCCTACGCCGTCATCGCCGCCGCCGTCGCGCTCGCACCGGCCCTCGTCTTTGCCCAGACCGCCCCCTCCTGGTCTGTCCATTCATCTCGTTCGCTCGACCCCCCTCCCCACTGACCCGCCTGCTCGTTCACAGCGTCATCCAGTGCATCGCCACCGCCGCCGGTTTGACCTCGTGCGCCGCGACCGACGCCCAGTGCCTCTGCGACTCGAACACCTTCATCGATGGCGTCTCGGCTTGCATGGTCACGTCGTGCTCTCCTCAGGATCTCGCTACCGGTGTTGCGTTCGGAGAGCAGGTGCGTGCCATCCTCTCACCCACAACCATTGTGGCTAGTCTCGCTGAGAAGGTCGCGAGGTCCCGTACTGACGTTTCTTCCCATTCGGGACACACAGTTCTGCCAGTCGGTCGGCGTCACCGTTGCCATCCCCTCGTCGCTCGCGTCCCGCACGGCCGAGGCGACCGGCGTTAGCTCCGCCACCCAGTCGTCCGCCGCTGCGTACGTCTCGCTCTCCGTGCCCTCCCTCGCTTCGACCATTCAACTGACCTTCTCGCCATCAAACAGCTCCGCCACCTCGTCCGCCGTCTCTGCCATCTCGTCCGCCATCTCCTCCGCTTCATCCTCCGCCTCGGCCGCCGCTTCGTCGGCCGCCTCCTCCTCCGCCGCTTCCTCGACCGCCGCAGGGTTCGTCTCTCCCTCTCTCATTCAACTCGCACATTCGTACTGATGCTCGATGACGATGTGCAGCTCCGCCCCCTCCGCCTCGACCAGCAACAAGCCCTCGTCCGGCGCTTCCGTCAACCTCCTCTCGAAGGGTGCGGGCGCAGCTGCGCTCATCGCTGCCGGCGCTGCCCTCGCTCTCTAAGATAGCTCAGAGGCAGTGCGGAAGGGGGAGTTCCGGGATCATCGGGACAGGGCTTTTGTAGATTTCGCTTCTTCGCGTCTTATTCTCCTTTAATGCGATGCGTAACGTTACAAAGCATGCACCACGAGTGACAGTATCGTAGAGGAGTGACAGTATCGTAGAGGCGAAGGCAAGAGAGGGGAATCGCGCCGGAAAGCGAGACGGAATCCTACCAGGGGCAGGATCAAAGTTAGCCGCCGGCGAGCAGTAGGGGGAGTATGCGGAAGACATCACTCACAGAGCTCCTGTGCGTAGATGATGTAGTTGTAGGAATCGTCGAAGTCGACTGAAATGTAGCCGTGCTCGTCACACCAATCAAGGAAGGAGTGCGCCAGCATTTTTTGCTGCCAGACGATGCCTCGCTTTAGCCGCATGGCGAAGCCAAGGCTCCGCAGTGTAGGGTATGCCGACAAGCTCATTCTGCCTTGGATGAGCGGCAACCACACGTGGAGTGGGGAGAGATCGAGACGTTCGAGGCGAGGCGGAAGCGTCAACTCGTCGAGGTGGTTGAGCACGCTCCAGATCACCTCCTCGATTTCGTAGTAGTACTGTTCCTCGTACATGCTCAATGTCAGGCGAGAGATCCCTGGGCAGCTCGTGATGGCCGTGATCAACTTGGCACCGTACTCGCCGAAGTCGTGTCCATCTTCCTCGCCTTTGTGAGCATCCAATCCTCACAATCGAGCCAAAGATGCGTGAGTCCGACGAGATGGGAAAACGACCAGAGGAAGTCGGAAACGCCTGGATCGTCAGAAGTCGGAAGTGCGAGGCGGAGGAAACGCAAGGTGGATGTCGAAGCTTCGGTGAGAAGACGGAATTGCGACCTAGTTACGTCCATCCTATATCCCGCAAGCTGGAGGGTTTCGAGACGCAAAGGGAGCGGCCCGATCTTGTCTAGTTTATCCCAGCTGGGTTGCGAACTGTCGGGCTCGATGACAAGGGATTTGAGGGAAGGTTGCTGCTGCAGGAGAAGCCACGCCTCACTCGTCCAGTGCACTTGAAGGTGGTGGAGATGCAGGTGTCTCATGGCGCAAAGGCAGCGGAGAAGAGACGGTGAACAATACCACAGCTCCAGACGGCGGACGTTTTCACAGCCCCTGACAAGCTGATCCACCAGGTTTGCCTGCGGCAGTTCGTACGGACGGACGTATTCGTCCCGAGGGAGAGGATCTTTCCAGCTCGTGCATAGGTTGCGGACGAGAAGAGCGGGGGATGGGAAAAAGTCTGTCCCACAACCGTTCAGAAGCGCATCGACGAGTTGCTGAGCGCTAGTCGGATTGTCACTGTAGAAGAAATCGCGTGGATACTTGACCACGACGTCGAGGTACAGCGCTGCCCGAGCAAGCATGCCAATCTGGCGGTTGACGAGGCAAAGGCGCGCGAGAGTCGCATTTGAGTATTCTTCGTGCGTGATGATCTGCTCCCAGATCTCGAGAGGGAGTGCAGGGACCATGGTGCGTAGTTGGGCGAGCTGTGCGGCAAGTACGAGCCGGGTCAGCGAATGGAAGTGATGAGGATTGGGGAGGGAAACGCACGGCTCGGAAGAGCTACGGCGAGCAGAAGAAGGGTTTTGAGGGTCGAGTGAGCCGTTCGAGCGGTAGCAGCAAGCAGGCGAAGCGGTGAGCAAGGGGAGCGAGTGAGGAGGAGGAGGGAGAGAGGCGTCGCGGGGGAGACGGGGCGTCGTCGTGGCCACAGGCGCCTCGTCCAGTCCCGATGCTCCCTCGAACGATTAATGAAGCGTACAGCGCAGGCTCGAAGTTGCAGGAGCCGAAGCGAGGCGAGGATTGCACGAGAGTTGGGATCCTGCGAGTCTGCGGAGCCGCTGTCCAACCCGTTGGTTCTCCGTTCGCCATGAATTTGAACGTGAGACTTTGGAGCCTCCGCTTTACGCTGCTCGTCGCCGTCGGACGTGCGTCGGCACGACGGGTCCCGCGTTCTGCTCCTTGGAGTCCGCTCGAAGTCGGTTCAACTCGACTTGCTGACGCGTCTCCGGCCTCAAATCGGACGAAAAATCCTCACCCATCGTCCGGAGCGTCGAGAGCGCCCCGCGCCGACGAGGTCGCAAGCGCTTCTGCAGGCAAATTCGCCCACAAAGTTTGCGCGACCTCATCGCTCCCAGCCTCCCACCTCGACGGCCATGACCTCCTCCCAGCCCTCGCTGCCCCAGTCGTTCGCCTTGCCCGGCAAGAGCGGCTGGACGGCGAGAAGCGAGAGCGACGCCTGGATCTGCTCGTTCGACGGGCGAGGTCGGTCGTCTTTCTCTGCCTTCGAAGTGGTAGTCGGAGCAGTGTCGAGAAGAGGAGAGGAGGTGGAGGCGCTAGGGAGGACGGGAAAGGTGAGGAGTGTGTCGAGGAGCCGGCGGACCAGGGCGAGCGAGTGGACGTAAGGAGTGGTGAGAGCCTGGATGCCATCAGCTGCGGGGTAGAGCGTGTCAGGGTACGCGAAATCGGTGCACTGAAAAACGCTGCGCACCGAAGCGAGCGAGCGGCCATGTCACCCACAGCGGTTCGCGGAAAGCAAACAGCGTCCCGCGCGTCTTGGCCGCCTCGATGACGAGATACTCGGCCCGCTCGCAGATCGACTGCATGCCGTTGACCGTCTCGGTCTGCGCGCGGGTCGTCAGTGCAGGTCACAAGCGACAAGCGAACGAAGGCAGGCTCACCAGATTCGCAAAGATACCTTCGACGGCCGCCACCTGCTCCGACAGCTTAGCCGACTGTGCAAAGAGATAGCCTGCACGGACGTCCGTCGTTGACGATGAGGAAGACTGCTTCGAGATAGCCTTGAGTGCGAGTCTGCAAGCGAAGGGTCAGTACGAGCAAGTGTCAAAAGCTACTACGGCACGCACTCGACGTCGACCCAAAGCTCCAGCACCGCCTTCGTCCTTCCCACCAACCCACGGATCACCAGCTCGCTCCAAGCTCTCCTTGCCTTCCTGTGCTCGACGAGCAGTCCCCTCAAGCGTTGGTGGTAGGTCGTCTCGGCGCTCGCAGGAAGCGGGCCCCTGCCTGGCTTCTCGGGCGCTGTCGGATGCGCCGTAGCACTCATCGCCAGGCGCGAAGGCGACGCTGCGGGAGGAGTTGCTGCTCGTCGAGGGGAGGAAGGCGAAGTCGGCGAGAAGTCGTCGTCGTCGGCGAGTTCGCGTGTACGGCGTGGCGTGCCTTTCCCGCGAGCCATTCTGGTGGTCTTTAACCGTTCAAAAAGCCAAAAGAGCGAGGACGTGCGGAGTGAGCAAAGGGTTCATCGCTAACCCAGCTCCTCGCCCTCGTCCACACGGCACTCGCACCGCTGCGGGGAGCCTGTGTAGCTTGCTGTGCTTCCTTTGCTGCTCTAGATTGATTGACGGGCCTGGGCAGTCCGTCTGTGCTGTTGCCTCGCATCCGCCAGCCTCCCCACCTCACGACACGAACTCGGCTCTCCTCCGACGAGAACGACGATCGGCGGTGTGTGGGAAACTGTGAGGAGGTCTTAACGCGCTTGAAGTCCAAACGCGAGGCGCTGAGTCCGGCCTGCGGGACAAGGTGCGTTCTCACCTCGCCTCGTCTGCTCATGCACTCGCTGAGCCTCCCTTTTGTCCGCATACTCGCTGAAAGCGCCACTATGTTCAGCGGACTCAACCTGAAGTCCCTCTCGGACAAGCTGAACGAGTCTCTGCACGACCTCGAGAACACCCTTGCCCAAGGCCTCCCTTCGACTTCTACCGCAGCCAATCCGACGTCTCCTCCGCGCCAGCAACCGGCTCGCACTGCATCTTCCCCCGCAGCATCACCATCTTCTTCTCGCACTCGCCCCTCTCTCGACAGCATCGCGACCCGAGCGCAGTCAGTCGCAGGCGGACTCGGAAACCTCTCTTCGCCTCTCAGCCCGACAGCAATCGCGAATGCGCAACAGAGCGCCAGTCAGCTAGCCGAGGGGGCGCTGAGCAGCTTGCGGGCGAGTTTGCGGAAGGGCAGGCAGAGCCTGGACACGGTTGCACGGGCGAGTCTCGATGGCGGGAGGTCTAGCTCGGACAGTGCAAGACCGGCGGCGTCTCTCGCAAACCCGACCAAGAGGGAAGGGAGTATCAAGGAGGAGGAGCTGATCAGCATCAAGAAGGAGGAAGATGCGCCCGAGGAGAAGAAGCCGGTCGTCGAAGAGCAGCTGGTCGACGTCGGTGAAGTCGCTCCTTCGCCTGCGCCTCCAGCGACCTCTGATGCGCCCCTCGTCGACTTTTCGGAACCACCGGCATCCACGACCCTAGGCGCGACCCCCGCAACATCCTCTTCTCTCGCACCTCCCGACCGACCCGCACCTCTCGACCGAAAACCTTCATCCCTACTCGATCCGCCGACTCCCGAAGAAGGCGAGGACGATGACGCATGGGGTGTCGGTAGCGTCGGCATCCGAACGCCTGCGATACCTCAGGGCGAGACGCCAGCTGAGGAGGAAGACGTGAAGGAGCAAGAGGCGGGGGCAGGGACGAAGGCTGAGGATGCAGAGAAGGGGGCTGCTACGGAGCCTGAACCGTTGGCAGCGGTGCCGGAACCAGAAGCTGCGAACGCAGCGCTGTCGACTAAGCCGGAGATCGTCCCGCTCCAGGATGCGACGTCGGCACCTCAGACGACAGAAACCGCTTCGACCGAACCAGCTCCGAACTCTGCTGGCGATAAGGCACCTACGTCAGCCGAGCCCGAGGTGAATGCGGTTGTCGAGCAGAAGGAGGGGGAGCAGCTGGCGCCGGTCACGGCGGCTGTCGAGGGGAACGCTCATGCGGCGGAGGACTCGGAATCGACCACTGCGCCCGCCGCGTCCGACGAAGTCTCGGCTCTTCCGACAGCGGAGAAGCTGGAGGCGCCCGCACTCGCCGCACCCGAACCTGTACCTGCCATCTCCCCACCTAACGATGCCGACGAACAACCCGAATCGATTGAAGCCGCGCCTTCGGAAACGGCAGTCGTCGAACCTATCATTCTCAACGAACCTGTGACTGCCTCGCTCACCGAGACCCAGCCCACGACTGCGCCCTCATCGACCGAGCCAACGCACTCACAGCCGCCGACCTCCGTCCCCGAAACTTCGACAGCTACGTCTCAGCACGGCGAGACGGCGGGGGCGGACGAGAAGACTGAGGCGGAGGAGAAACCAGCCGGCGTGTCGGCAATGGCGGATGTTGAGGAGCAGTCGGGCGGTACGGAGGTCGAGCAGCAGAAGATCGGATCGGCTGAAACTGCAGAGGCGAGGGAGGAAGTTGCGAAGGTGAAGGAGGCGGATGTCGTGGCACCGCCTGCTGATGCTGAGGAACCAGAGAAGTCGGTCGAAGCGGTTAAGCCGGAGCCTCCCGTTGTAGAGGCTGAAGAGGCGCCGCGGGAGGAGGCGGCCGAGGAACCTGGTGCAACTAAGGAGGACGCGGCAGTTCCTGGTGCGTTCAGCTTTCGATCACTCGTATTGCACCGTTAGCTGACGATCGATCCGGCAGCACCCGCGACCGCAGTAGCCGTCGATGAAGTGTCGCCTCCCGCCGTGCCTTCCAAACCTTCGCCAAATGACCATCTCGCCGGACTCAAGGCTTCGCTCGATAAGCTGGTCGCTAGCCTGACACCTCTCGGCAGCGTCGACGACGTACAAGCGTTCGAGGACGAGCTGCGGAACATGAAGAGCAAAGCTGAGATGGCGGTAAAGGAGGTCGCGCGCTTGACGGGGCAGCTCGATCGTAAGCCGCCGCCATCTACATATCCTCCGATAGGAATACTGACGACTACCCGCCTACAGGCCAGAAGGAGTCGTTCGAAGAGCTTCGCGAGACCCATCGCCTCGAGCACAAGTCGCAGCAGGACGAGATCGGCTCATTGCGGGAACAGCTCTCGACGAAGGACGCCAAGCTCATTGCCGCCGAGTCAGCCGCCTCGCAAACTCGCGCCGAGATCGCCAAGGCGTCGGAGGAATACGACAAGCTCAAGATTGTCGCGAAGGAGGAAGAGGAGAAGCGCGTCAAAGCGTTGTCGCTGCTTCGTGCGCTGCGACAGAAGCTGGTCAAGAACGAGAAGGAGAAGGAGGACTCGGACAAGGAGCTTGAGCGGCTGCGTGCGTCTGAACAGCAGGCGCAGGAGACGCTCAAGGCCGACCGGTCCCGCTTCGACTCGGAGATCGTCGCCCTCCGAAGCGCACAAGAGCAGCAGATCAACAAGCTCAAGCAGTCGTTCGAGCGCGAGACGGCCAAGCTCAAGGAGCAGTTTGACCGCGACTCAACCAACAAGCGCGGACAGTTCGAGCTCGATGCAATCACGGCCAAGGCGCAGCAGGCGAAGGAGCTGGCGGCGAAGGACGCGCGCATCAAGCAGCTCGAGACGACTGTTCGCGAGCTCACGACCGCGCGCGACTCGGTGTTCGACCAGCTCCAGCTTCGACAGGCCGAGATCGAGTCGAGCGAGACGAACCAGGAGGCGCTCAAGACTCGTGCTGCCGAGCTCGAGTATGAGTTGAGCGAGACCAAGGACCGCATCGCCGCGATGCAGGACGAGCTCGACAGCGTACGGCGACACCGCCAGGATTCGGCGCGCGACGAGGGAACAACCAGGCGGCTTCTCGAGGAGGCTGAGGCTCGTCATGCCATCAAGGTCCGCGACCTCGAAGCTCGCGCTGCGCAACTCGAGAAAGACCGCCGCGAGACGGAGGACGAGATGGGCCGGAACTTGCAGGAACGGCTCAAGGAAGTCGAACGACTCCGAGCTGCGCTGGCGCAGAAGGACGTCGATTTCGCCGAATCGGTTCAGAACCGGCAGAAGCGGGAGAAGGAGATTGAGGAGGCGCAGAAGGCGAGGGCAGACCTCGAGGCGAGGCTGAAGAAGGTCGAGGCCGCGCTCGACCGGGTGCGGGAAGAGTCGCTCATCCTGCAGCAGGGCGAGGTGCGTATCACTGTCCGGCTGACTACGATCCTTTGCTGACAATGTATCGCTTGCAGGCCGCCGCGAAGGAGGAGCTCAACGACCGGCTGCAGCGCATGTCGGAGCTCGAGGCGCGTCTCGAGGAGGTGCAGACCCGCGAGTCGAACCTGCGGTCGACTAACAAGGTGCGTATGCTCAACGAGAGAAGCCAATTCTCGCTGATTCCCTCTCCCCGCAGACTCTGCGCGAAGAACTCCGCAAACTTCAGTCGGGCGTCTTGCTCTCCGAAAAGCAGCGTCACCCCGGCGTCGGCTACTTCTCCTCCTTTTCGCAACAGAGTGCGCCGTCCGTCGCACCTCTTCCCGCTGCCGGCGCATCGACGACCTCGCTCGCCTCGACGATCGGTGGTCCGGCATCACCGCCGCTGTCCGCGACGAGCCCGCCTGCATCGATCTCGGGCGGTCTCGCTGGTGGCGCCAAGGCAAACGGGGACGAGGCGCTCAACTTTGAATACATCCGCAACATCCTCCTCCAGTTCCTCGAGAAGCCGGAGATGCGGGTGCGTTCCCTGGTTTCCGCGAGCGCTTCACGCCCTCCAGCCTCGACGTCTGACACTTTTACTCGTCTGCAGCCACACCTCATCCAAGTCCTTGGCGTCGTCCTGCACTTTACGCCCGCAGAGCTTCGCCGCCTCGCCGCCAAGTCTAGCGTACCGCACTAGGCGGCGCTCGTCAAGCGCGTCGCTCAGCATCATCTGTACATGTCGCATTAGACCTCGCAACGCCGGTGCATCCGTTCAGTGGGATCAGAACGCTGTTTGACGAAGAGGAGAGAGGAAGCGGATCGGTGGCGATTGTCGAGGCGCTTCCTTGACTGGTCTAGAGAGTCACAACGGTGTCTGGATCGCATAGCAAGTCAGTTCGAGCCATAAGAGCGAGCGAGAGGCGAGACGAGGAATCGCTCCGCCCCGCGAGGATCGCAACTCACGACCTGCCCTCCACCACTCGCCACCTCGCAGCTGTCCAGCAGTACGCGCTCAGCTCTGGCGGATCTGGCACTTGCTACGGAGGCTAACGACATGCTCGCAGTGAGCGGACCGCCGCCTGGGTTCTTCCCGCCCGAGGTGGGTGCGACGAGCATCCCAGTTTACCAAGTGAGCCCACTCCCTCTGGCGACCGCGATGAAGGTGGTCTGTACTCTCTAGGATCAGTGCACACGCATGGCGCAACTTCGACGCTTCCAAGACGCGTGGCGGAGCTGTTTTCGCTGACCCTCTCCTCCTCACCTCCACCAGGAACCGGTCGCGATGTCGCAGGAGCAGCTCGCGCAGAAGGAGCGCAAGTGGCGGGCACTGCAGGCGAAGCGTTTCGGCGACAAGCGCAAGACGGGCATCATCGACACGGGCAAGCAGCCTTTGCCGGCGGAGCACCTGCGCAAGATCATCAGGGATCACGGAGACATGTCGAACCGCAAGTTCAGGCAGGACAAGCGTGTGCATCTCGGCGCCTTGAAGGTGTGTTGAACGTTTCGCTACCGGCGGAGGGTTTGGTGGATGCCCAGGATCGAGCAAGGAGGGTTGCGGTTGGCGGCGGACGATATGGCGGGGTCCGTTGCGCGATGCTGACTTCTCCCCTGCAGTACGTTCCTCACGCCGTGCTCAAGCTTCTTGAGAACATGCCGATGCCGTGGGAGCAGGTCCGCGAGGTCCCTGTTCTGTACCACATCACCGGCGCCATCACCTTCGTCAACGAGGTCCCCAAGGTCATCCCGCCCGTCTACCACGCTCAGTGGGCGACGATGTGGCTCGCGATGCGTCGCGAGAAGCGTGACCGTCGGCACTTCAAGCGCATGCGGTTCCCGCCTTTCGACGACGAAGAGCCTCCTCTCGACTACGGCGACAACGTTCTCGACACGGAGCCGCTCGAGGCTATCCAGCTTGAGCTTGACGAGGAGGAGGACGCCCCGATCGCGGAGTGGTTCTACGACGGCCGGCCCTTGATCGACTCGCCGCACGTCAACGGTTCGTCGTACAAGCTGTGGACGCTCGACCTCCCGCAGATGGCCAACCTGTACCGCTTCGGTCGCACTCTTCTCTCCGACTTCAACGACCGCAACTACTTCTACCTCTTCGAGCCGAAGTCGTTCTTCACGGCCAAGGCGCTCAACGTTGCGATTCCGGGAGGCCCTCGATTCGAACCGCTCTTCCGCGAGTCCGACAACTTTGACGACGACTGGAACGAGTTTAACGACATCAACAAGGTCATCATCCGCCAGCAGATCCGCACCGAGTACAAGATCGCCTTCCCGCACCTGTACAACTCGCGGCCCCGTTCCGTCCACATTCCCGTCTACCACGAGCCGCACAACCTCTACATCCGCACCGAAGACCCCGACCTCCCCGCCTTCTACTTCGACCCGATCATCCACCCCATCTCGTCTCGCGGCGTCGCGCCGAAGAACGAACTCGTCCCGCACGAGGTCGAGGTGTTTGGCGGCGACTCGAACGGCGAGGACGACGAGTTTGAGCTGCCGGAGGAGTGCGAGCCGTTCCTTGCGGATGCCGAGCTCGAGACGGACCGCACCGCCGACGCGATCGCGCTGTGGTGGGCGCCGTACCCGTACAACCAGCGCTCCGGGCGCACCGTTCGTGCGCAGGACATCCCCCTGGTCAAGAACTGGTACCTCGAGCACTGCCCGCCTGGCCAGCCGGTCAAGGTCCGCGTCTCGTACCAGAAGCTCGTGCGTTGCGCTCTCGTTCCCCACGATTTGACCCGCAACTGATCTGTCCCGCGTCGTCGCAGCTCAAGTGCTACGTCCTCAACCAGCTGCACCACCGCCACCCGAAGCCGCAGATCAAGAAAAGTTTGTTCAAGCAGCTCAAGGGCACCAAGTTCTTCCAGACGACGACGATCGACTGGGTCGAGGCCGGTCTCCAGGTGTGCAGGCAGGGCTACAACATGCTCAACCTGCTCATCCACCGCAAGAACCTCAACTACCTGCACCTCGACTTCAACATGAAGTGCGTTCCCGCCCGCTCCTCCTTCCTTCGCGATTTTCTTTCTGACGGCTTTGCGCCCGCAGCTTGAAGCCGGTCAAGACGCTCACGACCAAGGAGCGCAAGAAGTCGCGCTTCGGAAACGCCTTCCACCTGTGTCGCGAGATCCTCCGCCTCACCAAGCTCATCGTCGATTCGCACGTCCAGTACCGCCTCGGCAATGTCGATGCCTTCCAACTCGCCGACGGTCTCCAGTTCACCTTCGCCCACGTCGGTCAGCTCACCGGCATGTACCGCTACAAGTACAAGCTCATGAGGCAGATCCGTATGTGCAAGGACTTGAAGCACGTCGTGCGTGCCGTCTTCCTTCCTCGATCATCCTCCGCTTGTCCGCTCACCTGTCGTTCGTGCAGATCTACACGCGCTTCAACACGGGCCCGGTCGGCAAGGGTCCTGGTGTCGGTTTCTGGGCGCCCGGCTGGCGTGTCTGGCTCTTCTTCCTCCGCGGTATCGTCCCGCTCCTCGAGCGCTGGCTCGGCAACCTTCTCGCCCGTCAGTTCGAGGGTCGCAACTCGAAGGGCGTCGCCAAGACCGTCACCAAGCAGCGTGTCGACTCGCACTTCGACCTCGAGCTCCGCGCCGCCGTCATGCACGACATCCTCGACATGATGCCCGAGGGTATCAAGCAGAACAAGGCCAAGACCATCTTGCAGCACTTGTCTGAGGCGTGGCGGTAAGCTCGCTCGACCGTTTGCCTCGCGACCCGAACTGACGACGGTCTCTCCCGCAGCTGCTGGAAGGCCAACATCCCCTGGAAGGTCCCGGGCATGCCGACGGCGATCGAGAACATCATCCTCCGCTTCGTCAAGGCCAAGGCCGACTGGTGGACGTCCGTCGCGCACTACAACCGCGAGCGTATCCGCCGTGGCGCCACTGTCGACAAGACTGTCGCCAAGAAGAACCTCGGTCGTCTCACTCGCTTGTACCTCAAGGCTGAGCAGGAGCGCCAGAACGCCTACCTCAAGGACGGCCCGTACGTCTCGTCCGAGGAGGCCGTCGCGATTTACTCGGCCACGGTCCACTGGCTCGAGTCGCGCAAGTTCGCGCCGATCCCCTTCCCTCCGCTGTCGTACAAGCACGACACGAAGCTGCTCGTCCTCGCGCTCGAGAAGCTCAAGGAGGCCTACAGCGTCAAGGGCCGCCTGAACCAGTCGCAGCGCGAGGAGCTCGCGCTCATCGAGCAGGCATACGACAACCCGCACGAGACGCTCTCGCGCATCAAGCGTCTCCTCCTGACGCAGCGCGCGTTCAAGGAGGCCGGCATCGAGTTCTTCGACACGTACGACAAACTCATCCCGTGCTACGACATCGAGCCGATCGAGAAGATCACGGACGCGTACCTCGACCAGTTCCTCTACTTCGAGGCGGACAAGCGCGGCCTCTTCCCGTCGTGGATCAAACCCGCCGATACCGAGCCGCCTCCCCTCCTCGTCTACAAGTGGTGCCAGGGCATCAACAACCTCCACGAGGTCTGGGAGACGAGCGAGGGCGAGTGCAACGTCATGATGGAGACGCAGCTCTCGAAAGTGTACGAGAAGATCGACCTCACCCTGCTCAACCGTCTCCTGCGCCTCATCATGGACCACAACTTGGTCAGTCCGCGCGTCTTCCCGTCTTACCCCTCCCCGCCCGCTGACTTCCCTCGATGCAGGCGGACTACTGCACGGCCAAGAACAACATCGTCATCACGTACAAGGACATGTCGCACGTCAACGCCTACGGTTTGATCCGCGGTCTCCAGTTCTCGGGCTTCATCTTCCAGGTGCATGCGCCTCTCCGCGTCTCTACCACTTTCACTGACGCTCGCTCGCCCCGCACAGTACTACGGCCTCATCCTCGACTTGCTCATCCTCGGCCTCCAGCGCGCGAGCGAGATGGCCGGCCCGCCGCAGATGCCGAACAATTTCCTGCAGTACCGCGACACCGAGACCGAGACTCGCCACCCGATCCGCCTCTACTCGCGATACATCGACCGCATCCACATCATGTTCCGCTTCACGGCCGACGAGTCGCGCGACCTCATCCAGCGGTACCTCAGCGCGAACCCGGACCCGAACAACGAGAACCTGATCGGCTACAACAACAAGAAGTGCTGGCCGCGCGACTGCCGCATGCGCCTCATCAAGCACGACGTCAATCTCGGACGCGCCGTCTTCTGGGACATCAAGAACCGCCTGCCGCGCTCCCTCACCACCATCGACTGGGACGACACTTTCGTCTCGGTCTATTCGAAGGACAACCCCCAGCTCCTCTTCTCGATGTCCGGCTTCGAGGTTCGCATCTTGCCCAAGATTCGCAACGTCAACGAGGTCTTTACCCTCAAGGACGGCGTCTGGAACGTGAGTTCGCGCCTGCGTGAACTCTTGTCGACGGCCACATGCTGACATGTTCGCGATCGCAGCTCGTACACGGCGGGACGAAGGAGCGGACGGCGCAGGCGTTCCTGCGCGTCAGCAACCCCGGCATCGAGTGCGCCCTTCCACTCGCTACATCGTCTGGACTTCTGCTGACGGGTTCACTCGCTCATCTGCAGAGCCTTCAACAACCGCATTCGCGCCATCCTCATGTCGTCGGGATCTTCGCCTTTCTCGAAGGTGAGCTGGTGACTTGACAGTTTCGGTTCTATCTCGCTGACTTGGGCCCGTCTTTCCTCACAGGTCATCAACAAGTGGAACACGGTGCGTTCACGCGGCTACGCGCGACGACCATGCTGCTCACAGCTGCCGCCATGTCGACCTTCCCGACTTCCGCTGACCTTCGTGCTTCTCGCAGGCGATCATCGGTCTCATGACCTACTACCGCGAAGCCGTCATCCACACCAACGAGTTGCTCGACGTGCTCGTCAAGGCGGAGAACAAGGTGCAGACGCGCGTCAAGATCGGCCTCAACTCGAAGGTGAGTGCCGTCGTCTTAGCTCCCTCCTTCGCATCGCTGGTCGCCAGAGCAGCATACGAAGACGTCTGTGAGCGACCGTCGAGCTCGCTGGGCGGCCGGCGAGGTCGCAACATCAGAGAAAACGTTGCGCTGACTCGCCTTCCTCCGCCTCTTCCTTTCCTTCTCCGCTTCCTCCTCGTTCTACGACGTCTACAGATGCCTTCTCGATTCCCGCCGGCTGTGTTCTACACGCCTAGTGAGTACCGCTTTACCCGTTCAGGACGTTCCGATGAGCTGACCTTGTTGCCAACTCGCAGAGGAGCTCGGCGGTCTCGGCATGCTCTCGATGGGCCACATCCTCATCCCCGCCTCCGACTTGCGCTGGAGCAAGCAGACCGACACCGGCATCACGCACTTCCGCGCCGGCATGGGCGGCGGCAATTCGGAGGTCCTCATCCCGAACTTGTTCCGCTACATCCAGCCGTGGGAGGCCGAATTCCTCGACTCGGCGCGCGTTTGGTCCGAGTATGCGATGAAGCGCAAGGAGGCGAACGCACAGAACCGCCGCCTCACGCTCGAGGATCTCGAGGATTCGTGGGACCGCGGAATCCCCCGCATCAACACGCTCTTCCAGAAGGACCGGTGCGTTTGCAGTATCTCTATCCGTCTTGATACGCTGGCGGCGCGGGCTCGCCGACTTTGCGCGCGCCGGAAGCGAGCGACGGAGGTTGACCTTCGCCTCCTCCCTTCTTCGCCTCGCAGGCACACGCTCGCATACGACAAGGGATGGCGCAACCGTATCGAGTGGAAGCAGTACCAGCTCCTCAAGGCGAATCCGTTCTGGTGGACGTCGCAGCGCCACGATGGCAAGGTGCGTTCGGCCTCCTCCTCGTCTACTTCCCAGTTCTCCTCCTCTGAACTTCCGCTGACCTCGCCCGCGCCTCACACAGCTCTGGCAACTTAACAACTACCGCGTCGACGTCATCGCGGCGTTGGGAGGCGTCGAAGGCATCCTCGAGCGTGTGTTGGGCTTTCTCCTGCCTCTCCGACGCCCCAGACTGACGTTTTTTGGATTTACCGGGTTCCAGACACTCTATTTAAAGCAACTGCGTTGCGTTATATTCCTTTCTGTCGTGCCCGAGCAGCTTGGCGCCGCCGCTGGACTTCCTCCTCGAACTTCCGCTAACCTTACTCTTCCTCGCTCGCAGTTTCCCGACTTGGGGTGCGCTCTTACTCCTGCTCTGTCGTGCGCATTGAGCGCGAGAAGCTGACCTTGGCGCTGTTGTGTCGTTGTCGTCTCGCAGAGGGTCTCTTCTGGTTCGTCCTGCCTCCTCTCCCTGCTTCCCGACTATCTACTAACGCTTCTCTCTTCGTTTATGAAGGGAAAAGTCTTCGGGCTTTGAGGAATCGATGAAGGTACGAGCGGTTTTCTCGTCCCCTTCAAACCCGCCGTCGCTCACCTTGCCGCTCCTCGCCCGCAGTTCAAGAAGCTCACGAACGCCCAGCGCTCCGGTCTTTCGCAAGTGCCGAACCGTCGCTTCACTCTCTGGTGGTCGCGTGCGTTCAGCTTTCGAGACACCGTCGGACGGGAAGGCTGACTCGCCTCTCCTCCCGCCTCACAGCCACCATCAACCGCGCCAACGTCTACGTCGGTTTCCAGGTCCAGCTCGACTTGACTGGCGTCTTCAGTGCGTCAATATAGCGTTCACATGTAGCGCCGCCGCTGACCTCGATCCGGTCCCGCAGTGCACGGCAAGATTCCGACGCTCAAGATCTCGCTCATCCAGATCTTCCGCGCCCACTTGTGGCAGAAGATTCACGAGTCGGTCGTGATGGACTTGTGCCAGGTCTTCGACCAGGAGCTCGAGGCGCTGCAGATCGAGACGGTCCAGAAGGAGACGATCCACCCGCGCAAGTCGTACAAGATGAACTCGTCCTGCGCCGACATCCTCCTCTTCTCGTCGTACAAGTGGAACGTCACGCGCCCGTCGCTGCTCACCGACTCGAAGGACGTCATGGACGGCACGACGAGCGCCAAGTACTGGGTTGACGTCCAGCTCCGGTGGGGCGACTTTGACTCGCACGACATTGAGCGGTACACACGCGCCAAATTCCTCGACTACACGTCGGACAACATGTCGATCTACCCGTCGCCGACCGGCGTGCTCATCGGCATCGACCTTGCGTACAACCTGCACTCGGCGTACGGCAACTGGATCCCCGGCATGAAGCCGCTCGTCCAGCAGGCGATGGGCAAGGTCATGAAGGCGAACCCGGCGCTCTACGTCCTCCGCGAGCGCATCCGCAAGTCGCTCCAGCTGTACTCGTCCGAGCCGACCGAGCCGTACCTCAACTCGCAGAACTACTCGGAGCTCTTCAGCAACCAGATCATCTGGTTCGTCGACGACACCCAGGTGTACCGCGTCACGATTCACAAGACGTTCGAGGGAAATCTGACGACCAAGCCGATCAACGGCGCCATCTTCATCTTCAACCCGCGGACGGGCCAGGCGTTCATCAAGATCATCCACACGTCCGTCTGGGCCGGCCAGAAGCGTCTCGGCCAGCTCGCCAAGTGGAAGACTGCCGAGGAAGTCGCCGCGCTCGTCCGCTCGCTCCCCGTCGAGGAGCAGCCGAAGCAGGTCATCGTCACGCGCAAGGGCATGCTCGACCCGCTCGAGGTCCACTTGCTCGACTTCCCCAACATCGTCATCAAGGGTTCCGAGCTCCAGCTGCCGTTCCAGGCCTGCATGAAGCTCGAAAAGTTCGGCGACCTCATCTTGCGCGCGACTCAGCCGCAGATGGTCCTCTCGAACATGTACGACGACTGGCTCAAGTCGATCTCGTCGTACACCGCCTTCTCCCGTCTCATCCTCCTCCTCCGCGCCATTCACGTCAACAACGAAAAGGCCAAGATCATCCTCCGGCCGAACAAGAACACCGTCACCGAGCCTCACCACGTCTGGCCGACGCTCGCCGACGAGGACTGGATGCGTGTCGAGATTGCGCTCCGCGACCTCATCCTCGCAGACTACGGCAAGCGCAACTCGGTCAACACGGCATCCCTTACCTCCTCCGAGGTCAGGGACATCATCCTGGGAATGGAGATCCAGGCGCCGTCGGTCCAGCGGCAGCAAATGGCGGAGATCGAGAAATCGACCGAGGCGGCGGCGCAGGTCACGGCCGTGCAGACCCGGACGACGAACGTGCAGGGCGACGAGATCCAGGTTGTCACGACGACGGCGTACGAGCAGCAGGTCTTCAGCTCGAAGACGGACTGGCGCATCCGTGCCATCTCGGCGACCAACATCCCGCTCCGTCTCCAGCACGTCTACGTCACGAACGACGACGTCAAGGAGGAGTTGCCGACTTTCGTCCTCGCCAAGAACATCATGAAGAGCTTCGTCACGTCGGCCGACTTGCGTGCGCCTGTCGCGGCGTACCTCTTCGGCCAGGTTGCGCCCGACAACGCCCGCGTCGTCGAGGTCAAGGCGGTCGCCGTCGTCCCGCAGCGGTCGAGCCAGCGCTCGATCGAGCTCGTCAACGACCTTCCGTCGCACTCGCTTCTCGCCGACCTCAAGGTCGTTGGTATCATCGCAACGCAGGCGCAGGAGACGCAGTCGCTCACGCCGGCCGACGCATGCTTGTTCGCCAAGCTCATGGCGCAGCACCCGGAGATCGACGGGTCGTCCATCTTCCTCACCGTCGCCTTCACGCCCGGATCGCTCTCGCTCGCAGCGTACGCGCTCACGCCCAAGGGGTTCGAGTGGGGACGCAACGCCGACCCGAACTCGCCGGCGGGCTACAATCCGGCGTCGATGGTCGACCGCGCGCAGCTCCTCCTCTCGGACCGCATCCTCGGCTCGACGTTCGCACCCGTCGGCGGCGTCTGGTCGTACTCGACCGGTCTCGGCGCGGCGTTCTCTCCGACGATGCCGTACTCGGTGACGCTGGTTGGTCAGCCCATGCCCTACTGGGCGCCCGAACACCGGCCCGCGCACTTCTCGCAGTTCGTGGCCGGAGCTGATACGGACGAGGGCGTGGACGCTGAGGATGCGTTCGCCTAAGCGGCGGGCTGTTTGCGGTCGTTCTTTCTCCTCCCTCCTCTCCCGTCAGCTCTTTCCTTCCTTCGTTCCGCGCCTCCTTGTAGTCTTCACTGTACGCTTGCATCATCAGGATCGTTCGAGCTGTGCAAGAACTTGAGAGGGAGTCTCACGACGGCAGCGGATGCTCTTCTCCTCCTCCGCTTCACTCGCTCCCGCTGCCCATCGCTTCGCCTGCTCGCTGCTACCGCTAGAACGGCTCACTCGACCCTCAAGACCCTTCTTCTGCTCGCCGCAGCTCCTCAGAGCCGTGCGCCTCTGCGACTGCTCGTCGAAACCGTCGCAGCGAGTGCAAGCCCGAGCCGCAGACTCTCCGCACCACCGACGGCCAGAGCGAATGAAAGACACGTCTAGATTGCGAGGGTCTAACGAAGAGCACATCTAGTTTAGCGAGCCAACTCCGCTCGGCCCGTTTTACTCCCTCTTCCCCCAGCGCACCATCTCGACATAGTCGCTCGTTCCGACAACCTCAAACCCGAGCTTCTCATACAGCGGCTTGCCCTCCTTCGACGCTTCGAGGTAGATCGGCGTAGGCGGTTGCTGGGCATCGCACAGGTCGAGGACTTGCTGCATCAGCTTGCGACCGATGCCGAGGCCTTGGTAGCCGGGGACGACCCATACGGGGCAGAGGTCTGTGAAGCGAGTACTGAGTGCGTGAATCCTTATGGGGAGAGAGGAAGGACGCCGCAACGCACACCAGTGGTCCTTCCCGTCCATGATCCGCGCCCTCACGGCGTCCCACTCGGTCCAAACCTTCTCCCACGCCTCCATATCGACATGATCCCACGCCTGCCTGTCCTCTTCGCTCTCCTCCGCCGCACCCTCGATCCACCGTCTCTTAGGATTGACAACTGGCGCACCAGGCGCATGCCAGACCGCCAGCCCAACAAACTTGCCCTTCTCGGGGCCCGAAGCAAGGACAGCTTTCGTCCATAGCGTGTCGGGACGGGAGAGGATCTTGGACAGGCGGATGGTGAAGCGCTGTACGCGGATTTCGTGGGACGGGAGCTTGGAGGAGGGTTCGAGGGGAGCGTAGAACGTTGGGAAAGCGGCGAGGTGCCCTTCAGCCTGTGAGAGACTCGGTGTTAGTGCTGATTCCACAGGTACCTGCGACTTCACGACTCCACCCTTTCGCGAGGCTCGGGAAGAACAGAAGCGGGAAGAGAGACGCACGATGAGAGGCAAGTCCTCCTGCGTGACCGGCAGCAGCTCCACCTCGGGTTTCTGCACAACTCGAGCCATTTCTACGCCCGTCCTAGCGAAGCGAGTGAGAGGGAGAGGAGGAAGAGCAAGAGCGGCTCAAGGAGGGCGACTCGACGAGCGTGAGCAGTACGAGCGGATTCGTCTGAGTCCGTAGAGTCTGTACAGCACCGCCAGAGTGTTCCAGCAAGCGCCCAGGCGAGCCGAGCGGTGTGGACCAAGCCAACCCCTCCTCCGCCGACCTCCTCTTGGTCGTCCTCATCAACCGCACGCCCGCGATGGCACAGCGCATCTGTGAGCTCGAGACCGTCACCATCGTACTCGCAGCTGCTGACAATCCTTACACGCGCAGTCTCGTCGGCCGCCGCTGCCGCACAACCGCTTCGCCAATCCGTTCCCCTCCAGACCGTCAGTCGCCGAAACTCGCTCAGCAGGCGCCCTGGACTGTCGCTGACCTGCTTTGCGTGCCCACAGCGAGGACTCGGACAGCTGGTGGCGGCGCCGAACCAGCCTGGGCGGGTGTTCCTTGGTTCGGGACCTGGAGGCAGGTGAGTGCCGTTGCTGGCCCTTTGCGCGCGAGGCGTTCCAGGAGGAATTGCTAGCCTGCTATTTGCGGGCACACAGCTGACACTCTCGAGACGCGCGCAGGCACTCGACGACCGGTCACGTCGTCACTGTCTTTGGCGCGACCAGCTTCCTCGGCCGCTACCTCGTCTCGAAGCTTGGTGTGTTCAGCGCGACTACCTTTAGTCTCGTCGGCTCTAGCTGAGATTGGCTCTCGCCGCCCACAGCGAAGGCGGGAACGCAGGTCGTCGTGCCCTACCGGGATGCGGATGAGGCGCGGCACTTGAAGGTCTGCGGAGACTTGGGTCAGGTCGTTCCGATGGTGTGTTAACGCTCACGCACTCTTCTACAGTCCTTCGTCAGGGACAGTTGCTGATAAGGGCTGTTCACACCGCACAGGAATGGGACTTGAACAACGACACGCAGATCGAGGAGTGCTTGCGGCACTCGGACACGGTCTACAACCTTGTCGGTCGTGACTACACCACCAAGTGAGTCGAGGCGGGATGACGATGCGGCGATGAGACTCTTTATCTCGCGTCTCTTCTAGGACAGGCCGTTCACACACCTCATGTTCTGCAGAAACTTCAACTTCCAGGATGTCAACGTCTCCGGAGCCCGTCGCATCGCCCGCATTGCAGCGCAGAACGGCGTCTCGCGCTTCGTCCACGTCTCGCACCTGAACGCCGACCCGAACTCTGCCTCCGCCTTCTACCGGACCAAATTCGAGGGCGAGCAGGCCGTCAAGGAGGCGTTCGGCAGCGACGCGACGATCGTCAAGCCCGGATGGATGTTTGGCCACGAGGACCGCCTGCTCAACACGCTCGCCGTCTCTCCCTCGGTCTTCCGCGTCAATCACGGCGAGACCAAGATTGCGCCCGTCCACGTCCTCGACGTCGCCTCGGCGCTCAACACGATGTACACCGCCGCGTCGACTCTCGGCGAGACGTACGCCCTCCCCGGCCCGCGCACCTACACCTTCGAGCAGCTCCTCCAGCTCGTCGAGGGCTACACGCTCAAGAAGCTCCAGGGCCCGAACCTCCCCCGCCCCTTGCTCTCGCTCATGGCGCGCGCATGGGACCTCGTGTGGTGGCCGACCCTCTCGCCCGACGAGGTCGTCCGGAGGTTCATCGACGACTTGCCCGTCGCACCTGGCGTCAAGGGTTTCGCCGACCTCGGCATCGAGCCCGATGTCTTGGAGGACATCGCCATCGTCTACTTGAGGAGGTACCGTGCGTCAGCGTACGCCGACTTGCCCATCCAACACGGCGGAATCCCCCTTCGCAAGCAGCAGTACCACACGTTGGATTAGATCGCGGGTTGTCGAGGCGGTAGTATCGAGGTGGTCTTGTCCGAGGCAATTGTACACGCTTTCCTTTCGTTCAGTCACTACCCCTCCTTTGCGTCGAGCGCGCGAGAGGGACACTGCAAGATTCGGATTCACAGCCACGCATCTACTGCTTCTTGTCCACCCCGATGCTCTTCAGCAACAACCGCCCAAGGCCAACATCGACATCACCCTCTGCGTTGCCGTAGGGCGGGTCGGCGTCCGTTCCGTCGTCTTTGCGCTCCTTCTGAGGTGGAGGGGGAGGCTGCGCGGTGTACGTGTAGAAGCCTTGGCCTGACTTCTTGCCGAGGTAGCCTGCCGAGACCATGCGCTGCGGGCGGAGAGAGGGAAGCATCAGCGGACAGTCTTCGCGAGCGGAGACAGCGAGAAGGGCAAGAATCGCGAACTCACTCCAAGCAAGACCGAAGGCCTGTATTTCGAGTCACCCGTCTCGCGCATCAACACCTCCATGATGCTCAAGCACGTGTCCAATCCAATAAAGTCCGCGAGCGTGAGCGGGCCCATCGGGTGGTTCATGCCCAGCTTGAGAGTCGTGTCGATGTCTTCTTTCGTTGCGACGCCCGTTTCGAGAGCGATGATGGCTTCGTTGATGAAGGGCATGAGGAGGCGATTGGAGATGAAGCCTGCGCAGGTTGTCAATGGTCAGCCTTGTCAGTTTGCGGTTTGCGAACGCCGGTAAGGCGAAGACGGAAGCGCACCGGGAGTGTCAGCGGACTGCGTGACGGTCTTGCCCATTCGCTCGGCAAATCCTCGAGCAGTCTCGAGGACAGAGCGATCGGTTTGCAGAGCCGGGATGAGCTCGACGAGCTTCATGACCGGGACGGGGTTGACTGTGAGGTCAAGCCGGGTCGAGAAACGTCAGCCCAGGTCGTCCTTGTGTCAGACAGTCCGTCTGGCCACTCCAGACGCACAGAAGTGGAAGCCGACGACCTGCCGCGCCCGACTCTGCCCCGTCTTCTGGTCGATAGCCGACGCCGCGAGAGTCGAGAGCGAGATGGAGGAGGTGTTGCTCGCCAGAATGGCATGAGGAGGGAGATGTGTCGCGAGTTGGGAGAAGATGGTCTGTTTGACGGCGAGGTTCTCGGAAACGGCCTGCGAAAGAAGCGCATGAGTTTGCCCTTTCCTCGGTCCTCGGCCGTTTCGAACGCGTTAAACGCACCTCGACGACAAGATCAACCTCTGCAAACTCCCCATCCTGCAGCCCGTTCTCACTCGCCGCCTTGATCCTCGACCTGACCCGGTTCGCCTCCTCGTTGTTCATTTTTCCCTTCTTGACCTCCTTCCCGAGCAGCGTGTCGACGAACTGCAGACCCTTCGTGATTTGCTGAGCAGATCTGTCGGAGATGAGCACGTCTACGCCAGCAGTCTGGTTTTCCCGCGCGGAAAGTGAGCGAACCGGTTAGCCGAATTTCGACGAGCGAGGCGAGGTGAGGAAGAGTGAGCGCACCTTGGCCGCGACGTAGCTGATTCCGATGCCCATCTGTCCTGCTCCAATCACTGCGACCTTGTCAATCCCATCGGCGTCTGTCGAGAGCGAGCGCTTGCTGGCAGGTGAATGCAACGGGGCGATGTGGGGAACGAGGAGAGCGCGCTGGGAACAACGAGCGAGCATGCGCAGGGATGCCATGGTCGTCGTAGCAAGTCTCAAGAAAGCAGAGCAGCAGTCGGCGAGTCCTGCGACGCGAGTTGCGAGCGAGGACGGAGGGAGAGAAGCAAACTTGCCCGGCGGCTTCCCTTCTAACGGCGACATAGCGCTTGACGAGTATGCGCGAATGCAGCGTGAACGTCTGATTCCTCGCACGCAGTGGACCGCGCTGAACGGAGTCAAGCTGGCGGACGAGGGTGGGAGACGACCATGATTCTGATCACCAACAGGCTTCCATTCCAGCTGAGCAGGGCGCGACAGAACTCCGCTTGATGCTTCTCATCATACTGGCCACCAAGGAAACCTCACCGTCGAGCTAGGTGTCCAAGAGGTCTGGCGCAGTCAGGGAGAGGAAAGCGTGGCGGATTTCGCGAGCGGCTTGAGGGTCTGCGGGCGAGACAACCTCTTCGAGGTACTTGAGGATGTCAGGGTGAACGTGTTCGGCGATCGCATCCTCGTACGCGCGGTCGGGCGAGCGATTCCAGCTGGCAAAAACCGAAAGCCGGTGCAGCAAAGGCGTACGCCAGTCCTCCGTCTTGATCCCGACTTTGAACGAGATAGCGTCAACCGCCATTAGGAAGAGCACAGGGATCTCCTTCAGCTGCGGTTGCGGGAGGTTTGGTGGAGGGAAACGCAGAGAACAGAGGAACCATCGCACAATGCAAGACAAGGCGCTGTCGAGAGGTGTCGGCTTGCTGATCGGGAGCAGGTACCTTTGCAAGACAATCTGTATCCAAAATACACTCAGTATAATCCACAGGACGCCGAGGGGCCGGTAGGGCGAAGACTGAAGCGCACCTCGGGGTTTGCGACTGTAAGCCATTTTGAGCAGATCAGCAATGGTGTTGTGTTCCCCACCTGGAGGTCTGGCGAATGAAGGTCCCGGGTCGACATCGAGCTTCTCGAGCGCCTCGCGCGCCTCGTCAGGCGTGAGAGCCGGCCAAGTCCAAGGATTCGCCTTTCCCGGCCCGCAGAAGTACCTGTGCACAGGCCAGACCTGTTGCCTCCCACGCTCTCCATCAGCTCCCATCCTTCGAAGCAGGAAAGGCGAGGAGAGGGGACGCACGAACTTCTGGTGTTCCGGCGAGCAGAAGAAGAGGTGGATTCCTGCCCTCACGCACGCAGAGCAGCGGCTCTTCGTGGCTGTACCGCAGACGAGACACTTCCCTGTCGAGTCGGAGGACATCGCGCGACGGGAAGAGAGGGTGTCGTCGAAATTGAGAGGGGAGGGTGTGGGAACTGATGAAGCGCTGGAGAGCGGCTGGGAGGACGTGGGAAGGCGTGCGCTAGTTGTCGAAGCCTCGAGAACAGCTGTAGTAACGTCTCAAGCAGCAAGCGAGCCCAGTCAGAAGCGGCGAGAGATGCGGATGAGGGAGAGAGCGAGTGCGGCCCCTCTCCGGACAGTCCAACTCCGCGCTCGCAGAGAGCTTGCATATCGTCAGGCAGCGGCGTGCCATTGGGTTTCTCAGGCGTCGTCCAATAGGGCAACCGGAGCAAAGGACCGACGACAGTCGGATTCTGGCAGACTTTGCAGCGGAATAGGAGAAGCGAGATGAACCAGGCAGACAACGAGGCGAGATAGAGAGACAGAATCTATCGAGGAGGGAGCGAGAAGAACAGATAAACCCGAGAAGCACCTCTTTACCGACCTTTCTAGCTCGACACAACTGGAGACACGAACCCCCGCCCTCTACACCTCTGCCGGGTGGATACCCGCCTCGGGCTCGAGCTTTTCCGAGGACGGCGTGAGCGAAGCCGTCGCCGACCTGCGTGCGAGGTGCTCGTAGCCCGTCACGCGGCCGTCGAGGACGTCGTCAGCGAGGACAGCCTCGGCGATGAGCGTCTTGTGCTCCGGGAAGAGCTTCGAGAGGAGCGTGTGCGAGCCGGCTGCGACGACGATGCCAAAGATGTCGGCCATGCAGTAGATGTCTAGCAGTGAGAGCGTGTGTGTCAGTACGAAGCAGTCATGTACGAACGACAGGGAGAGTGGACGCACACTTGGCATTGCCGATTGAAAGGCGACGATGTCGACGCCTCACTGCTCGGGCGATAGAAGAGGAACCGCGTGTGATTGCTGGTTCTACCTATCAGCGAGAGCGTGAAGAGATACAGAACGAAGCGAGCACACCTGGTTCTACCTATCAGCGAGAGCGTGAAGAGGGAGAACAAGAGAGCGTGCGCGCGTGAAAACCAAGTCCCTCCGTCCATTCCTCGATCCCCCTGATCCGCTTCATCGCTTCTAACCGCTCAACACCGCTCTGCACCGCAAACGACCGTGAGTGAGGCGTGAGCCTTACAATCTCCCTCTAACCAACCTCGCCCGTCCCATCCTCCTCACACTCGGCTTGGGGTCGCACACTGCTTCACGCCCCTACAGTGAGCTCCTCTCGAGCACAGTCTCTATCGCGCGCGCACCTCGCTGACCTCGTTTGGCGCGTTTCACCCAGCTCTTCCCTCGCCGCCCCTCGACACCCTCCATACGCAGCTGCAGACGGCTCTTCTGCGCGGGCATGCACAGTTCTACTTCTACCACGGAGTCCGGTCTCGCCTCTACGACCCGTACACGCCACGCTTCTCCGGCAGGCGGAACCTTGCCGTTCCTCACCGCACCGCGTCGCTTCGCTTCGACGGGTTTGTTGTGCCCGTGCGCGTCGCGTCCGGGTCAACGGACGCAGAAAACTTGCTTCCGACGGGCGAGCCGAGGGTCGGGTATTCTGCGGAAAGGCCTGACCCTCGGCTCGCCTAATGTTGCTTATCGATGCTTAGCCGAGCGGCTGGATTGGTTTGGGACCCTCGTGCCCGGACTTGGTCGACATTGTCTTTCTCTCTGTCGCCTCTGACCTGCTCTACGCTCGACTGACGGCGAACGCACTCGGCGGGACCGCCTCACTCGCGACGACCGTTTACAACTTCTCGACATACATGGGCCCATCTTGCGCAGAAGGGCTAGGCGCGCACTGCACGGGTCTCGAAGCAGCAGCAGCAGCAGGGGCGGAAGCTGGACGAGATGACGACTGGACCGGAATGCCAGGGAAAAGTGCGTTGCGCCCTCAGTGTTCCAGGGCGCAGGAATCGTCGCCGACGCTCAACATGTGCCAACCCATGCTTGGGAGTCCAACCTCCGGGAGCTTTGATGGTGTCAGGACGGCGAGCAGTGTGAGCGGGCGGGACAGGCGTTGTTCAACCTCGATCTTCCTCCCCTCTCGCTGACGCACCATTTCTCCTCCGGTTCGTTGGCTCTCGCTGGCCACATACTGACATACGGACACACAGCACAATATACGCCCAGACTTCCACGCCGCCAACCTCGCCACTTCCTTCAGCTTGCGAAGGTCGTTGGCTCGCTCCTTCGCCCCTACGCTTCACACACCACGCATCGCTCTCACGCTTCCATACTCTTCACCGCACAGAGCCCTTCTCGATGCTCTAGCCGGAGCGAGTCCGAAACCTCTGCGCGGCACTCCATTCTCCCTCCCTCCTCGTTTTCACTCTCAAAATCGCCTCGCGTCGACTCAAACGGGCTCGCCTTCGACTCGCCACCCGTTGCTCGACTCGACAACTTCTACAGAGCTACGTCACGGCGTATGAAGAGCTGGCGAGGTCTCTCAACCTTCCGTGCGACGGAGGAGGCGGAGGCGGGTGGAAGTCGATGAAAAGTTGGCGAGTTTGGGTCGTGCGAAGTGCGGGAGAGATGAAGAGTGGGTCTAGGACGACGGGGAAAGGAAGCGCGAGGTGGAAGGGCGCGTCGAGGGGCGAGAGGAGTAGATTAGGAAGGATGGGGAGGATGAGTCGGCGAGAATGGCGGGATTCGGGATAGACGGCGCGTACGGATAGTCGAGTAGGCGGAGTAGAGCTCGGTGGGAGATTGTAGCGGCAGGCGATCGTCGGCGAGGGGATGAAACGCTCAGTCGACGTCCATCGCAGACTCGAGGACCTGAGTCGAGGGAGGCGGAGCGATGGAGGGTGGAGAGGAGAGGGCGGAGGCATGGCTGGGTGGAGCGGTGGTCCTAACTGGACCCAGATAGCGTGAGGAAACAGTGAGCCCCGTGTGCTTGAGCGAAGCGAAGTGAGGGAAGGGTACGCACGACGCTTCTTCGGCCGCTGCGCATTGGGGCCTGCCTCGCCCGTCGTACCGAGTCGCAAGGCTGTGGAGAGCGAGCCAGGGTCAACGCAAGTCCAACGGAGGTTAGACGAACTGGGTAGACTCACCTAGCGGCACCTCCTCCTCGTCGAACACGTCTTCTGGTCCGATCTCGCCGCCTTCTAGCTCGCGAATGAGCTCGTCGTGTAGGCCTTCGAACAGAGTCTTCAAGGCGCAGCCCTGGGACTCTCTGCAGTACCCCTTCTTGACGTTGACCATAACCGCCACGTCCGGTCCCCATGCGACGCTGTACTCGACGATCAACGTCTCCCCTGACTCGTCCACGACCGGTACCTCCCACCTGGTGTGCACACTTGCATGTGCAACACGTCCCTCGCGCGTTCGCTTCGTCGGCTTCGTAGGCGAGCGAGTCGAGCCGGGAGAGAGGGAGTGCGTTAGGGCGTTCGGAGGGGAGGCGGAGGGCGGAGAAGCGGCAGACATAGCGAGGAAGGGTCGTAGGCGATGCTGAGCCTGTGCAGGAGGCAGCCGATGAGCGAGAGCGACAAGTACGGAGAGGAAGGCGGATAGGAGGTCAACCTTCGCGGGAGGAGGAGACGGTGGCGCGGTCGTATGTCGAACCGCTGCTCGTACGGCGTCCGCTCGACTTCGTGCGTGTTGTGCAACTCAGGGCTGTTCGTTCAAGCCATTATCCAGCCAGGAGGGGGATGTGGAAGGCGACGAGCGAGTGCACCGACCCTCTCCTCCTCCTTCATCGCTCGCCATCACGCGAGACTCACTTCCGCCCGTGCTCAGACGCTTCCAATGCCCTCCTCGCCACTCCCGCTCTTCTCTCTCTTCCTCCTCCTCCTCTCCCTCTCCCTCCCCGTCCACTCCCTCCCCTCCGCTACTCCGCCTCAGACGATGTCGTCCAGCGACGACAAGCGTCGTCTACCGGGTGCGCCGCGCCAGCTCGACGGTGCGTACCGCAGACAAATTTTCACGCACCCTCTCCGGTCCTGTCCACGGTCGTTGGCGGGACGCGGTCGACGTTGCAGACCTCGCTGACCCTCCTCCTCGCTCCTACAGCCTCGTCGTCCGCCGACAGCTCGACCACGACGCCCGCACCCGCACCCGCACCCCTTTCCACCCTCAGCACCACCACTTCCCCCGCCCTCGCGCCCGCATCGTCTCGCTCGCCGTCGACCACTGCCTCGACTCGCAACCCAGTCCCTCTCCCGCTTCCGGCACCTGCTCCGACTACCCAGCCGACGCCGAGGCTTGCCTTGCCCGCACCTGCGTCGTCGTCGGCGACGCCAAGCGGTATCGCAGCCGCCAAGGCAGGTTCGCCCGACGAGGCGCCGAAGAAGCAGGCGCTGGACGACTGGTACGGCAAGGCCGCTCCTTCGACGGCAGTCAAGGCGCCTGGTGCGGCTGGGTTCGAAGGCTGGAAGCGCAAGAAGGCAGGACCGAAGCCCGTGCAGAAGCAGAACTTGCACAGCTTCTTCAGCCAGACCGTGTCGAACCTTCAGCCCGCCCAGTCGCCCTCGCCCGCCGCTTCGTCCTCGTCTACGCCCACCGCGACACCTGCAACGGCTCGCCCTACTTCCCAGACCGCACTCGCGTCGTTCAGCTTCACTGCGCCTTCGACGTCGAAAAGCTCACCCCCGAAGTCGCACGCCAGCCCGACTGCCTCGAACACTGCTACGTCTGCTCCTTCGCCCTCGACGAGCGACAAGTCGACCGCGCCCGACGCGAACAGCAGCGCGTCTCGCTCAACCAGCTCGAGGGTGACGGTCGTCGCGAAGAGGAAGAACGAGTCGAGCGGCGTCCAGGCTGTCAGAACCGTTGCTGTTGAGGGCAGAACTGCGAGTAAGGGGAAGGGCAAGGCGAAGCAGGAGGATGGAGAGAGTGATGATGAGGAGAAGGAAGACGAAGTACAGCAGGGTGAGTTTCGGCGACTCCGTTCGCGGTCGGGCCGGACTTTCCGACGCAGCTGACGCCTCTTCGCCTCTCCTCCTCTCCTCGTCTCGCCATAGTCCTTCGCTGGGGACGCTCCACCGACCGCTGGAAAGAGCAACACGACCTCAAGAAGCTGTTCCTCGCGGCGGACGCTGATGGGTCGCCCGATGCCTTCTACTCGTTCTGGGACGGTTCTAGTGCGTACTCTCCTCGTCGCCAGACCAGCAGAGCTGCGCTGACCGCTTCGTCTCTCAGTCGGCGAGTTCGCTTCATGGGAGCCGTCGCGCACCATGACGAGCTTTGACACCTACGTGTCGTCGCCGAAAGACGCCTTGCCCACGCTCGAGGCTAGCGGGACCGGCAAATGTGCGTGGCGGTCGCGTTCTTGTGCTACACACGTACTGACAACGCGTCGCTCGCCACGCAGCCCTCCTCAAACGCCTCGAGAGCGAGGCCAACATCTTCCCGAACCTTCACGGCGAGCACCTCAAGCAGAAGTACCTCGAATCGGTGACCCCCTTCTTCGAGCTGGCGCACCGCCTGAGCAACACGAAGGCGCAGGCGCCGAGGTGGCATCCCTTGACGCATCTTTTCGGTGCCTCCGACGCCTCCCTCAAAGCCTTCCTCGACTTGTACTTCGCCTGGAAGGCGCCGCTCGGCGACGAGCTCATCCTCGCGCAACTCCACCTCGCACACGACCGTCGTCCGCCCTCCTCGCTCCTCAAGAAGCTGCTCATCTCGTCGGGAGACTCGCGCGTCGCCGCCTTTGGCATCTACTTCTTCCTCGGCGAAGCAATCCCACCGCACCTCCTCGCCGTCAACACGCTCCTCCGATCGATCTGGCCGCCCGAATCGAGGCTCGCTGAGGTTACGACGCTGCGTGCGCTCGCCCAAACCAAGGCCGGCGACCCCGCTCGCGACTGGCTCGTGTCGAACCGGCGCGGGACGGACGACAAGGTTGCCGAGTACGACCAGCTCAAGATGAAGTACGAGGCAGGCGAGATCCAGTCGGACCTGTTCGATTACTACGGCTTGTCGCTGTCCTGCACGGAGTTGAGGCCAGGCGAGGCGGGCATCTTCCACCGGAACTACATGGAGCTGGTGCGCCCCCCCCCCCCCCCCCCCCC